CCCCGTTCCTGAATAACGGGCTGACCAGTGCAATTAGTAACCAAACCAACCTGGCCCTGAAGGGTATGATCGGAATCCAGGCCATGGCTGTGATTGCAAATGAGACTGGCCACACATCTGACGCAGCCGATTATTCCGCAATCGCCCATGATTACATTACCAAATGGCAGGAGCTTGGTATCAACAAGAACGCCAGTCCTCCACACACCACGCTCTCATATGGTGATTCTGACAGTCACGGTTAGTCGCATTATTCCAAACCTCACCCCCACGGTTAGCCCTTACTCACACATTGATTCAGGTCTTCTTTACAATCTCTTTGCCGATGCTCAGCTTGGTCTCAATCTGGTTCCGCAGTCCGTCTACCAGATGCAGAGCGACTTTTACCCAACTATTGCGAACACATACGGTGTTCCTCTTGACACGCGTCACACTTTGACCAAGGGTAAGCTCGCGAGCACATGAATAGTTAAATCAAATACTGACTCTAAGACAGGTGACTGGGAATGCTTCGTTGCAGCAATTGCTTCGCCCAGCACCAGAAAGATGCTCATCGGCCACCTGGCTACCTGGCTCAACGAAACACCCACCAACCGTCCCCTGACTGACCTCTACGAGACGGTTACCGGAAAGTGAGTTTTCCAGACGCGAATATTCTCTGAAACACTGCTAACAACTTCAGTTACCCCTCCTCGCCGATCTTCGTCGCCCGTCCCGTCATCGGCGGATCTTTTGCGCCGCTCCTCGTCAAGAGCTCGTGAAGATAGTCGAACTTCTGATTCACCTCCCCTAATTCTTTCCATTCCTGTGATTTACTGAACAAGTTCTATTTTTCCCTTGACAAAAAATCCGATCACTACTTCCCTAGGACTAGTTCCCCTAGAGCAACTTGTACTTCGATTTAGTCCTCCGCGACGCGATATAAGATCGCCCACCCGCTCAAACTACTAGAGGTCTACGCGCTTCGTATATAAAATAATCAACTACTCGATTCTTAGTTGTAAAACTGTTCATTTGCGACAATCATGTGTAGGCTCTTGTTGGGTGTCCCCCAGGTACTGCGATCTATAAAGGCAATGGACCCACTTCCCCAGCAGAAAAGTGGGGACCACAAACAGATTAAGGTACACTTAAGAGGTGGAAGGCACGATTCACTTTCAAGTACAGAAGGCAAGAACAACCAACAACAGCAAAACAGAAAAGAGGAAAACAAAAAGACTGCCGAGTTCTGGAATCGATCTTCTGACCTGGACAAAAAACAAAAACGGCAAAAAGGTGGTTCAAGGCAGCTACCAGCGTTTCATTAATCAACCTAACCACTCTTCCCCCCAAACGGGTAGGGCCAGGACCCCTAGACCATTCGAAGCTACGATGCCTGGATGAACTACTTTTCCAATTGCAACTGATGTCTTGTTCAGTATCCTCATACAGTTGGACACGGTCGCTACAAACCATGCCCCTTCATTCTCCAGCCACATACATTATATACCAAATAACAGAGCTCAAATCCATCCGTGCCGTAGATTAAGAGGATTGAGGGAGACTTAATGCACTGGGTCAAGCAAATAGCTTCAACTAAGAGAGTACATCATGCAGAGAACTATTGGGTCCGTTGCCATTATGAAATAGGACTCGGATTAATTCAAACTACTTGAAATGGCGTGGATAGGCTGCATGTCGAATTTATTGTTCATTCCAACGTACGCTACAAGCGCTTTGACGATCTGAGAGGCAAACAATGGGATTCTCTTCTATCCAATCAAGGCTTTTATGAGTAACAACTCCGAAGATAATCATTGTTGGTTAATTTCAATTGGAACACATCCTGTTGGCTGCGGCAAGCAATTTTGCCATGGGCCAAATTGAGCACTGACCGAGCAGATTCAAACCTGCCCATGTTTCTGTCTCCGGTCATATATAGATTCAACTCTACTGAGAACTCTCATCCCAGCCATCAAAAGAACGAATCAGATCTGCGAGAATGTTAGCAATGCCGCTTGTCAGGCCAAAAAAACCACCCCTCTCAACAACGTACCATAATACAACATGATGCCCTCCAGATGGACGTCCAGATGGATGCGCTCGTCAACAGTGTGAATATTGAACGTGCCACCCGCGCGCGACGGGCTCCAGCGATAGATATTCTCCGAGAGAGACCAGTAGAAACGCGTATCGGTGTTTCCAGTCATGATATCACCAGCTACCACGACAGTCGGGGCGGATTGGGGCTTGGGCTCCGACTTAGCGAGAGGGTTGGGGTGGGACTCGAAGACGCTGCGCGCGACACCGGCAAAGCGAGCCCAGACCTTCGAGGTTATGGGATCGGTGGGAGAGATCGGGGCCGGCTTGAGAGGAACACTGAGTGGCGACAGGGTTAGAGTGCGATCCTCTGGCTTCTCGTTGGGAACAGGCTCTTCTCCGGGGAAGTCGACGTAGACGGTGACATTGTGGCTCTCGGCGATGGGGCCGATGATGCGAAGGGCACGTTCGCGTAGTTGATCGGGGGTCATGTGCAGAGCGACGCGGTAGTTGACGACGGCCGAGATCTTCTCGGGGAGAGCATTGGTCTTGACACCGCCGTTGAAGAGGTCGGCTGCCTGTGAGGTTTGCAGAGTGTAACGGACTGCGGGGCCACGAGCGGCGGCCACGGCTTCTCCCAGAGCTGCCGGGTCTCCCTCCTCCAACTTCTCAGCCAACCATGACTCGACTTGTTGAGGGGAGTACCGTGCCTGACACTCAAGCATGCCATATGATGGGTGGGAGGGTTCCAACCAGGGAGAGAAAAGCTCCTGGCGCTCAAGTTGGTAGATGATCTCGGACATGATGCCAACGCCAGTGTGAGCTGGTGGAACGGAGCTGTGGCCACCAGGAACCGCCAGATCGAGGATCAGGTCAAGACTACCCTTCTCACCAACTCCGGGCAGAGCGTAGATGACATCGTCGTTGGATGCAGACTCGCCGCCCAGGCTCTGCAGTCCCATGCCACCCTCGTCCAGGACGAACTCGAAGCTATCCTTGCCATACTTCTCCTCCAGTACTGGGGCAATCGAGCCAGCACCCAAGAATCCGTGGGACTCTTCATCGAAACCGAATGCAAACAAGACGGTACGCTGCGGCTGCCAGTTCTGCGAGAGCAGATCTTCCGCTGACGACAACAGGCCAATCAACACGTTCTTGCAATCGCTCGCGCCGCGGCCCCAAATCCATTCTCCGTCGAAATGACCCTCAAATGGCGGGTACGTCCAGTCCGATGGATCGGCAATTGGCACCACGTCCTGATGGGCCATGAAGAGAACAGGCTTACGAGTGGTGTCAGCGCCTTTGAAGGTGAAGACGAGACCGAGTCGGTTAATATGCTCGACCTCAGCGTGCTTGTGCCTGCATTGTTAGTTAGCAATGGTCCTCTGGTTTGCGGTCTTCTTTGCCAATACGGAAAAGCCTACACTAGAGGGAACATCTGCTCCAGCAACTTTTGGAACTTCACAACTGGCTCAAATGCCTCATCATATGGGTCCGTCGCATAGTCTCCAACAGTGGTGGGCACCTGCACCGCCCTTGAGAGACGCTGCGCCTGGCGGGCACGGAATGCCTCATCTTCCAAAAATATCAGCGATGAGTGCAGACCATCGTGCGGGGCAGCGACTCTCGATGCCTGTGGGCAGGTTTCCCGTCCGGAAGGTTCAACGAGCTCATTGCGAAAGCCGCCTTTATCGGAGAAGAGGATCTGTTGTGTGGGGATGTTTAGTCCAATGGCGGAGGGCACTGCCAATCCGAGGAGAGCGAGACCTTTCATGATTTAGGGATTCAATTGAGATATACTCAGGTACTCCTACAAACACGAGAGATCTTGAGGTTCAGTTAGACTGTACCCGGAGACCAACTTTCGTTTATATGGAGCCCTAAACAATTGCGACATCCCACGGCTATCTTATCTTCCCCTCAGTTACGTTCGGCTGGCGGCCGCTACCGCGCTTTTAACCATTTCAGGCAGGCTTTGAGCTCGCGTTTGCCGATGAGTCGGCAATGCATGATACTCTGCAATGATGGAGCTCTAAGGGTCTCCGAAATAGATGTATACACTTTCTGTTATACATGATCAAGGGGATTGGGATTCTGACAATTCTGGAAGAAGGGTTAACCCGGCCAAGAGTTGCGTTCTTGGTTCCGGCGGTGGATGGGTGGAACCCAGGGAAGAAGCTAAGAAGATAACGTGGAACCCTGGATGGATCAGGGACACGCCGGTGCTTTTTCTCGCAGAAAAGTACTCAAAGGGTACGAAGTACAGCCTCGCGATCCTTCCACGCCGTACCACCAACTCATTCCCGACGGTAATTCGCTGTCAACCCTTCACGAAAATTTTCTGCCACTCCTTTCCTTCAATGGCTTCTGCCGAGGCTGATCTGTCGATCTTCAAGGGAGCACACAGGGGGGGGGATACCCAACCCAAAAAATGTAGCGGGGATGTAGCTATTCCGAATCGAACCAAGTGGCAAACCAAGCTCCTCCGTTTCGCCATTGGCTTGAGACGGCTCTGTCAATTGAACGCCTCAAAGGGAAAATAAATGCCCAGCAAGGCGCCCACTCCGGGGATGACGATCGGGACGATCTCGAGGTTCCGACCAATCACGGCGCAATGGAGAGTTCAATAGAACACTCGGTTAGTGTTTCAGAAGCTGATCAGAGTGCACCAAGATGTCATCGTCTCCATTTCGAGGCTCCATAAAATTATTACGGGTCTCCGGGTGTTCCTGAGAGGGCGAACAGTTTTTTGGGACCGTCGCACTGAGACGAGGGTATAAGTGAGACAGGGCTTGCTGTTCTCCGGGGCCTTTCTCCTTTAAGTTACTTTTCGACATTTGTGTTTGTGTTTTGCGTTTGCGACACTATCCTTCGTTTCATCGCCGCATTCCGCATACTCAACACCCTACCCTCTCTTCGGCTACACTCTCTTTCCATTCCCTTCCTGGACTCTTTTCTTTCCTTGTGACACATATCGCAATATGCATTCCCAATACCTCTCTGCGCTCGCGCTCGCTTTGCCGGTCGTTGCGGGCTATACTTCGACTCTAGGCTGCTACTCCAAGGTTTCTTCTCTGACAAACCAGGCCGGGTTCCAATTCATGGACTATGGCTGGTGCACAGATAAATGCTCTGAGGGCGGATACCGTATTGCCGCCCTGAGTGGCGGCAAGAGTTGCGCTTGCTCTGATAAGCTCCCCGCCGAATCCGCAAAGGTCGATGATGATAAGTGCAATATCGATTGCCAAGGCTGGCCTGAGGATAAATGTGAGCCAAGCCCCAATCGCGGCGTTACAGCCCGAGCCTCTTTCAATGGCATATTCTATAACAGCGGCTAATATGTTCTTAACACAGGCGGAGGTGACGGATTCTATACTGTTCTCAGCACGGGCGATTACTCCAGCTCGAACTCGGACTCGAACTCGGATTCCGACTCGCCTTCAACAGACACCATCATCATGGCTGCTACAACCTCTACCAACTCTTCTCCCACCACCGCTGGCGGCGGAATCGTTGTCGCACCTACAAATATCAACGAGTCCAACGTACCCACCAACATCCTGACCGCACCGGCATCTATGGTTTCCAAGGCCAGCGCTAGCGCCTCGGCCATTGCCACCGCAAATGCAAAGGTCACATCTGCCCCTGGCATCACCGCCGCAAGCGCGAGCTCTACACCCTCTTCCACCAATGCCGCCGCCACTCTCCGCGCTGGTCCCATAGCCGGCGCTTTCGTTGCTGGCCTTGGTCTGCTTCTGTAAGAAGCGGATTCCAAGCACTGCTCGAGTCTTTGTTTCTCGCGCTGTTGTACTTATACCGTTGCTCTTTGTATAATGTATTTCCTACTGCATACACAAAACGACATCCGGTTCCGGTGAGGACTGGCGGGTTTCTCTATCATTCGGTCTCGCAGGTCGAGGCCGGTTGGTGTTTCGAAGGGGCCTGGGACTGGCGCGCGGGATTTCGCGATATACCTTGGTATTCACACATTCGTTAATGGATCTGGTGATCCGATCTTTACAAGCTGAAGTTACTAGTAGTACTAGTAGCCTAGCCTAGCATACCACCGAATGGACTTCACTATCCTCGGAAATAATCTTCCTTGTAATCTAGTAGCTTGAGTATGTCCAAATTGATCCAAGTTTCGTCTGCGACAGTCACGAATTGAGCTTTGCGAGGAGTTCCTCAATTGCGCCGACAGTCATTTCTTTTACAGAAAACGCAAATCCCTACGCTGAACCTCATTCAATGCAAAAAAAGACCATCAGTACTCCGTAGAGTGACATGTCAACTGGGAAACGTCAGGTAAGCGCTAGTCAGCCAATTTAAATGAGTGGTGGGACGGCTTGACGTCAGATTCCCCATAGTATTCCCCCCGGAAAAGCAAGTCGGGGAGAACACCGATCATTACTCGAAGCGTCAACTGCTCGCTTTGACGAGGGGAAGCGGGCACAAACGTCAAGCAAGATTCAATATTATAGCAACACAGACCATCATATCTCCCGGGCCTAAATTAACTAATTATCGCGCGGCAGAGAACGTTCTGATTCGCGGAGCTGAGCAGAGCAGAGCAGAGCACCATGGCATTCGCTCGCAGATTAGCCATCCTCCCCGGAGGCCTAGGTAGGAGAACCACAAATCACCCGACAGCGATGATTCGGATGACGAGGCAGGGTTAACCCCGATTTGCGACAGGCGGACTGGGCTCGAGTATTGGCAAGAAACTGCGCGAGCAAGGCGCCCAAGTCGCGATCCTTTACGCGCCCTTTGAAGCGAAGCGACGGGACGAGTTGCTCGAGGCTGGGTACGGTGGTACCGACATGGACGATATCCGCACCTATGAGTGCGACATCACGTCTGCGGACTCGGTGCAGTCAGCATTCGACTCGCTCGAGAAGGAGATTGTTGGTCCGGCTTCGTCGTCGCTGGCCGACCGGGTTTTCCCAAGTATCTTGATCAATACGGCTGGGTATGTCTCGCTCAGCGATATGGAGATCACGCCGCCTGAGGAAACCATGAAGCATCTCACGACGAATGTCTTTGGTCCCATGCTCTGCTCGCAGGCCTTTGCGAGGTTGTACTTTGCTGCGTCAAAGGTTGCGGAGTCGTCGGCTGGTTTGCCTCCGCCGGGGAGGATCGTGAGTATCTCTTCGCAGGCTGCGCATGCGGCTTTGCACCGGCATGGTGCTTATTGCGCTTCTAAGGCTGCTCTTGGTGGGTTGACTCGCAGTATGGCGTCGGAGTGGGCGGGTCGGGGGATCACGTCTAATACAGTTTCTCCGACTGTTGCGTGGACCGCGCTGGGGCAGAAGGCTTGGGGTGAGAAAACGGTTAGGGAGGCTTTTTTGAAGAGTATCCCCACTGGCAAGTTTGCGCTTCCGGAGGAGGTGGCTGATGCTGTTCTGTTCCTTTGTCAGGTAAGTCTGCGTCAATGTGTGTTGGTTGTATATGATACTTACTCGTTGAATAGGACTCCAGTGGGATGATCAATGGTGCGGACATTCGAGTTGATGGCGGCTTCACTATTCGGTAGAATCATGTCAGTCATTGTATGTTGATAACTAGATATACAAAGTTAATCTCTTATGGATTGTTTGTAAAAGGGCATGCTGGTTTGTGTTGTATTGTGCTGTGTCTTGAAGGAAGTAGCAAATTCAAGCGTGATCAGCAGTCTTCCTCTTCCCTCTTCTCTCCATCTCCATCTTCATCTCCATCCACATTCCCATCGATCATTTCATTACCATGGTGTTCTACTTAATATATTAGCAAGCCAGTACCACAGGCTATTAGTATTCCTATCTCAAACATTCCCGATACTCGTCCCTGTCGAATGTCTTCTTAAAGTATTATATGGACTGACCGAGGTTGAAGATCAAGTTGAGCATTGTATGGCCGTACAGAATTCACAACCTCAATTATCATCCGGAAATATGTTTCCTTTCCAGGCTGAATTGACGGAGGAATACTTCGTCGTATTTAACTTGAAGCTCTGGAGACGGGGCATTATTTCTATGCCATAGACCGTGTACTACGTTTTGGGTTGCATTTCACACTCAGTCTGTTTTATTCATTTTCTATTATTATTGGGTATGTACTTTTCATCAATGAAACCATTCCTTAGTTTGAGGCATCTCTGGTCAACTTTCGTGCAGTATAACCGGGTGTTGTCCAGACATCATACTCCACTCATTCCATTTCTCATATTTTTCTTCACTTGCAAGGTCTTCCACTGCACCAACTAGATGATATCCGAAACATCAACATCCTCCTCCCGCTGCACCTTCGTCCCAGACTGCGGATCTTCAAAAACCTTCCTCTCCCTAGCAAAAGACGACAATCCCGACCTATCAACATCAAAGTCCCGATGGAACACCCGACCCCCCCGAATCCTTCATCTCCCGATGATGCCGCGAACCCCCACCGACATCATAATCGGAGTGTTCATCATACGCCCCAGAACCGGGATCATACACCTCTGTGGCGAATGAGCCTCTGTCCACATCATCGTCTACAGATCTGCCGAGCTTCGTGGCGCCATATGCATTACCCGTATCAATTGCCGCAGACCCAGCGGCGTCTTCCTCGTCTAGGTCTGTGATCCGTCGGACTCCGCCTGCAGATGTTCCCCCGGAACCTGGGAGTGCGAGCTCTTCTTGGCCTGTTTGATCGTAGCGTCGTTCTTCGAGTACGGCGGGTTGGCCGAGGTCTTGCCAGGCTGTGCGGACGATGGTTGTGCCGTCGTGGTCGGTGTGGGAGAATGTTGAGGAGCGGTGGCCGCTGGTGGTTGTGTCACCGCTGTTGCTCGTGGTGGAATTATAGTAGTAGGAAGTACGTGAGTAGGATTCTGACATTATGGGCGAAAGATAGAGTGGGTAAATTGAACACTAGATGTTGCCAGTTCAAGTTCAAGTTCAAGTTGATATGGTGCGTGAGTCGTGGAATGAAACGTACTTCGTTGATTCGTGAAAATTCATATAACCCCTCTCTTCATACACAGTATTATTGAACAGCATTATCTCGAATGTTGATATAGTCTATATTGTGGCAAGAGACGAGGCAAATTGACATCATGGAGTCTGGCGGCGATCCTCTCGGGTCAACGCGGACGAATATCAGATCCTGGCGAGACCCCTGAAGGTCCAGGTGGGCACCAATTAAAGAGCTCGCAGGATGAGAAATCAGAAGCTCAAGATAAAGCATGTGCCCGGGAACCCAGAAAACGATCAATCGAGGCCATTCAAGTGGGGTAAATGCGAAGAAGGTTTACATGTACTTCTGGAAACACTTGTCCTTGAATTGCCACCCAGCAAGCCACAAGTCACGCAAATTAACGGTAGGCCTGAGTTATCTGATGTCTAAGCGACTCTAGAGCTTCTGCGAAGGTTCTCGGGAGCTTGTGGAAGAACAAAGGTACATTATCAAATATTTGCGTCATTGGTGAGTAAGCTTGGTCAAGACAAACCCTATGGTGGCAGATTTCGTTAACAGATCTTATCTAGCTTTAGAGCCGGGCTTACCTTTGATCATGCGTAGCGGGATATTTCTTCAATGTCGAGTTAGCTTCTTGCACATGGCTGTTTTCATCACTTGGAGCTCGAACAAATAACGGAGACTGCCAAATGATGTTCCGATTCCCTCACCCAGCTTGTTTTCAAGCAAGCAAAGAAATGAAACCCCAAAGTCTTCATTTTCAAATCGGACTGTTTCAGGATCATTTTTCAAACAATCGATTTTTCGTCCAACCATGACAAATCAAAAGCCTAACTCAATTCGAGCGGCGGTTGTGAAGGATTTCAACAAGGGGTACGAGGTCCGTGACGTTGACGTTCCAACCGATTTAGGTTCAAACAACATTATCATCAGAATCGCCGCCGCTGGATACTGCCATACAGACCTCCAAATGATACAAGGTGTATATGAGTCAGACGGAGCGAAGCCTAGTTTGATCGGGTCTCACGAACCAGCCAAAACAGTCTCAAGGAAGGGTCAAATGCGCGACAATACAACATTTCGGCGATCGCGTGGGATCTATCAATACCTACAACCTTGGAGTTTCTGTAGTTTGTGATCTTTCAAGATTCCAAGTTTATTACCTGCATTCTGGAGAGCCTTAAAAGTATTACTGTAAGCATTCGATTTACTAGAATTTAGCTTTCTTCCTATGTAGGCGTGATGCAAGAGAAGTAGGTATTAGCTCAGATCATTAGATGAAATGTTATTGCGCACTCCGAAAGCTTAGAGCCACGGTACTGGTGGGAAAGAAGCTGTGCCCTTGAGTAGTATATGAGTAAAAAATGTATGACCTTGACTCCAGCCCAAAATTCTACACAATATATCCCGGAAAATGCTTTTGTGAAGAACCCCTTACTCATCGCTGAGGTCATCTGAGTCGCTGGTTAGATCACCATCAACATCCATCTTCTTCATGGCGGCGTCGCCATTGCGCCCTTTTTTCTCAGCAGCGAGCCACGCTTCCCGCTTCTTAATTTCACGTTCTTCCTTCCTTGCTTGACGCGCGACCTTGTCACGTTGTGCGGCCTCTTGCTTCTCATGCAATTCATTGATGTAATCCTGCAGGGTCGCCAGGTCCGAGCGCAATTGCACAACCTCATCCGCAGTAGCGTGCCGAGCAGTATCATTCACCGCTGCCTTCTTCTTGAGCATGGCCACTTCGGTTTCCAGCTCTGTGACGTGGTTGTCTCGGGAGGATGCGTCCTCAGTAGGCTCTGAGATGGTAGATGTCACGGGCACAACACGAGTGACGTCAGATCCGCCTGAGGTGCGAAGTGCGGCCAATTCAGCAAGACCATCGTCGATCATTGAGTCGGGGAAGCTTGCATGTGTGAGGGCTTGGGAGAAAAGAGTCGATTTAAGGTTGCGGGGTTGAGAGGGAGCAGTGATGTGGGTGTTGAAAACGTAGTCGGCTGGGACAGCGCCTGGGGCATACGACGGATCGGAGGAGGCATTATCATGACGGGGCTTGACGATGGTGTGAGCGGTTCTTTTCAGTTCCTTCGAAGCCGGCTGAAGGCCGGTTGGTGGCAACGCGACTAAGTTTGTAACGGGGTGCGTGTAGTCGCCGACAGTTGTCGCAAACTTGCGGCGCGCAATGTTCCATGACAAAACTTTTCCACTTTCATGCGCCGAGAGCAGAATCGTACCATCATAAGATAGGGATCAGGCACGGGTCGAGCCTGAGTCGGCCGAAGGTGGAAGCCATCGGTCTTCCGAGGTCACTTGTGCTGGAGTGGATTGAAGCGAGGCATCGTGGATGGTGTGCTGCGCTGTGTTGCCACGGTAGAAATCTATTGACTGCACGCTTCCATCTTCGTATCCAACGTAGCCAGCCCGGTCGACGGGATCCAGCGCCACACATGTCGCAGAAGATGGGAGGAGAAATGTCCGCAGAACCCGACCTGTATGATAGTCCCATGCGATTGCTGTATTATCCTTCGCCGTTGAGACCGCAATGTTGTGTCGGCCATTGCTGTGTCCAATCGCGAGAGCGGTAATGGCGGCGCGATGGTTAGAAAAAGTGCGGATGGGGGCATTGGAGGGCTGGCGTGTTTGGCTTGAGGTGGGCTTCGAAAATGAGAGAATTCCGGGCAAGGACCAGACATGCACAGCAGCATCAGGCGAGCCGGAGAGGATGAAGTTCGAGGTGGGATCGACAACGATTGAGGTGACGGGCTGAAGATGAGAGGCGGTAGTGGATACTTGGCGTCCGGTACAGGTCTAGAAATTCGCAAGTTAATTTCAGCGCGGATTAATATGACAGATCATGCCGTCAACAAGATAAGGGCTGAACTAGTTTCATACCTCCCACACGATCAGCCGGCCACCTTCTGTGCCAAGGATCAGAACATCGCCATACTTGGCACCAGCAACAGCAATGCTGCGGATGCGCTCTGGGAAAGGAACAAGGGCCTCTTGGTTTCCCTTCTCTCGACTATAAACGTGAATGACGGCCTTGTCAGCCTGTGCGGCGAAAATGTGCGTAGGGCTCACGGCCAGGCCATTGGGATGAGTTGAGCTCTTCTTGAAAGTGGATCGAATTTGAGGAGAAGGCTGGAATTCCTGCAGGCAAATGCCGACATCTCTCAGGGTGGCGGCCGAAGATTTAGCAGAGAGCAGCGTCGATGCGACGAATGATTCGGAAAGCATTGAGAATGAGGGGGCCCTGAAGAGGGGTCGTGCATGAAATATGGGGAGGCTAAGTTTCCGAATGCCTTCCCAGCCGTCAACTTTTTTTTTCCGGTCGTTGGATTGCGATAAGCTCAGCGATAAGCCGATGTCTTTGCCATGTTTGTCATGTTTGTCATGTTTGGACCTTCTGTTCCCGCCAACCGGGAAATATCCAAGATGCGCGCCATCCACCCCGGGCTGGATGTGATCAGTATGAAACTCTACTTGTCCGATCAAACACGATCACAGTCCTGTGGCCTTAATCTTACAAAGTTCCAACTGAAAAAAACTCACATCTATCAGTCTACGCGGGTCAGAAAGTTGGACCTGTCAATGATCTATGATCCACTATCTAAACAATTCGCCGACTAAACACCAAGTATGCAACGATATGAAACAGCCGATCACGAATCTGCCAGGAACACGTCACTTCCGTGGTCAAATCCTGCTCTACAATACGTGGATTTGATTCCAAATTTTCTCTCTACACAATGGCAACGGTCACTGGCCAGGAATCCAACGCCATGGCGAAGCATTTTATACTCCAGTTTCAGACCACATCCAGGCATGAGCCGGACAATGCAAGGGATGAACCCTCTCCTCTTCACCAGGGGTGACGGCGAGACACAACATCCAATGATGACCCGCTCGCATACACCCTGTTGACGATCCTGTTGCCCTTTTGCAGGGTCTGATTCGCCACGGCCACCCTTTTCCTTTCTGTCCATCCCAATTGTCTCATTCCTAAGCTCCACTCTCCCGCTGGTCCATGACGAGATTTGGCGACGGGGGAGGGTCCATCCACGTTGACGGACGCCTGCAGGACCCAGATCTGGAATTCGGGTCCAATCAAACCTCGTCGCCCTGCTCTGATCTCACTCTGAACAGGAATGCAAGGATGGGGCGAGCTCATTCTCACTATTATTGTCCTGGCCCGTGCCTGCTGTGAGTTAAGTTGGTTGAGTGCCGGAGGGGAAGCCTGAAGGGGGCTCATTTTCAGCATGCCCGGGTTTCTTTGAGGCAGGGTGGTGATTCCTGTCAAGGGATACTGTAGTCCCTGGTGACCCTTATCCACCGGAAACTACCTGGCTAGCAACACAGTTTGTATAAGGACATATCGAGCCCCTGCATTGGCTGACGGTTTTGTTTTGACCGGTAATCTCTCACCTCACTCGACCCATCGCATTCTCATCCAGGTAGCGCTTGTGTGACCAGTCATTTTGCTTTTTTCGCTTCTATCTAGTTGCGAACAGGACTGCTTCATATCAAGGCCGCGCCATGGCCACCATGGACGGTGGCACCGCCAAAATGCCTGCGAATCCATGCTTCCCGGCTCCTATCAAAACTCACATCAGAAACCAGGACTCCTATTCGTCTTCATTAAGTCACGATGCTATGGCTCTTGGCGAGCCCATCCCGTCGCCACGCCGATGGTCGCCTACATATCAACCCCGAAGGAGGAGTAGGCAATTTCCGAGTTTATCATTTGTGCCGGCCCCCGCCATACCACGATCAGAATATGAAGTTTCACCATCGCTGCCACGTTTCTCCATGGATCGCGGACAAACCACAATGTCTCCGTTCCGTTCAGTGCGAAGAATGAAAGAACCATTTCAGCTCATGCTACCTAAATCACCGGCATCGGTAACCTCCCCAGTATCAACATCATGCGACGGTGCGCCGCCATTTGCACCCAAGACAGCTCGGCAATCGAAGCCGCCGGCCGGCCATTCATTGCGAACGTGGAGATCTGACCAAAACTTGATATCAACAAGTATGTCTGCTTTTGGACTGCTCCCAAGTCCTCCCATATCGGATTCGAGACCTGCAAGTACGGGACCTGAATCTTACTTCGCCTGCAAGGAAGTTTCGAACGCGGACGGAGAGAATGGCCCCTATGAGTTAGAAGCGCCGACTCCAGAGAAGCCAACTGAAAAGCCAACAGAGAAACCAACGGAAATTTCTCAGGAGGAAATCAAGGAGAAAACTCCAGAAGAGGTTGGAAAACAACTGGAAGACGTTCAGAACCCGCCACATACTGTCTATCGTTCTTGGCAGACAAGTCCGGTCGATCCACGACTGGCAGACGTAACAAGCGTGCAAGAAGCCCATTCGAATTTTATACGGCAGTGCGAGACTGATGAAATGGCGTCACCATCAGATGGACCTAGAGCTCCACCGGTTCCTTTCACATCGCCTGCATCTGACCTCAATGCTGAGTCTGTCTCAGACAGGTCACCGAGACCACAACGCCCGAGAACTGGAACTGTCTCGAGCGAAGCAAGTTGGGTACCCAACAATTTCTCGTATTGCAAGACATGGCTCCAAGGTGTACCTTTGGAATCTCCGAATGGTATTCAAAATGAAAATCCTCGGGTGTCGAACAGGAGAAAATTCCAGATCATTGAGAAGGATCCACCTATGCCCTCATTAGACGCCATTCCCGGGGCTAAAGCTCTTGATGAACCTGTGGTAAGTTTCTGATATTTTCTTTCTCTTTTACATTTCATCTTGCTAATCGAATTCCCAGCGCTTTGCCGTTGCTAGCAAACCCCGATTAGTAGATATTGCGCGACAGTCATCACCATCTGTTGCGCGTTCCCCTCATTGGATCCATCCCCTGTACCACCTCCTGTACCGGCGCACGCAGTCCCAATGACCCCTGATCAGATCCAAGAGGAAGTTTCAGCATTCAGCCCTGATACGCCTCAAGACAATCCCCTCGCTATGTCTGATAGCGGTTATGGCACTCGAGAGTCCGGTTATTCCCTGGACAGTTACCCAGACAGCAAGGATGATGATACGTATACTGATCCTGGATCATTAACATCAGACAGTGTCACATCAACTATTGTTTGTGAACGTCCGGACTCCGCGCAGGGAGAGCGCGAAACATCACCCCAGCCTGAAATACGATCAGGCAGTGTCAGCCCTCAGGCCTCACCACTACCACCTGCTCACCCTTCCCCAGACCGATCTATCAAGTCTGACAAGGAAGACGTGGAGAAACAAGGTTCATGGCGCCATGAGTGGACAATAGACGACCACGAATGGACCCTTGGAGAACTCGAACACTCTGTTAAGGACTTCCCCCGGCACATGCTACGTCTCACATCACCAGTCATAGTATTTCTCCGAAAGAACGACGAAAAGGCCCTTCTGCGGCCATTCCGCACTATTTTCCCAGATGCCACAGAGAATCTATTAGATTGCCTGTGCGCTGCTGTCATTGCTCGCAACTATCTCCTTTCTCTCGCCGCGACTCATCGCCGCAGACCTTCATTATCTGTCCGAAACGACATATATGCCGTGGATGCCATTCCCACAAAAGCATATAGCACTCTGGGCATCCAACTGCCGACTGGTTCTCCCAGTCATCGCAAAGATCGGTTCATTGGCTCCCGCAGCAGTGATCTTCGTCAACAAGTTGAGAAAACGGTTGACAGCCTGCTATTTGCTATCTGTGGACGATCCGATAGCACACTCAAATCTGCAGTCGAAGTCCTGGCGCAGGTCCTCGAAACCAAGGCCACATAATCCCTCCTTTACCTATTTCCTTCCACCGTTTTGACAAACTCCATTCCCTTCCTTGATCTCTTCTCCTTTTTGACTCACTCCTGTCATGGCCATTCGGCCTGCTTCCCTCACTCCTTCAATTTCTAGTAATGATTCCCACTTGGTTGATTTGACATTTTTCATTGACTCATTGTTTGGTGTTTATTTGGTCTGATTAGGTGTTTCTTGAATACCCTGGCATTGCGGCTCACTCTTTTGGGAAAGGTTTTTTTATTCCCTCTTATCTTTTACTTTTTCGTTTGTTCGTTTCATGCAAGGCAACCTGTACAATTAGAATCAGTAGCATACTAGTGCATAATCATAATAGCAACCAGCTATCCACTTTCCAGCATCACTTTTTTTCTCCAAAATTGCCACCACCCTTCTGAAAAAAAAAAACCTGTTTCTATCCTCCCTCCTCGTCTCTTTTTTAAACTATTATTTAAAGTGTAGGGAAACCTTGTCGGATCGCCTCACCGAAAACCGCGGAACCAAAGTCCCCCGGATCACGCCTGCTGAGTCATCCAGCTTTCCCGCGGGATTCGACCTGGCCTATCCTATCTTTCTCTGCGCATTGCGTGAACCTTCCTCCTCAAGCTCAACAACCCCCCCTCTTCCCCTCACACAATGTCAGCACCAACACGGAGTCTGCGACGGATTGCTGCCGTACGATCGGCCGTCACTCCATCCTACACACTCACCTCATATCGCTCCTATGCCACCACCGATTCCTCCTCCGCCACCAACCTACCAGCGGGAAGCACCCGCCGGCAAGCGACCTCCTTCAAGGACAAGCTGAATGCAGGCCCATCGTTCGCCGATTTCGTCTCAGGTCCCAAGGAAGAACCCCTCGACCCCGCGGAAGCCTATGCCCTCAAGAAAGCCATGGCCGGACCGGCCGGCCGCAAGAAGGAAATCACCCGACTGCCCGAGTGGCTGAAGACCCCGATCCCGGATTCGAAGAACTACCAGCGCTTGAAGAAGGATTTGCGCGGATTGAACCTGCACACCGTCTGTGAGGAGGCCCGGTGTCCCAATATCTCCGACTGCTGGGGTGGCGGTGACAAAGCTGCTGCGACGGCGACTATCATGCTGATGGGCGACACATGTACGCGCGGATGCCGCTTCTGCAGCGTGAAGACGAACCGCGCCCCGGCCCCGCTGGACCCGCACGAGCCGGAGAATACCTCTGAGGCTATCTCGCGCTGGGGCCTGGGGTACGTCGTTCTGACCAGTGTTGACCGGGACGACCTGGCGGACGGCGGTGCCCGCCACTTCGCCGAGACGGTCATCAAGATCAAGCAGAAGGCGCCCAATATCCTGGTCGAGTGTCTGACCGGTGACCACCGCGGAGACGTGGAGATGACCAAGATTATCGCCCGGTCTGGACTGGACGTTTATGCACACAATGTCGAGACTGTCGAGGCTTTGACGCCGTATGTGCGTGATCGTCGCGCGACTTTCCAGCAGTCTCTTCGCGTGCTCAAGGCTGCTAAGGAGGCGCGTCCTGATCTTATCACTAAGACTTCGCTCATGCTGGGTCTTGGCGAGACGGATGAGCAGCTCTGGGATGCTCTTCGTCAACTCCGTTCTGTTGATGTTGATGTCGTTACTTTCGGTCAATACATGCGCCCTACTAAGCGCCACATGGCTGTTGAGGAATACGTTACTCCGGACCGATTCGAGGCTTGGCGCCAGCGGGCCCTTGATATGGGTTTCTTGTACTGTGCTTCCGGCCCGCTGGTTCGCAGCAGTTATAAGGCCGGTGAGGCCTTTATTGAGAATGTTCTCAAGAAGCGTCGTGGTGGAGCTACGACTACCGAAGGCACGGTTGACAAGACTGTTGTCGCTGACCAGGCGGCGCAATAAGATTTTCCTTTGTCTGGAATAAAGAAAATATAATACGCATGGGAAATAAACCACAAATGTCTTGGTCTACTTGTTACTTTTTCTGTCTGCCTTCTTTCTCGTGGTTTATTCGGTTTGGCGCCGATTGCATTCTAGGTTTGGGCTGGGTTGGTGTTATCTTTCTTGTTCATCTTTTTTTTTTCTGTTCAATCTTTCAACACGACAGTGTATGTACCATCAACGGTTTCTGCTGTATATTCGAGGAATTCTACTTCCTTGTTACTTCCAAAAAAAGAATACAAGTTCTTCAATATAGCAGTAGCAGTTCTTCCAAGGTGACCCTAGGGTATCATCGTATAAGCTGTAACCATGTGGTTGTCTAGGTTGCTTGCGTCTTGATCTGCGAGTAGGTATCTGAACATTCTCACATTGGGTAAAATCCACCAATCACATTGTCTACGTTCCAGCTATGGGCTCTATGCAAAATGCATGATACAACTTCCTCACCTACGCCCCATCCCCACCTCACCCCACCCCCGTACCCCAAAAGCAGACTGCCATCCACTGCGAAAGCAAAAATTGAAAAACAGATGCTAGATTGGACTATGTAATGCATCCACTGCCAACTCCTGCTCCTGCTCCTGCTCCTGCTCTACCGTTGGTGTCTCGTGCCGATGAAATCACAAATAACTCCAGAGAAAAAAAAGAAATGCATGTCGACATGCCCTCGCCAGGTGTTGTCATGTCGGCTTAGAGGTATCGATCAAATGGATATTGTGGCCCGGTGACGGGCCTAATGGGTTAATGTTGTGCGTGCATGCGCACTATCGTGTTGGATCGCAACAAGATAATTGGAAATGTGAGGGTCTCCGTGCTGTTGGGCAGTTACTGCAGCTTGGAAAGCTCGTTGACGTCTTCGCTGTCCAGGCCGAGCAGGTAGAGGATATCAACGAGGCTCTCGCCGTTGGCGCGGGTTGGTGCTTCGAGCTGGACCTTGGGCTTGGCGCGCCAGGCAACACCAAGGCCAGCGGCATGAAGCATGAGCAGATCGTTTGCGCCGTCGCCGACAGTAATTGTCTGGGCGATGGGGATGTTGTTCTCCGCCGCGATCGACATGAGGAGAGTGCGCTTCTGGGCGGCGTCGATGATGGGCTTGGATTCGACCAATTTTCCGGTCAGGGTTTGGGTGGCCGGGTCGATCTCAAGCTGTATGGGTTTAGCAGGCGCGGGTGGGATAAGTGAGAAATTAGAACTGGGGACTTACGTGGTTAGCAACTGCGTAGTCAAGTCCAAGTTCCCCCGCAAGCCACTCGGCAAGAGGTTGGAACCCTCCGCTGAGAACAGCCATCTTGTACCCGAGGGCCTTGAGGGCACGGCAGAGCTCACGGGCGCCCTTTGAAATCGTTATGACGGACTTGAGCTTCTCGAAAACATCGGCCGGGACACCCTTGAGAAGGCCGACGCGCTCTTTCAAGGAGGCGGAGAAATCCAGTTCGCCGTTCATTGCGCGTTCGGTAATTTCCTACAAGAAGCTGATGAGTATTTTTTTTGGTTATTGCGCAAGTTTCAGATACCGAGGAAACCTACCGAAACCTCCTTCTCTACCCCGATGAACTTGGCAATCTCGTCGATCACCTCGTTCTCGATCAGGGTGCTGTCCATGTCGAAGACCGCAAGGCGCTTATGCCGGCGGAAGACGCTCTCTTCTTGAAGAACAACCTCGACATTCCACTCGCGCTCAAAGCGCCAGATACTCTCATGCTTGCGCAAGTCCTCGAAGGAGAGATACGCTGGGTCAGGCGGGGGAGAGAATGTGACTTCCACCACGCGCGGGTGCTGTTCCCGATCTAAGCACCGGTGCGATGTATTTGTGCGCTGGTACGGAGTCGGGAGAGTATCCAAGATCTGCAGGAAATTGGTCAAACACAGCTGCGAGACATAAGGACCATACAGGTGATCGAGAGGCTCGGGTTCAGGTGCGAATGGCTCTCGGGGAATCTTCTCCAGATCGTCTGTTGGGGCCGAACCTTCCGGGACGCGCGGGGAAGGCAGCTTGTCGCCGGCGACAAGGTGAGGGGAGACATCGGGGTGAATGTGAGGGTGGACGGGATTGGCGGATTTATAGAAGATGGTTGCGACGATGCGCGGGGTTCCGTGGGGAAGTTGGGTCTGTTGGTGATTGAAGATACTGTGGATGACACCGCTGTCATGAACACGCTCGGGATCAGGCTTGATGGGATTTGTGAGAGTGGACAGGCTTTCATCAAGCTGAGCGCCGAGGACCTCACCAATGTTGGCGCTGACCGGGACGGGCGGCTTATATTGTTGGTGGTCCTGGAGGAACGAGCTGCTGCGCATTTGGCCCAGCGAGGGCCGCTGGGGGGTCTGGTTAGAGTCGGCCATGGAGGGGTAACTTAAAAAAAAAAGTACAACGGAGACAGCTGAAGAGGAAGAATAGACGGTTCCTGATCAATCACAAACAAAGCAAATTAAGCAAAGCAAATGCAAATGCCCCTCCAAGAAAAAAAATGACGATCAGCACGTGGCCCCGCCAATCATAAATCCACAGAGTTTAAGAGTTTGGGGGTTATGATCCAGAAATCACCTACATATGACATCAAACCAGCCCGGATGGTCTAGTGGGTAAGCGCAGTTCCCATCCCAAGTCATGTGAATGATCACTAACAAACTATTCAGTATGATTCGCCCTTCGGGATTCACATTCAGGTTTCTGAAATGTCCCTTCCATGCAAAACATGGTATCTCCTCAATGGGCGAGGTCCCGCGTTCGACTCGCGGTTCGGGCCTTGACAATCTGGGTAAAACCAGCATACAAGACATCTTTTTTTTTCTTGCTTAAACCTCCAAATTATTCGAGTGATTGGTGGGATTCAACATAGTGGGGACTAAAAGTGGGGTGACGGAGCCTCTAATATCCCATACAAAGGTAGAAGCGAAGCGGGTCCGGTGGCTCTGGATAGTTGTTTTATCCGGGTCATGTTTGTGTGAAAGTTGATTTTTGGACAGAAGATTGACAGCCACCTTGTGCTTTGATATGTGGACTTGATCGGACATCTTTTTGAGGTTCACCAAAGGGGCGAGCTGATCCAAGGTAGTAGTGTTGTTACTGTTGTGGTCAAATCCACCGGAGCTTTGAGCTTCCGCGAGTTGGAGGGAAATTACTTAAACTCCAAGTTGGCGATCAACTTGGAAGATTCATAAAACTGTAAGCCCTGGAGAGAGCCGAGCTCCTTCCCCCACTAGTTATAAGTTGGTTGGAACTTGAACTTCAAGTTGAAGTTGTAGAGCCATGGTCACGGTGCCAGTGGTTACCTATATATATATATCTAGTTACTACTCTAGGTAGGTATTAGTAGTCCGATTCGGATTCGTATGCTCGATATTCCGAATCTCGAGCAGAAAATACCTAGGTATGATCTACGTATGAGGATATTAAAGTCTTTCAAGCCTATATCATTTCCTCCCTTTAAACAACTACAATAGAAAGAAGGGAAAGGTACATAAAATCGGTTGTTAATTAGTTACTACTTGCTTGAACTAAGTTGTGCCAAGGACGAATATTCTGCTAGGCGGTGAAAGTGATCACATCAACGACGAGCCTGGCAGATCTCTCCGCTTGCCACTCCACCATGACATACTTCATGAATCACACAATGCTATCCATAGGGAAGCTTCCTTGATCGGGTAACTTTCAAGTTGGAATCTTCTGGATATTACCCCACTAACATCATGGATTAGGAACTTTAGACCATGAAATTCCCAAGATTTCCCCAGATGCATTGGTCAGCAGCGGGGTTTGAAATATGGAGACCGGGATGTTGAGACAAATCCACCCGGAGGCATTTGAATTTGACCGAAGCCGAGGAATTTATCAGCCCTAGACCTTGAGCAGGTTAGCTTCAACTCGACCCTGGATGGTGCCTTGGGGGAGGGAGACCCTTTAGCAGGCCAGCAGGGGCCAGCAAATTGCGAAATTCGGTGGTAGGGGGACCCACGGGGACCAACAATGCAGGAATTGCGTGATCCCCCAGAGGATGACAAACCCCGAATTTTTCAGCAACCCCCCCCGATTCAGCAGGCGGTATTTTGCAATGTCGTGATTGCCATTGCGGCAGAATGAACAGTAATGGCGGGTTCGGATGGGATGCCAGGCACGAACATCCGAAATGATGTCGTGATTGCTCCTGTCTGCCCTTATATTCCTATCCCTTGTCTTCTCTGTCTTCTCATACTCTTTCTGGCCACCATCAGTGTACAGCCTGATCCTCCATTACCTCATACTACTTAACTTTCCATACTTGCTTTTGCACACACCTTCTCTCTCTACTCTCTCCCTCTCTATCTCTCGCCATTTAGTACATACTTCCCGCCACAATGCCGGCCAAGATGCCCCTCGGTTACCCCTCTGACCTCGAGGGTATTGACTCAAGAGACAACTGTACCGAGTCTGGATATGTTAGCGGTGGCTCATCTGAAGAATATATCCCCGAGATTGTCTTCACGAAGCCCCATCTTCAATTTCTTAATCGCCAGCTCCAGTTCCTCGAGCCTCAAGGTATATATCCTTACCTCTCCCAACCCCTCCTTTATACATCAATCTGACTCATTTCATCAAGATATCTTGAGATGGTGCATCACATCACTCCCTCACCTCTTCCAGACCACTGCCTTCGGTCTGACAGGTCTGGTCACCCTTGATATGCTGTCCAAGTTGGAGGTACCCCGCCCCCAGATGGTCGACCTCATCTTTCTCGACACTTTGTACCACTTCAAGGAGACCCATGACCTCGTGGACCGTATCCGCAAGCGTTATCCCAACAACAACGTTCATGTCTACAAGCCTGCCGGAGCCGAGACTACTTCCGAATTCGAGACCAAGTATGGTTCTCGTCTTTGGGAAACTGACGACCAGCTCTATGACTGGGTTGCCAAGGTCGAGCCCGCTCAACGTGCCTACCGTGAGATGAATGTCCACGCTGTCCTGACTGGCCGCCGTCGCAGCCAAGGTGGCAAGCGTGGTGACCTTGATGTCATCGAAGTTGACGAGGCCGGCCTTATCAAGATCAACCCCATGGCCAACTGGTCCTTCGACCAAGTCAAGCAGTACGTGAAGGAGAACGATGTTCCCTACAATGCCTTGCTTGACCGTGGCTACAAGAGCATTGGAGATTGGCACTCCACCCAGCCCGTTGCCGACAATGAGGACGAGCGCTCCGGTCGCTGGAAGGGCCAGCAGAAGACTGAGTGCGGTATCCACAACCCCCGCTCCAAGTACGCCCAGTATCTGATGGAGATGGAAATGAAGCGTCAAGAGGAAGCTCTCACTCAGGCTCTGCAGAATCAGCTTACTGCTACCCAGTGATTTCTTCAATCTTGTCTTTCCAGTCTCATTGCATACACCCGGCGTTTAATTTGTGGATGATACCTCTTTGTTCTTTCAGCGGCCCAGCCTTATATGATGATTTCCTTTATGTCCCTGGGATTTTACTCCCACTCCAAAAGTACAGTGAAATTACACTGTCTATTCGCATGCCAACTCCTGATTCCTTTTGGGTTCTCCTTTTGGAGTTGAGCTCCGTTCTCGGGCACCCTAGTGGGGCCCAACTATAATGACCCTTGCATGATACATAGAATCAAATAGCATAACAAGATGCCTTTATTAAACCAGTCCTTCCATTTGAAACATGTAAATCATTAAATCATCAATTGTAGCGCTCAATTTTGTTTAACCATTGGATTTTTGATCTCAGTCAGTGGTTACTACAACTGCAGCGGGTTGCTCAGGTGCGTCAGCCGTGCTCCGATCCAGGAGCCGATCACGTGTGGTATCAACCCTAAAGGAAGAGCGTTTCAATCCGATTGAAACATTTGAAAGTCATCAGTACAGCCTTTCCAAACGAGTTCGACATCAATTACATTAAAAATTGCAGAGAAAACATATTTTACCAAAGTGAAATTCCCTACCCAAATTTACTATCTAGCGACAACTATTTCCTTGCCTAATCAAGTCGCCTGACGTGATCCGTCGATCCGCGATCATCCGAGTCTGCCTCGTTCAATTTTCAAAACTTTGAGCACGCCCCGTATGCTGGTCGGAGTAATCCCGGAATAATAATATTGGCTTATGTAGCTGTGAAATCAAGGCTGTGAGGATCTGATGGAGATTCTGATGACGTGCTAGTGGGAAATGTTTTCTTTCAGCGATCTCACAACGAATATTATTTTTTCAATTCGACAGGGTGCCTGATTACCGTAACTACTACTCATTTAAGTATTGTAGGCGTTAAGTCAGTTTCTCATTCAAAATATCAGTTCCGCATTTCTAGTTATTGAATTCGTAGAGCAACGATCTACCTCTCCACTCGAAGAAACTATTTTGAAGCCAATTTATCATGTTTCTTTTTAGCCTAATATACCTTGTCATTGTTGGGCTTGCTCCAGTATCTTTCGCCAAACTATGGCCTTACCAAGCCTTCGTTACCGAGCGAACATTTCACCCACCCGTCCTAGAGGTCATCAAGACAGGGACGAGCTTGGCAAAGGACTAATTGTCTTCACCCCTTTCTATCGAAAATTCAACCGATATTAATGCCAAAGAACTAGCTGGGGCCATGATAATGACAGACGAGGGTGAACTAGTGTGGTACGTGGAGACTGCCGCACCGCAAACAAACCTCTTTGCCCAGCAGCTCGACGGAAAACCAGTTCTTACTCGGTGGCACGGCAAAGGAAGCAAGAACGGACATGGATATGGCTCCGTCATCATTCTTGACGACAAATATACACCAATCAATGAGATATGTCCCAAGCCTAACTTTGTCACCAGTGATGACGAGGAACCCGAATGCTACGCCGATCTCCACGAGTCATTTATTACGGACCTTGGGACAATTCTTGTAACGGCTGTCAACACGACACAGGCTGATCTTACATCCGTGGGTGGACTGGTCGATGGCTGGATCTTGGATAATTGGATTTTCGAGATCGATATTAAGACCAATGAAATTGTCTTCAGCTGGAGTGCTCTCGAAGCCGGAATTCCTTTGAATCTATCAAAAGTATCGATCGCATCTAACGTTATGGGAAACGGAACTGCAAGGTCTTCTGCTGGGATTGGTTTCACATGAATTCTATACAGCGAATCGGCGATAAATACCTTCTCAATAGCCGGCACTGCTGGTCCACTTTTCTCATTGACAGTGATGGTAATATCGAGTGGTATTTGGACGGAAGCGATGGTGACAATTTTACTCTCCCCTCCCCAGATATCTTTGTAAGACCAAGCGCGGTGACTTGGAGAAAATACTGTGAACTAACTCTTGCCCCCAAACAGAATGGCAGCACCATGCACGCATTCAGAATATCACTGAATCATCCATTCAGCTTCATTATTTTGACAACAATAACGCCAAATGGAAAATGGAAAGACAGAATCTTCTGGCCTTCAGTTGAAGTTAGATATCCGGAACAAGAGCGTGCAAATTCTTCATCGTCTGCATGATCCAGAAGATGAGATATGCACCAAGTCTCAAGGCTCTTTTTGGTGAGCAGAGAATGTAAATTATCTTGTCGGCTATGGTAGTATCGTAAAAATTAAAGAGTACGGCGAGGACAATCTTGTTCAATCCTACCGATCCTACCGCCAGAATTGGCATGCAACTCCTGTTTAAAAACTCAAGACCGCGGAATATTCGACGAACTCAAGGGAGACCTCTTGGTTTGGCCCTGGAGATTGCCGCGAAGCTGGGCTGCATTCAGCTCGAATCCAAGTTCTATGAGTCAAGCCCAAAGCTCCGAATGAGCCTCGCTGTTCCACATGATGTGACCGCAAGGAGGGAGGGCTGGAAAGGCGAAGCATCGGCCCAACTTCGACGCGCCTTTCCCGGGGTAGAGCTATCAAAAGCAAGTCCCATAGGATTCGTGGTGTTCCAAAGAGAGAAAAAGAGGTGATCAACGAGATTATCGACTTCATGAATAATTTTAAAGTAGGCAAAGTCTGCGTGGATGGCCCATTGATGCCAAGAATGTCAAATGGTCTAATGGATATTGAGACTACTAATGAGGTCCAGGTATTGTTAAGAACTCTCCCTCCATGGTTCGTATGAGCTTGATTGATTGACTTTGAGTAGCAACTTCGCCGTCTGCAAACGATCGAGTCCTTCTGGGCCGCGGTTCAAAAGATAATGGGGGTGCCCGTATCGCCGGAGATGTCAAAATTTTCGTACAGAGAGAGAATTGAAGCTTGTCTTTTAATAATGGAAGATATGGAGGATGTTGATAACTGGGAAGATCTGCCCGGGCAAATTACAGCACTGATTCGCGATCAGCCAGGCCTTAGATTTGACGGAGAGCCCATAAGATCTCGCGAGGATCTGGAGCTGGCGTACCGACTCCCCCGCAACTTTGTTCAAGAATCGACTGACAATCCAGAAATGCTGGAGCTTAGCAAGCTCGCTATTTTGGTGCTTCTAGCATATAGAAAAATGATATGTCGGGATCGCAGGGAACAGGTAATTGATGTGATTATTCTTCGCGCCATTCCTTACGATGTTCTTTCACGGAAATGTGGGTCGTGTGATCAAATTTTCCTAGATCATCCGTTTCCATACTGGTCCAAGAACAGTCCTAATTTTTACGTATCATGGCAAGTCCACGGTGGCTGTGGGCACGTTGATTGTGAAGGTAGCTACCCGAGATTGAAACCACTCCGGAGGGGGATCAAATGGTCAGAAGCCGTTGTGAAACGACTCAAAAGAATAGCTAACGATCACCAAAAGCCTCCTAAACAGATTGATTGGCTGCTTCGTCATGACCAAGAGCGAGGTGATCTCCCACAGGAAGTCAAATTCAAATGCCACCATTGCCCTCAAACGAAAATCGTTCTAGCAAAATTGACCATCCACCCCTGGCAAGGCTCGTGGTCCCGGAAATCCAATGTTGGGGGCCTAAAGATCGCACTGGGCAGGGATGCGGGAAGAAAGGTCCTTGGGACCCTGTGGAAAAATTTCAAAAGACCAAAACTATCCGTCAGGCTAACCTTAGCCGGACATTCATTGAGTTTCGGCAAAGAGGCTGTGATCTAAGACACTACCCTCGGGAAGGCAGTGTCGTTTTCTCAGAGAAAGACAATGATTTTCGAATTGCTGAGCTTAAAGAGCTCAAGACTGCGTGATGGGAGAAAAGAGAGTACGAAGCATAATGAGCCTACCTCATGATCCAGACTGATATCTGAGATATCTGCGATAGTAGAAGATCCGCCCCGAGCCATCACTGTCTGCCAGCCAGATTGAGATGTGATAGAATAATAAATGGGCCCCAACATATTAAACCGAGAGGCTTCTTAGCAGTTCATTGTAGCTTTTCAACTTCGGCACTAGCGTTCGGGCGAAGAAAGCCGACATGTAGTATCCAAATTTTATAGTTGTTCTATCCCAAGTCGCTCTGATAGTTTATAAAGAAGTACTAGTATTCGAGAAAATGAGATACTGGTAGTAACCAACTTGAAAGAAGTGTCACCTGGGCCAGGTGTTAGGCTTAATTCCCACCACTGGCACTAGTACTCTAGGCCCACTTGAAGACAAGCGCCTAGGTGGCTCACAGCCTTGAAACTAAATTGAAGAAAAACCCTCAGAACATGAGGCCTGTGCCTCGTATGTTATCTCACAGATATAAACAACAAAGGGTGGGACTGACCCCGGGCCTCGAGTTCTTGGGTCACCTACTAGGTACTACTACCTAGGTGATATTGGAACTCTCTAGTGGTGAGGATACCAGATCATTCCATTCAATCTGAAAACTCCGAACCCGCTATGTGCAGAAGCGTACTTTGCGAGATCAATATCCGCATGTGTAGTCTCCTTAAATCCTAACTTCACATAAAACCCATGGGATGGTGCCTCCGCGCCGAGAGCGAAAGGGATATTTTCCGCCTTTGCGCGATCAAAGCCAAGCTGAACTAACTTCGCTCCAACTCCGTGTCTCTGAACCCGCGGCTCCACACAGATATAAATCAAGTCTATCTTAAGTATTAGAATGTTGCAACCTCTCATGAGCTTGTTGAATTCCCAAGACCTACGAAAAAAGTCCATGTTTTCGGTCGCCTTCGCAATTTCCGCCGATGCAATCATAACCTCAACAAACAAGGAAGGATTCATTCCCTCTGGAGTCTCTTGGTCGGGATTTGCACCGAGTTCATATTCTGGTAACTTCTGTGCCGGTCGCTTGCGAGCTAGGACAAAGTAACCGATAATTTCGTTCGAGTCGGTGTCGACCGCCTTGAAACACTCTGTGTTAGGGTCTTTGAATACGGAAGTTACAGCATCAGTGTACATTTTCATTTGAATAGTTTCATTCGGCCAATCTTCGAATAAAAGCCGGTTGATGCTGAGACGGAGCTTCGAGGCGTGGACGAATTTGGCGAGGAAGGGGAGATCGGCCTCCTCAACTGGCAGAATGGAGTAGTTTGGCGCAGCCATGATTGATGTTGAAATTAATTGAAGCTCTTAGATCCCTCAGATACTTTTTTTTTCAAATAGGGAATCCATACAGAACATAAGAAGCTTAAATAGTGATGAGGCATTCCTCAAAATATTGCAGGCTGAAATACCAGGCAGCCGATTTTTGGCCGATTCTAACGGTAATAGGCCCTCATCACTTTAGCTGCTTTCTATAGATGATGAGAAATTTAGGCCTGTAACAGGCTGCAGCTTGAATAATCAATCTCGCGAAAACAGATGCTCAACTAGTGTTGATCAACACCACAATCAACATGAAGCAGAATAAGTATAGAAAATCCGGGGAAGCTTAGTCACAGTGTAATGTGGGAAACCACGTGACTGCAAACAAATATAGAAGGCACGACCACTACAAAAGTATAACAACAAACAAAAAAGGGAAGAAGGGAAAAAGAAAATACAGATCAAGCGCCGTGTGCTGGAATCGACCTTTTGACCTGGACAAAAAACAAAAACGGCAAAAAGGTGGTTCAAGGCAGCTACCAGCGTTTTATCAATCAACCTAACCACTCTTCCCCCCCAACGGGTAGGGCCAAGAACCCTAGACCATTCGGAGCTACGATGCCAGGATGGACTCTTTCCCCAATTGTAGCCGATGTATTGCCCAGTATTGGTTGACCAGAGCTTTCTCATTCTCTCTTCTCTACAGCATCAATGGCGCCGACTTGAAGCTACCAAGCAGGAACTTGAACACCGGGTCGATTGCAGCCATGGAGCGCCGTAGAAAGTACAGTGGCACCATCTAGCGCCAGCATGCTAGTAATTTATCATCGTGATTATTTCCATTGATGCGCTCCTCTCAATTTCTTCACTACAGAGCATAAATAAACTCAGGATTCTCCTTGTCTGTAAAATCGCGCCAACTTGAAATATTTTGTAAGTAAATGAATGAGACGTATTTGGAGGACTAGGAAAACTCACCCTTGGTTTTGTAACCTAATATATCCAGCACTCGCTCTAATTCCTGCCTTTCGACGATTTTCTCGACGACACCACCAGTTGATGAAGAGTAGATCGCAGATACACAGAATAAAGCAGGCCATAATGGTTATCTCGGCCGGGACATATCGCGGTGCATCCTTGGGACTGAACGTTTGCGGCCCAATGATATTTCCTGCGCAATATCCAATGAGATACAGTGCGGCGACTGTTGTTTTCTTGGTGTAGCCTGCAATGTTGCTAGAGATGAGGGACAGTACTGTAGCGCCGGTAGCAGGAATCGCTTGTGTCAAATAGTAACCAATCAATCGTCCGATGTTGTAACCGTCACCCGAGGTAGGCAAAGCAATAATCAAGATAATGCCTATCAATGCTACTGCCATCGGTATACATGCCACGAGTGTCCGATTATGGTAGCGATCGCCTGCCCAGCCATTTGACAAACAGGCTATTATCACAACAGCACCTCCGGGTATACCGTAGAGGAGACTTTGCTGCGAAGTATACCCGAAACTCACGATGAGTTGGCTGAAAAAGTTCGTAAGACCGCCATTGGGAATATCCGATAAAACACCGTACACAAACAAGGCCCAATTTAGTGGATCTAGCAATGCTTCGCGGAATTGGTACCACTTGAAGTGTCGGTTGCCAATACCTTGCTCGTTATCACGGACGCGCTGGATCGCAAGTAGGCGGTCCCTCTCGTTCAGCCAACGGCAATTGAGTTGGGAGTCAGGAATAACCACGAAAAATAAAATGCCTATACAAACCTTCAAAGCCATAGAGAATCTCAGCATTTTGAACTAAAATTTTTCATTTGTTGGCTTACCGTGAAACAGCCCGTGGCAATGAAAATGACTTTCCAACCAGCAATGGCAGCGTCGATTTCTGAGAGACGTCGAGAGATTCCGTATGCTACCAGGCCGCCAATTATCTGACCACATCCGTTTGCACTTATCCAGATTCCTGCCCTCAAATTGTGTTCGTGAACAGTATACCACTGTGAAGAGAGCAAAGCAAAGGCTGGCATACTAGCCGCTTCAAAAACACCAAGAAGAAATCTGATCGCCACAGCGCCTTGGAAGTTGGACACGGTCGCAAACAGAGTCAATATTATCCCCCAGGTCGTAACACAGAAGGCTGAATATTTGGCTAGCGGTAGAAGCTGTAGGAGCCGGCTCGTCGGGTACTATAATAAATGTGGCCCGGGGTTAGAGAAATTCGAAATGACCACCCCAGGTGCTAAGAACTGTGCCGAACTTACCTCCCAGGCTAGCCAGCCAATATAGAAAATTGATCCCAGCCATTGGTATTCGTCTCCCTTTAAATTTATATCTTCTTTGAGTCCCATGATGCTTGCATAGGAAAGAGTCGTTTTGTCCAAGTAGTTGAGACCGAACACGCAGAACCTAGAGGGATTGATTTAGCAATTAAAATGCAGTAGAAGCCGCTATGAAAACTCACAGTACGGGCATAAGATGCCAGTCTATCGTGCGAAGCAATCTTCGATTTGTAGCATCGTCCAAGACCAACGGTGGGCCATCGTAGCTTGCCAGCGCCTTCATTGCTTCGTCGTCGTCTTGGGTGTATTTCATCACATCATCGCTGGCAATCATTGTTCCGGCTTCAAGTTCTACCGCAGCTATACCTTCATCTATAGGTGAATTTATCTTGCTTGCTTGGAGCTCAATATGGTTGTAACCAGGAGCTTCCGTTTGCTTCCCTTCTCCATCCATTCTTGGGCTCATGTCGACGGCGTTGGCTATGACCAAATCACGCCTCGATAGTGGTCGATCTGCTGACAATTATACCGACGTTAATGCATGGATCATTACCCCACGGGGTATCCATGCAGGGAGCCCCGCCGGGGTGGTCGAGACTTGCTTTTCGGGACCGGCGATAACCCGACGGTCTTATGGCCGAGCATGTCCGATCGCTCATCAACTGCGAAATACCATAATGGATGAGCTCTTACCCGAACCTTCCCCGCACGACCATTGTTAAATTTAAACTCGCCCGTATATTCCTGAGCCTTTCTCGTGCCATCTCCTGGTCACTGAAACTGAAGGTATACCATGGGTACGGCAATCGGATTAGGTGGGCTCAACCCACCCCCTCCATCAGACAGCACTGTGCGGGTCCGTATGATAGACACGAAATCTTTCATGTCATTGCATGCTTTTTCCTTTGTCAAGCCGGTAATGCCTGGACACGAGCGAATGAGCGTAACAACGGTGGCCTTTTTGATCGAGAATGAACGACTGGGAAAGAAAGCGATGTTTGATCTCGGAACACGAAAAGACTACTGGAACTCCCCGCCATTCACGCTCACGAGAATCGAGGCCGCAATTCCAGGTGTGAAGATTGAGAAGGACGTGACCGAGATTTTGCAGGAACAAGGCATGAAGCTGAGCGAGATCGGTATGAAACTTAATCTGGATTCCATCGCAATCAGGATCTAACTTTCACAGATGATATTATCTGGTCTCACAGTCACTGGGACCATATGGGCAGCCCACATTTATTTCCTTCATCGACGAACTTGTCCTATGGCAAAGGAACCGGACCATTCCCTACATACCCCGAGAACCCAAACTCAAATCTCAATGCCGATGATTTCAAGGGCAGAAAATGTGTTGAGATTGACTGCACAGACTTACACATCGGACCATTCCCAGCCACCGATTTCTATGGAGATGGATCCCTATATCTGCTAGACACCCCCGGCCACTGGCCAGGGCATATATGTGCTTTGGCTCGCACTACACCAGACACTTTTGTCTTCCTTGGTGGAGACATTTGCCATTTTGCAGGCGATTTTAGGCCTAGCGAGGAAATCCCGCTACCGGTCTCTATTCCCGCAGATGCTCTTCTCAACAGTCAAAAATACCCGATGCCATGTCCTTGCGAGTTCTTCTCAGCTCATCATCCTCAGCTTCGGGAAATTGGGCCATCAGTTGATACAAAATCCACGCCATTTTACCAACTCTCGACACACGCGCATTCAACATACAAAGACCCAGCCACTGCTGCGATTACGACCTACGGAATGCAAAAATATTTCGACGCTGATCCCAATGTCATGGTCTTTCTAGCTCATGACACATCTTTACTGGATCATTTACCCACTTTCAATGAAAGTCCCGACGAAGATCTCAATGATTGGAAGGAGTCGGGATTTAAACAGAAGTGTCACTGGGGGTGGATGGGTGAGCTCCCGCGATATGATAAAGATGGAAATGTGATTGGGCCAGGGAATCGGGAAAAGCCGATTGTTGATGGCCTTTGGGTGGATGGTGCTCTGGTAGAAGGCTTCATGAAATAGATGATAGATCAAATATAATAGAGCCCATAAAGAGGTTCCTATGTTAGCTACTATTTTGCTGCATCTCCTCGTACAAGAAAAATGGGAAGTCGGCATTTGCAAGTCCTTCACCCCCCAGGGGCAAGAAGATCGTACCCCATGCCAAAACTCCATAGTTCTTCGTCTTGAAAGCCCCAGTTGTTGTAAGGAGAAACGTCTGGCGTTAGTTGAATATTATATTCAGGGCTTCTATTAAATTGAATGCCGGTCTCAACTGGATGATTCCCAAGAGCGTAAGCTGGTATTTCAGGAAAGTCCCTTTGCTCATCACTCGGTCTATCTGACCATGAATTAACCGGGTATTTTGCTCGTGGGGTCTGATCCGTCATTCCTTTTCTGGATTTTGGGTTTGTCTGTTTAAGCATTCGCTCGAATCCATTTGCCATGCTGAAAACCATATGGCCGGCGCCAGCCTTGCAGTCTCGCAGTAACTTGATTATGCCTTCGATCAAAGGTCTTGTTCGCCGAACCGGGTCTATTGTTATGCCGATTATCTGCCAGCGACGTGACATTTTCATCAGGAAGACGACGGCAAAGGCGATCATGGAATGCATATAGAGTGGCATTCCTACAATTCCCTCGCGATACCCTGGCTCCTCGATAAAATGCTCGAGAAGCAGATGAGCCGCCTCAATTGCCCGAAGCGTTAGGGGCCGAAGGCTTGTAGGGAGATCATGAAGGGTCTCCAGTGGACGTCCTCTTAGAACCAATGAGTGCAATACCAGCTCGCTGAAATAGTAGTGCAGGTCAATGCCGCCTCCTAGCGAATTGATCATCCTCAAATGACCCCAGCGGTCTTTCCACACGCGTGAATCTTCAGTGAACCTAAAATGGTTCAACACAGATGCATCGTCACTACCCATTGTTCTTTTAGGCTCAAGACCAAAATTCTGGAAAGCTTTACTCATGATCACTAGTCCAGTAACCTGAGCGATGAGTGCCTGATCTGATGGCGTGCACCATGGCGAGTTAAGAAGGACTTCGAAGTCTTTGATCGGCCTTAGCTCAGCCATCACCGGTGGTCGACCATAGGCAATGCTTGATTGGTGATCCAGAACAAAGAGGAGGTACCACAATCTAGCTTTCTCGAGATTTTCCTTGCAAGTATCTTCAGTGGCATTGGGGTTATAAAAGGCTTCGTAAAACGCGTGGTGAAGATTCAACTCGGTCGCCATGCGAATACATAAGCCACTCAATTTCCAGCTTAAATCAGGTTGCCAAAGAGCTGCAATGCATAGCCCACGAATGTCATCAAGGGTATGAAAACGATCGAATATTGCAGAGGTGACAAGTCCAAGGAATCGACTGTGGCATCTTTCATGTAAATATTCGTGCCCGGAGATGTGAAGAGCGCTGACCAGCATGATGGCAGTGAACAATATGGTGGATGACGTTCGAATCGTTTCAAGTGTTGCATCTTGGGGGGATCGTAGCCGAGAAAAGGTGTGGTGACAATAGTGTCTTGAAACTGTATTCGCAAGTGCATTAGAATTTGGATGATGGAAAATCTCAACGGAGTGTGACCAACAGTTCCAGCATTTCGTCCGCCTCTTCATATGTCAAGATCATTTCTGAGATCAAATCTGAGTCCATTCTTCTCATTCCACCTTTGCGCCTTTGTTTCGAGCTTCTCAGCTGGCTGGAAAGACCATCAAGCCTTGTTGCTTCGATCAGACTTCCTATCCCGATGGTCGGTCCGGGTGAGATATCTCTCTCCTGCGGATCTCCATTGCTGAGCCCTGGCTCCGGTGAATTCTGCCTTGTCGGTCGTGACGATTGCGATGGCTCCACGATATCCGGTGGCGCATACAGGTCGAGCGCGGGCAAATTCAATTTTTCTAGCACATCTTCGAGTGCTCTTTCAAGCTTGATCAAATTGACATTGTATGGCTGTGGTCGCGTCTCGATATTTTCGGCACTCATCCATACTTTCTTCTCGCTGACGCACTTGAGTCGAAGACGAAGGCAGCGTGAACAGCTGCCCATACCTCTATCTGCAGAATCACATTTTACCTTGAGCTTGCGGCAGGTAGAACAGGCTGTTCCTTTCTTAGACTGTTGTATTTCTGCTCCATCTTCCGCTCCTCTTTTCTGTCTTTTCTTTGCAGGAGATGACTCCTCGGCCACATGAGCGGAGTCGGTCAAGTCGCGATTCATGCCGTAAACGAGTTTCAGTCGGTTAGAGTGGGGAGCGGAGAGGACAGAAAACTAAAAATGACATGAGGAGAAGGCTCCCCCGGATAGAATAAAGTTGAATGACGCTCTAGGGCCCACTAGCTCCTCCTTTCGAGGATAGTTGTGGTACATCCATTCCGAGTCCATCTAGTTAGTCCATCGTGGTCAGAAAACTCCCTTTTCCCACCAAAACAGAGAAAAAGGAGAAACCGGTCAAGCTGCATATCAACAAACCATTTGAGAAAAATCCAATCAATTTCCCTCTGCGACCTTTCTCGACAATTCGTCTCCATCTCGCACCCAGTTCATTTCATAGGGGCTGCCCCGCTTCCCCGCTCCATTGCCGACGGGGATGATCGGGGTTATGCCGACGGGGATGTGTACATGCTGTATCACCTAGGAAGTTTTCGAGTTGATCAAATCGATTAAATTAGTATTTGAAATGTAGCTATCGGGGTAAAAATCCTCATTACAGCCCTACACTGGTCACTCCCTTAGTGATAACACGTTCACGATGACAACATTTCGACCTCGCATCGCTATCACTCTCGGCGACCCAGCCGGTGTCGGACCCGAATTGGCAGCGAAGCTTCTCGCAGACCCTCAAAATAGCGCGAGGGCCGACCTCCTTGTTCTTGCAGATATATCCGAAGTTGAAGCCGCGGCCTCTGTCGCAAACGTTACAATCCCAGGAAGTATACAGATTCTGCATGATGGAACAGCCCCGACCACGCCGATCGAACGAGGGAAGATATCAAAGGCGGCAGGTGAGCGCACCTTGCACCAGCTCAAGCGAGCGACAGCTCTTGTGAACGAGGGCGAAGCAGATGCTATTGTATTCACGCCGTTGAACAAGACATCACTTCATATGGCCGGGATGCACGAGGAAGATGAACTGCGGTGGTTTGCCATGCTATTGAACCACAAAGGAACTACCAGCGAAGTCAATATTATCCCTGGCCTGTGGACTGCGCGGGTAACAAGCCATGTCGCGATGAAAGATGTATCTGCGAGGATCTCGAAAACGTCAGTCTGTGACTCGATCGAGCTTTTGCATAATTTGCTGTACGTACTCACACTCAGAACTGCTGTTCACAAACTAAACTTTAGTACATAGCTCCGACTCTGGTATCACAAGTCCTCGCCTGGGAGTATGCGCGTTGAATCCGCATAATGGCGAGAATGGGCTATTTGGTCGTGAAGAGATTGATGCCATTCGGCCGGGTGTAGAGCTCGCTTTATCGAAGGGGATAGACGTCAAGGGACCGTTTCCTAGCGATACCATCTTTGTCGCCCGAGCAAACTATGACGGTATTGTGACAATGTATCATGATCAAGGCCAGATAGCTCTCAAAGTCATTGGGTTTGATGGTGGTGTGACTGTTCAAGGGGGGCTACCGGTGGTGATAGCCACCCCAGCACATGGCACGGCGTTTGATATTGCGGGAAAAAATGTTGCCAGCGTGAGGAGTAGCCAGAACGCCTTAGACATTGCGATTGCAGTTGCTGGCAAAAAGGCTGCTCTGCGAGCTACTCAATAGAATTTGCTAGAAAGTATTTGATTAAGAAGCTTATTAATACCGTTAAAGCTGTATATCCCTGCTATTTCATCACAACAGATCCTTGACCGATACTTTCTAGCCTTGAGCTATGTATAGCTCCCCGAGCTTGAGAACCTTGGAAGGCTTAGTTAGTGTGACCAAAATTATATAATTTACTCGTCCCTAATTCAGATCTGAAGGGAGGTGTTTCATGCTCGTTTAAAATGAAAATTGGGCATAGTTGCGGTTCAAACAGATTAGAGATATCTATACTGCTTACTGCACAATGTAGTATGTAAGTGGAAGTTTCCTCGAGGGATCTGTAATAAGGCGGGAATCTCCGTTTGAGGCCTATAAGTAAAATTAGTCTCGGCCACCTGAATTCCTTCTCTCTCATCACAACTTGAACCTTTTGATATTTCTTTTTCTTTTTACCTTTTCATTTGACGTCCAACTAAAATCATCAATCAGAACGTGAAGGGATGTGTTTCTCCTCGAGCTCGTCTATCATCCATCACTCCTCTATGGACAGGCCTGCTCTGCCTCAACACCAGGTACGCGATTTTGATGAATAAGATAACACGCACTATCATTCTTCTTGGGCTAACACTGGCTATTCACAGGGACCTGGAGGACTTCTTCCACCGTACCCTCTCCGAAGTTATTATTTTGGAACGACTCCCCTCGGGTCTGAGGAAAATCCTCCCACTCCTGTTCTAAACCTACCAAGCCCCTCTCTTCACACTGGGGTCAATCAACAGCCAAGTAACGTCTCATCGGATAACCCCCCTGAGCTCTTTGACAACCAGCTCGGACGAGTTATCCTCGCACCAAACCGACGAATTCTCTCTCTCTGACAACGAAGACGAAGACGAAAGCGAAAGCGAAGAGAAAACTCCAGATATCTCCCCCGAAAGAGAAACAGCCCAAAGTAAGACCTCTTGCGAGTTTGCCGGGACCTGCCAGATGGGTAAAGAGCCCCATACCCATTACAGAAAAATCATCTCGCATTTCTTCGGCAGAAATAAGTCTGCCACCAAGGTCTTTCCCGACTATGTCTGGGTCCACTACTGCCGCAAACACTACCAGCGAGCAAGATACCGCGCAGGCCAGTGGCCTTTCACTCAGTGTGACCTTCTGATCGAGTCCCTTTCTCGGATGGAGGACTGGGGCGGTGTTCAAAGCTTCGAGGTCATTCTTCGTCGACGAGAGCAAGAGCGTCGGTCCAACGCTAATACCGATGGAGACGCCTCTGTATCAGCAGATAGCTCGCCTTCTTTGTCTGGCTCTGGCTCGGCTGCGAAATTACCGCCGATTGGGCGTAAGAATCCGAGAGCTGTGACTGCCCCCGTTCCTGACTGGCTTCTTGAGCGTATCGGATCTGGCCTGACCTTTGGTGATATTCGAGAGATCATTCGCCAAATTCGTCGACATATGGAAGATCTTCAGCGGGATAACGAAGGAGGGGGAGAAGGGTCCACTGGAGACACTCAATCCGATAAAGCTTCGAAGTCAAAGAAAGGCAAAGCTCGACGTGGAACTTCCAACTCGGGTTCCAAGCGCGCGCCTAGCCCGATCCGATTTCCGGATATTGAGATCCTTCCGAAATTCAAGTCGTGGGCTCTTGAAAAACATAATGTCTCGCGTGCGAAGATGAAGAACGACAAAGAGAAGAATGATCCTTCGACCTCGGGTGAGAAGTGTTCGGATCGGACTTCTGCCGCTGGTAGTAGCCCCCCGCCTCAAGGAAAGCGAGGCACAGCCAAGACTACTCCCACTGCTCGTCAGCCCGTGGATCGTGTCAATGAGCGTGGTGGAGTAAGGAAGCCCCGGTCTAAGGCCAAGGGCTATATTGTAGGTACCCCCGATACTTACCAATCGCCACTGAATGGTAAAGGCAAAGGCAAAGGGCCATAGCGCAAAGGATGATCCAGAAGTGCTGTTCAATTACCTTGTCTATTTGTGGAGTACAAGGTAGAGCGTTGTGGAGTACAGGAGCTCCGGAAGGCGTGAAGAGTAAAGAATACCGTTAGCGTGGTATTTTGGGGAAGAGATGAGAGAAAGAGCGATCAAAAAAGAAAACCCTAAAGAAAAAAAAAACAAAAAACATGAGAATCGTTTGAAATTTGCTAGATTGTGAAAATATCAGTTAAATGTACTGTTCAAATTATCAACATAGTTAAAGCAGAACTTGGAATCTAAGCTGCTCAACAGTACCCATAGTGTCTGACTTGAAACCTTCCAAGAAGTACCTAAGTAGATCCCTCTGATCTTAATCATGCATGCTTCGCAGGACTAACAGTAATAATAATAATTGAATACAAGTAGATTCAAGCTGAAAATATTTTCCGATATCAAAGACAAGAACTCCACTATGTGCAAAAGCAGCAGAAACAACCCACACGCTCGCTAGAGAAAGAAAGATACCAAATGCAATGGGATCCAACGTACAAAACACGCCACCTCGTATCATATCGCCGGATTTAACAAAAAAGGAAAGGCATTGACAGAAATTAAGAGGTGATTATGGTGGGATTTGTTCGTGATCGTCAAGAGAGACAGAAATATAAATGACTACTAGCTAGCCACTGCAAGCTGAGCCACCAGGTCCGAGGCCACATCAAGGAACGGGTATGGACTGGTCACCTCTTTCTCCTTGTTCATGTAGCGCTTGCTGATGGGGTGCCAGTCGGTTTCACCATGGGGGCGGATAACGTTTTGATAGCCGTCGCACTTAAAGTCGACCATGTAGTTATTCTCCTCGAGTTGGTACAGTTGGATATCGACGAATACCCAGACACCATGGGAGATACTTGGGAGTCCCTTGCTTTGCGTTGCTGACGAGGGTGCGGAGGGTGCGCTGTTTTCCGGGGTGAGGGATCGGGAATTGTCGTCTGTAGGTGCGGAAATGCCGGAGATATGGAAGCGACGGCGTAGCTCTTCGAGGTCGCTGCGACTATTATAGACACTGGTGGTTGCGCCGGGGGGCCTTGACGCCTTCCTTCAAGAGTCTGGCACGGATGAACCAAGGGTCCTTGGGGATGTAGTAGTCCGAAGGAAGGTCAGGGTATTTGCTTTGCAAGGGTTTGGGCTTGTCGGGAGAGGGTGTTGCGTCAGGTCCAATGTTGGTGCCTATGGAATGTTAGTATGTAAAGACAGATTGCAAGAAGAGGATGGATGGAACTAACCCGATTCAACAGGTTGGATATCCCAGACTCCGCCCTGGGCAGCAATTGCCCGGTACAAATACAACATAGCCTCGTAAGGCTGGTTTCGAGAACGAATGCCGAATTGCCACTTGCGAGATCTTTTCGGTTGCTGTGTGATTGGGTGGCCGATTGGTGGCTCAAGTCGTAGCTTTTCCAAGTCAACGATACTACGTGAGTGGGGCTTCAACGACCGGGCTGTGGCAGCTTGCTCCTCTGCGGAAAACTCTCTTGGCTCACCGCCAGCTTGTTCGTCTTGTCGACGCTCCAGGAGCACTCTGTCCCGTTCTTTTTGTTCTTGATCACGTTGTTCCATGAGTTGGTCGTGGACATAAGGCAAACTGGTGGGCAAAATTCGAACGTGACTGAGACGGGGCTGATCGAAGTCTTCCGCATCGGCTGCTTGCTGGGCTTCTTCGGCAAGAATACGTCGTGCAACACTCGGAGTGCGAGCAACGGCCGGTTGTGTTTGTGATTGAGCTTGTGGTTTGGGGGGAGGAGCGCGGTCTGCCGGTGATGCGGCAGGTGATTTCTGTACAGGCATATTTTGGGCCATCAAATTATCCTCGGTCGGAGAATTAGTCTGCATCATCTCGTTCTCAACGACAATTGAGAAGGCATCTTTGATAGCGCTGGGTTCTGGGTGCCGCAATGCCTCTTCGATATCTTCCTTGCCATATCCCATGCTTCTCTCGAGCTTTGTCACAGCGATCCGGTGAATCTTATGTTGAACTGGAAGCGGCTTGCCTGGGGCTAGCTTGCGAGAATCAATTGCCTTATTGGGGTCCACGCCAGTCGCGATGAATTCTTCAGGAGGTGGTTCCAGATATTTCGGGATACCCTTGGTGAACCAAGGGTCTCGTCGAATCTCTTCGATTGTGATTCGATGCACTGGGTGAACTTGGAGCATTGATCGGATGAGGCGAGCTGCTCCGGGAGAGACGTAGCTGGGCACGTGGAAATTGCCGGCCGCGATCTTCTTGAAGAGAGCAGGGATATAGTCGTCGTCAAAGGGCAATCGGCCCACCAGTAGGACGTAGAGAATAACACCACAACTCCAAACGTCCACCTCAGGACCTGCGTAAAGCTTGCCGGAAATAACTTCCGGGGCGGCATAGTTGGGGCTACCACAGCTGGTCTTCAAGAAGTTGCCATCCGTCATAATATTACTCAATCCGAAATCGGCGATCTTAACGTTCTTCTGGCTGTCGATCAGCAGGTTTTCGGGCTTCAGGTCACGATGAACGATTTTGTGTCGGTGGCAGTATTCGACGGCGCAGATGATTTGCTGGAAGAATTTCCGGGCCTCGTCGTCATTACATTTCCCCTTCCTCACAAGGTAGTCGAATAATTCTCGTTCGGCGTATTCCAGTACCATCACAATATCAGTCTTGGTCGCAATCACAGTGTATCTAGAGGCGGGGTGTGGTAGTTAGTCATTTCGGTTCGCACGGAAGGAGGGGCAAAGCTGCAGATCGACGAGATGGGATTGAAATTGGATTTGCATACAGTTTAATGATGTGAGGGTGTCGCAGTAATTGAAGGTATTGGATCTCTCTCTCCACACGCCCGACCATGTCGCGTGAGAGGAGCTTGCGGCGAGAGATAATCTTCAAGGCGACCTGGCGGCCACTCGGTTGGTGAATGGCCAGCTTCACCTTACCGAACGACCCCTCGCCGAGGATCTTCACCGTCTGGTACTGGTCGAGGCGCTGCATGTCCCTTGTAGTAGCGGGGGATTGTGTCGCAGCATTAGCATCGGGCCGGCCGGTGGGCCGTGACGGTGGCATGGCCATGGCGGAGGGGTTTTGGCCAGCGGATTTGGTCGCACGTTGGTCTCGTTCTCGTTCACGTTCACGGGGGCGATCGCGGTCGGTAGGGGGAAGAGGAATCGAAAGATCCTCCAAGTCGAAAGCGGCGGCCATGATGGATGGACAACGTGACGTGATTGATTTTCTGGGTCGTTCCAGCGGTCTGGGCGGCTGATTGTGCCGTGGTTCTCGTTCTATTTTTTTCTGCCCTCAACGCATCGCCAATCAGTCGGTCTCGAACCTCCCCCACAATAGCAAGGTGGAGATAGGAACAGCTGTTGCACAGGTGCCAGGTGTCGAGCGGGGCGTATCGAATTACTATCTTCGAATGGAGGAAATCAGGGGATACCAATGGAGTTGGAAAGATTTGGCAAAAATTCTGGATGGTTGAGAATGGAAAGTGGGAAGTTGGAAGTTGGAAGTTGGAAGTGGAAGTGGGAGGGGGAGGGGAGGAGTCAGAGTAGTCAGAGTCACGATAGTCTGGGGGGGGGGAAGGGAGATCCCCCCCAAAACGAACACCGGTCACGATTATGGTCTCACATTTACATTATTTTACTAGTTAGTTACTACTAGCGACTGCCAATGACCAGAATAACTAATTTACCTGTTCATCATCTGTATAATTATACTATGACGGCTTGCCGAGAGACAGTCGGCTCCATAGATCCATCTCGGTTAATACTACTACTCTACGTAGTATACTCCATAGGGAAAGAAATGGCGTCGAGCTGCTTCCAGCTCTCCCCACACTCCTAATCACCGTCTACACTAATTACTCTCAATCAAAATATCATTATAAATGTCGACTTTTATTTCTATGCAACTTTGTACAATGATCAATGGCCCGCCATGTACACCGACGAAGCAAAACCCAGAACAACCCTGCCTAAAACTCCGAGCCATTTGGAGATAATCATATGATGGTATGGAACAATGAAATCAGGCCTTCAGCATATCCAACATACCCTTAGTTTGGTATGCATGCTGAGCCATCTCAACCTCGTCGCGCACCCGCAGATGCAATCGCTCAATGAGCTTGTCAATCTGCGCTGACTGACCCAGGTTCCCCGAGTAGATATCCAGCAGGTTCATGGCAATCTCTACGCTGAGATCGACCAGGCGGGGTTCACGGATATGCTTGTGAACCCATTGCAGAACAGGCTTCAGACTCACTTCATCGCGGTCCCGAAGCGAGGCGCGCAGGGCGGAGCGGTGGCGGAGGTTGGTGAGAATTGTAAGTTGGGCGGTCTTGTCGGTCGAAGAAAGGACTTGGTCCAGCGCAATGGCATATCGGCCCTTGCGGAGGTCATTCTCCCATGGTTGTTCCTTCTTCCGTCGCTTGCGATCCTGGCCTTCAATCACAATGTCCACTCCTTCGCCAATGAAGTCCCGTCCACGTAGTCGCTTCTCCCATCCAGAGCCACGCTGCTTAGTCTTCTTAGCGACCTGACGGTCGTGCTCTTCCAATTTGCCCTCGAGCAGGGCGTCCATCTCCTTGCGGCGCTCGCGCTCCTTGACCTTCTGCTGGCCGGACAACCGGGTCTTCACAGACAGAAGACCAGATTGCATACCGACAGCAATATGCTTGTCCTCGTACGCCACACCGGAAGTGATAACACTCAGAGACAGAATAGGGGAGGGATATTTGGAGCCGGAGACCGTGTTCCATCCTGTAGTCTCGAAAACCTTCATGTGTCCATCCAGCGCACCACTGATCAAGCGCTCGCCGTTCGAGGCCAGCGCAAGCGATGTGACCGTCTTTTGGTGGTTCTGAATCATGTGCAGCGGCTTTCCAGCAACGATATCCAGTACAGCAATCTTGTTGTCGGCAGCGGCCAGAACCTGTGTGCCTGCCGGCATGGGCAGAACGTCTTCAATGGGAGCACCCATCTTGAACGTCATGGCAGCACGTCCTTCCACACGGGGATCCCAGATTCGGACGGTACGGTCGTATGAACCAGAGACAAGTAGGCCTGAAGAAGCCATAGAACCAGGCATAAAGGCACCGCTGCGGGCGTAATCAGTGTGGCCGACGAAAGTGCGAACGCTGGTCTCTGCGGGCAAGTCCCACAGGCGGACTGTGCGATCGTCACTGGCAGTGAAGACGGATGTTGGGTCACTCGGCGAAAACTTGCTCACCCAGACGGGCTGCTTGTGGTCCTTCCATGTCTTCAGAATCGCACGGGAGTTGACGTCGAAAACCTGTACGGAACCGGTGTCATCACCAGTGACGAGAACACGACCATCCGGGCGAACGTCCGTGCCGCGAACGGTATCATCGAAGCGAGTGATAGAGCGCAGTAGTTTGCGAGTGCGAATGGAATAGATCTGGACTCGGGCGCCAGTCGTGACGGTAAAGATGTCCGGGGGTTGTGTCAGGGAGGGAAATGCGGCGGCAGATGCAGGGGCTGAAGGTTGTGTGATCAGATTGACCGGTCCATTGGCGGGCGAAGGGATCAGAAGAGGATTCTTGAAGGTGCGCCAGTATTGCTGCTCGGGCGTGAGGCGGGTGGAGGGCAGCGAGGCGAGCTTCACCTGCTGCAGGGGCAGGACGGGCGCCGCCATAATTAATGATCGTAGGTGAATGCGCCGAGCGGTGCTGTGTGTGATCGATGGATTGAGGGGTATAAACCTGAAATCCCCGTGGCTCGCAGAGGCAGAAACAGAGGCGTCTCGAGAAAGTTGGAGGATCTTTTTTCTGCCGATCAAAAAAGTTAGGGCCTTCCATATTAGGTTAGCGTGGATAGCTCCAGGTGCCTGAGGCAGTACATGTCTTATTGGTGCCTGATATATAAGGCGGCAGTTGTAAGTACAAGGTTCTCAGGTATCAAATTCAAGATGAAGATTTATGAGATAATTCTATGGAATAGAGACGGGAATATGTATAGAGCTAGATATAGCTCAGAAATGACATGCATTATCGAGAGAGAAATGCCAAATCAACCAATAAAATCTAATTGTCCAATCTGCCACTCGTCCAGTAAATCGAATCCTAGGAAATCATCATAAAGTAACGGATTACTCTCATACTGCTCTGCATGTGTATGCAACGAATCATTTGCATCGTCCATCCTATTATCTTGTACTTGACCGACACTGCTGGGTGGAACCAAGTACAGATTTTTCTTGGCAAGAATATCCTCAAATAATGGCAGGGCTCGTTTCAGGGCTGGTATTTCTTTCCCCTGCGTGAGAACAAGCATTGTCTGGCTAATTGAGATCTGGGCCATAGAACGGACGAGATCTGTCTCGGTTGGATCGAGGGCAGATTCGATGTGTAAAGCAAGCAGCGCAATTATTGTGGTTATACTAACGAGTCCATTATTAGCTCTCCATTCTTCGCACTCTGTATACCTGGAACTTGGAAATTGGAAAACGAGAAGAATAAAAAAAAGGCACATACAAAGATATGGGAAAGTCCTGAAGGGTACCACTTGCCAGAACCCTCTTGGTAATTGTGTCCAACTCCAGAATGGCGGACTGAAGCCGCTGTTTGGCCCACTCGCTCCAGTCCGCATGTTGGGTCTGCTGCCAGCAGCGTCGTATCAAGCGGCACAAGACACACTCAAATCTGTAGCTCACAGCTTGCATAGTCAGGTAATACACGTCAGCTCCGATATTCCCATCCACATGCATCTTGACAGCGAGAGACTTGCGCCATGCGTCGAGCGGGTGCAGCATTTGGCGAGGATCCTGCTGTGGCTTGTTTGTGATACTGGACAAACACTGACCGACTGGAAACTCGGAAAAGTCAGTCATTCTTGTGGTATGGGTGGCAAATCGATAATACAAAGATGAAAGACGTGATGAAAATGATCGAATAGAACCAAAACTCACATATCCGAGACAGCTCGCATTGAACAACCGGCAAGGCCCTTTGTTGAGGCGTCACCGGTGATAGCAAGTCGGATGAAACTTCCGAAATATCCTCAACATCCCAGTCATCCTCCGTTCTCACTCTGATCGTAGAAGTATTTGCGAGTAGTCGCGAGCGTCTGGTATTGACGGACACATGAAAGATATCTAGAGACTACAGCTACAGTAAGCATAATGCAGGAAGAACAGAATTTGGCGACGAGAAGACATACGTAGAGTGCCCACCAGATCCTTCTGTATAACTTGACTGTACTAAACTTGTCTTCTCGAGTACACCTGTGAATATTCCATAGGCAGTTAATACCCGCAGTACTCGTCGCAGGCCCCATGGACCAGGAGTGAAAAACGTACGTGTTGCGTATATCAAGCTTAGTGGCAAGACGAACCGCATTGTGGAACCAGTAGCCAAAGTCTTGGTCAGTAGGGTGGTCAAGAATTACCATACACAATATAATTGATCCCTGTAGCATCAACAATGGGTCCTCTTCGGCGGAAAAGTTGTAGAGCAGTTTGGCCTTGGAGTAGAACAATTCTTGTGCGGCCGAGCGGCTTGTAAAACCGCAGGCGGATAAAACATCTGCTGGAGCATGGACACTGGCCGGTGCCAAAACGGCGTAGAGAAGAAATAACGAGCAGTCGCCGGATTGATAGCCGCGAATAAAATCAAATCTGTTGATCACGGGAGCAAAAGGGTAGACTTTGTCAAAGTATGTTCTAACGAGGGAGTCACTATAGTTTTTTGCTAGTAAGTAAGGCAAATTCGAAAAGCTGATTAGGATGGAGCATTCTAGAATTGGTCTCACAGTTGGCGCGAAAGTGGTAAATCAAAAACGCCCTTCTTGACAAGAAATTCGTTGTCAATGTCGTCCAATTTAGGTAGCTTGGCCCATAAACAGTTCCGAGGACTAAAACTGTCTTTCGGGCTAGGACGGTAGGGAGTGCTGGGAACAGTATGATGTCGACTAGATTCCGTAGTTTTTTCCCCGGCCTCGTTCAAGATATTGAGATAAAACAGATCTAGCTCAGTCTGGCGTGGGCCTTGGACATCCAGAGGATCATGAGTCAAAAGTTGGGCCGGCTGTTGGAATGATTAGATTGATTAGATCGATTGAGACAATTAGTTTGGACACTACCGATCATCCAGAACATACCTGCACATGACCAGGTATCGGTGAAATATGGTTTAATTTCCTTGGAGCCCATGTGAATAAGCATATGCCAAAAATGATAATGGACCATCCTATCAGCAATTAACTCACCTAACCCGACCCTTACGGACTGGTAGCACACAGTCCTTGGCACACTGCCTGCTAGTACAGCTACTGCAGGGGAGGCCAATCTCAGCGGCATCACATTTAGTCTTGCGTGCACGACAGGGCACACATGCTTTATTGGCCTTGAGAGCACGCCTTCCGGCTTCTCCGGACCGTGGCTCGGCCCCAGAAGGATTCATCAGGGGCGGAGAAGTTGCGTCCGTTGCAGCCTGTGAATTCCGCGGACGGGGTGATGGCTTTATTTTAAGTCTTTCGACGCACGGTGATTTACTCCGTAAGTTCCGGTCCGATCGGAGACTCGCACAATCTTTGAATTTAGCCATCGAGGTCCACCATTAACAATCCCAGGTCCTCGGTCGCTTCGTACATGTATGTACTAGTACTAACTATGCTAAATCACAATCCCACTACTCAGTGGTAATAATTATCCTGTGCAAATATATTCAATTTTTGCCATCCACCTGGGCGTGTTGAGTTAGGGGTATCATAGATCTCTCACTAAATATTTATTGCGATCTAAACAGTCTGTTCAACCTTCCTTTCCGGTTCATTTGGTTCACCTACAATCATGGTGCCTTGGCGACGATTCATCGTTTCCAACATGTTTGCTGCTTCGAGAGAATACTTGCACTTGCTGCGTATCTGCGAACCATATCGGTGGAAAAGAAACGGGAAAGGTACACACACAAGAACGAGGAATGCAGGAACGGAGCTCGCCCATTGATTCCCGAGCTTCTCGTACATCTGGGTGGTAAACAAGGGAAAGACAGTGCCAAATAAGGACCGAACCACTGAGTTGGCCGCCATAACAGAAGCAGCATAGACGGTATCTGCATGTAAGTAAGCATGTGCGTTGATCCAGAATTTCACGAATCAATTTGTAAAACTTACATGAGTCGACCAGATAGCTCATCAGCGAGATGAAGACCATGACAAGGCCACACGAGAAGAAGACGGCACCGATGACGGGGACAATCCAGTGCACTGATGGGTACGTCGTCCACGCAAACAAGAACAATCCGATTGGAACCACGAAAGAGCCTGCCATGGCTATACCCAGCCTGGCTTCGGGTTCGACTGTGCCTCCTCTTCCCTCTATCTCCTCGCACAGACGCACGTAGCGTTTGTTGTCTATGCCAGCCACCAGCGTCGCAAGACAGACACCAATGGCAACGCCGACAAAGGGAAGTCCGGCGACACCCTGACTCCAGCCTCGGGTATATTGAAAGACGATCGGAAATCCGGCAAAGAACATGTAAAGCGTGCCATAGATGATAGCGACGTACAGCGATGTCAGCAAGACAAGAGGTTCCCGGAACAATAGGATCCAGGGCCGCGTGAGAGCGATCGAAAGCTCCTGCGAGAAAGTCATGGGCAGCTTTCCCACATTGATACGAGACACATATATTCTTCCTGTCATCCGAGAGAGAGCTTGCGCTCGACATCGTAGAATGAACGGTGCGTATGTTTCGGGGGTGATCAGCATCGTGATAATCGAGACCGTGCCTGCCATGATGGCGATTAAACCGAGAGGCCAACGCCAACCTTGTTTCTCAGCAAGAAAGCCACCAGCAATAGGCCCTGAAGTTAAAATCCATTTAGCAAGGAATGAAAAAATGTAAGAAGCACATCTTCGACGACTTACCAAGTGCCGGTCCCAGGAAAGGAGCCATGACAAACAACCCCATCGCCACTCCACGCTGCGTCTTGTTGAACATGTCAGCAATAACTCCCCCAGAATTGGTCATTGCCGACGACCCAAACGCGCTGGCAAAGAAGCGAAGAACCAACAAGGCCGTGATATTGGGCGAGCAGGCCGCTGCCACGCAGAACGCTGTGTAAACCACGAACGAAATGACATATATTGACTTGCGGCCGTACATCTCTGACAAAGGCGCCCATAACAGCGGTCCTATGGCAAACCCTAACACGAAGAGCGATAGGCCGAGCGTAGCCACCTCCTCAGACACGTTAAAGCGCTGCTCGATGCCTCCGATGCCGCTCACAAACACCGAGCTAGAAAACGTAACCACAAAGGTGGATAGAGCCTGGAAAATTGAAATGGACCATTTTCGTTTATCGGAATAATTCATGGCGTCTTGGTGGTCGTTGTCCAGGTAATCGACAATGTACGGGTCGTCCTCTGTACCTTTTCCAGGGTAATTCTGGTTGCAGACATTGTCGTCGAGATGCCCCGGTGAGTGGAAGAAATTATCTCTGATCCAGGGCATACGTTGAGAGGACGCCTGTAGGTTCTTGATTCCAAGTTGCTGGGGGATCTTAGGCTCAGAGTCGACAGTCATGTTGGGAATGGTAAGAAGAACAGGGAAGGCAGTATGAAGGTTCAAGATGTGGACAGAGTAGATCAAATAAGTTCACGCTCAAACTGTCTTTTCGTAGTAGGATTAAAAACCATACCTGTAGTTTTTGGTTATATAGTTTATCCCGGACATTTGCAATCGGAGTTTCAGCATGTGGATATTGCCGAGAACAAAAGCCCGCGGCATTATCTACGGAACTATGAACAGAGTTGGGCAACATATAGAATTCGTCAAAAACCCACATAGATTAGAATGAGAGTTCCATTGATAATCAGCATTGGAGCCACTACCTCTGAGTAGACTATTAATCACAATGTGTCATTCAAGTTTATGGATACGTAGGAGTGCCTGAAAAAGGTAACGTCGTCGCTCATAGATAGCCCACCTACGGGTGTGGTGGTGCGCCGGGGAGGTTAGATTTGGAATCCAGATATTATCTTCTTTTGAATATTTACTCTTCCTTTCTTCGCCTATATTCTGGCTATATTAGCACCCTGTCGGCGGCTTGGCAATATTCCGGAATCTCTTGACTATGTATGTACGATAAGGCGGCGAGCCAGCGAGGGCCCACATGGAGATGCTACAGAAAGGGCGAAAAGCGAGCATGCCATGTCAAAGCTTGAATGGCCTGGACGCCAAGGTGACCTTCGCATGATGTCGGAGTGAGACCCCACTGTAATATTTGGGGCATCGAAGCACTACCTTAATCGCTTGGATGATTTCCAAGTGTGAGCCTTGTCTCGAAGATACCTAAATATGTATATGGTCATACCATCGGTCCAGATCCAGATATTTCCCAAGCTTGCTTGTGATCTGTAACATACAGGCTTCCATATTGTTGTGGATGGGGTGTGCCTTTTAATAGATTTCGGCCCCAGACGCCCGGCAGAATCGGCCTCGGTCGGGGCAGTGAAGTAGAGTAAGGTAATACACAGTACCTACAGGCAACCGCCAATTGTCTGACGTGGGGAGGTAGGGGATGGTAGTGGAGGTGGCACCGTTTCGATCTGTCTCACCTCTTCAGGCAATTATTTGAAGATGATATTCAGTGGAGGTGAGGGCGAGAATCGGTTTCATCAAGAAGGCTCGGGGATGCAAAGTGGCGGTCGAGGAGTGTTTGGGTCCTATGTTTGGTTGTTATGGCAATGCGGGGCACAGCTGTATACAGCGTACTTCTGAACAGAGCACTGCAAGTGCTTTGCTGCATCCTGGTGGAGTGACAGCTAAAGACTCCGCTGAAACAACGAAACCGGATTCACCGCACTATTGGCTTGCTGGATCTGGGAACCATTCGCCAATGATTGCCCGCCCTGCGCCAGGAATGTATCGATCGGTGGATCGAGGTGGCTGGGGTACTGATGGGAGCTGACGCTGCCGATCCACCTCATTCTCAATACCTAGTCGGGGTTGGGTAGTCTGTAGAATGAAATGGAGTCTGGTTAATCTATTTCGTCGGCCACTGACGAGCTCTTGGTAGAAATGGGTGTAAGACTCAGCGAAAAGAAGCAAACCCAGCATCATAGTAGGATAGAAGGAGGGGGAAGGAGGAGATGATCGTCAGCTTGGACCTTGTTTATCGATGACGCTGATCAATTTGTATCGTTACAAGGTCACGTATTGTCACATCGCCCAGTCCAGGCGCCAAATTCAGGGGGAACAGCCAATCATAGACCGGATATCTTCCGCATCCCCAGCCACCACCAATACCGCGTTACCACATCTAATCATTCCACAAGGCGGGCGCTCTTTATCTTTTCTTTTTTCTTTCCCCTCCCCTGCACTCTCTCTTCTAAGATCTCTCTTGAGGCAACATTCGATGCGACCATCTTCTTACTGCTTGAACTATCGCTTGTACCGTATCAAGCGTTAGAAGGGAGCTACTATGTCGAAACTCTCCAAGGTCAATCATGCCGCCGGCATCTTCGCCGATATGTCGGTCGATGGACCCCCCATTGGTACTCTCGTCGCCATTATCGACCGAGCAAAGAACCTGCCCAATCGCAAAACCATGGGCAAACAAAATCCCTATTGTGCCGCACGACTTGGTAAAGAAGCGAAGAAGACCCCAACAGATCTACGGGGCGGACAAACACCACGATGGTAAGCTTATCACTACCATCCTATCGTAGCGGGGACCTTACCTTTACCATCGCTCTTGAACAAAGCTAATCTCGCCTACCGCAGGGACCACGAATTGCGTTTCACTGTACATGAGTCTCCTGACTACTATAAACTGAAGGTGTCTGTCTTCAACGACGATAAAAAGACCGACTTGATCGGAGAGACATGGGTGGACCTGCAGAACTTGATTATCCCCGGCGGAAGCCAGAATGACCACTGGCATTCATTACAATGCCGAGGCAAATACTCAGGTGATATTCGAATCGAAATGACCTACTACGATACTCGGCAACAAGATGAGGCTGTGATTGAACGACGGAAAGAAGCCGCGGATAGAATCCAAGGCAAAGCCCCTACAACCACAAGCTCCGGCCTCTCTGGTCCTCGACAATTGAACCAAGTCAAGCGACGCCCATTGCCAACAGATCCCTCTGGAGTTGCTCCTCCCCGCCCTTTGCCAGTAGAAAAACCACAGTCGGCTCCTCCATTGCAACAGCCAGTACCGTCACGACCAGCCATGCGTGAGCACGCCCACAGCATGTCACAAGTCGAAAATCCAGCCTTACACCCTGCTCCTCTACGACACCCCGAGCCTGCTTACGACTCCCCATCTTACGAACCACAACACCAACAACCTACTATGCAGCCCCGAGGGGGTTACGAGGCCCACGATAATTATCAGCGAGAATGGGATACCCCTGCTCCCGCTCTTCCCCCGGCCGGAACAATGCGACGGAATACACAGGAAATGCCATACGCAGAATCGGCCTATGATTTACGACCATTACAACCACGCAGTCAATCTGACTTTGATCAACCTCCCCCCCCGCGACTATCGCTCCACAAGTGAGCCGCCCTTTGAGAGTGACATGCGCGGACGGTCAATGTATAACGAGCCAGTACATCCCCACGACGCGTATAGCATGGTATCACCTCAATATTCCGCAAACCCTATGACATTTGGACATGTCTCCACTTTCACGCCACGCCATCAGGCTCATGTCGACGAGCCCATGCCATCTGATCATTCTCGACCCGGTTCTTCTGCCGGTCCGGGGACGACCTCCGATACCAATCTCACCACAGCAGGGCCCTACAGCCTGTGCGTCATCGGGATGATTACCATCCGGAGTATGCAACCATGCAGCCTCGTGTCGAAGACGAAGACGAAGACGGACCTCCCCCGCCGCCGCCTGTTCATCGGTCCCGTATGGCCCAGCCTGTCCCACCTCCTCAGCAACCAGTTAGCCAATCTGTATCACCCTACAAGCCCTATACACCCGGACACTCCCCCAATGCTTCGCCTATGCCGGCTAGTCTCGTTGCTGGATATGAAAGTGAGGACGCTATTGAGCGACATGTGATTGAAAATCGCGTCCGCAGGCCAAGCACTCACGTCGATAATGATATGATGATCGCCCAGCAACCATCACCGGCATCTAGTCGTTCGAATACACGGGCTCCCTCCCCCTATGATGCGCCGGTTTATCCCCTCAGAACATCTCCAAAACCACTGGACGACCGAGCCAGTATCTCGAGCCGGGAATATCCCAATACGGAGACTCGTATGGTGACCCGGAAGTCGGTGAGCCCAAGACCTTCATCCTCTGATTCGCGCGGGGGCCCCTCTATTCCATTTTCCCCCGATTCCTATAACAACTTCAATCCCAATGCCGCACGCTCGGCCACTGCCCGCGATCCAGTACCGGCATATGACTCGCCCTCCCAAGCTCGAGATGCCGCGCTACGAGCAGAGATCGAGCCTACTCGAGACCTAAGCCAACCCATCATCGGTGATGACGGTCGTGAGATTGATCCATCAGATCACTTGCCAACCGACACATGGGCACCTGAGCCAGAGCGAAAGAACCGGAAACCGGAGGTCATCATTCGGTTCAAGCACAGCCCCAGAGACCGACCGACGTCTCGAGGAAACGATACCCCATCCCGCACCGCAGGCCCACCCCGTGTAGGATTCCGCACGGAGACAACTACCTACGGTGCCGATCGCCCGGGCAAGAGATACACCCCCACCCACGTACACAGCTCCGACTCCATAGATCGAACGCCCCCGCGAGTCGATCGTGGTCAGGATGGCTATGCGAACAGCTACGCCCACGGTCGGGGCTACAGTACCCCGACCTCAGTTGACCGACCACGCTCTTCTCACCGCGGCTCCGTGTCCCCATCGCCGAGCTCTCGTTCTCCTCTGTACGATTATAACGCTGGCCCTCCGATACCGTCCAAGGTACCAATTTCCGGTGCTCCTTCCTACCCTGTGACGTCTAGTAACCCCAGTAGCGGTAACCCCGGGATGGACGCACTTAGCCGGGAACTGAAGACTATTGACATTGGCTCTGTCGCGTGCAGTCCGAGTCGTGCAGTTCGGAAATATGCCCCACCGCGTGCCTCAGCATCGATCGGCTATGCCAGTTGAAAAGTTTCCACAATATCCTTCAAATGATTTGATTCTCATTGCATATTATGACTGATGTATTGTTATGTTTCTGCTTTGCTTTGCTTTGTTTTATTTTGTTTCTTTGGGCGGTTGATTGTTTTATATCCCGGGTCTTGGCGACCATCATTTCAGACTGTGTATTCGACTCTTTACTTGGATATCCGGCACATGTGGCGTTGGGTTCTCTCTTTCTTTTGGCATTTCCGTCTCCTGTCTGTATACACTGGAATGATCCAAGGAGGTCTTGGAGAAGGATTGATACTTTTAAATTCAAGCACATTTTATTACTCTAAATCACTAATGATGTACGTAGTCGTTAGTTCCCCCATTGCTCGAATTAATTCCTGCTGGCTACGTAAATAGTTAGCATCGACTATAATTGGTTCTCGTTAGATCTGGGCATGCAACGCTATAGTTGTGAAGCAGCCAATCCCGCGGCCAAAAGATATCGCTTATCAGCTTCCCCGCCATTCAAAAGGCTAAAGAACTCGGCCCCTCCGCAAGGCAACACACTCCTCCAGCTCTTCACAGGTGCTATACAAGTACCAATAACACCGTCACCATGGCCGGTCTCACCCCAGAGCAGGTGACCTTATTCCAGGAAAACGGCTACCTCGTCCTACCAGACTATCTCAGCCCAACCGAGATAACATCCCTCCTCACCGAAACAAACACCCTCCTCGACACCTTCTCCCTCGACACGCACCCCCTCACGCAATTCACAACAGGCGACGATGACGAAACCGCCCACGTCGGCGACGACTACTTCCTCACATCCGGCGACAAGATCCGCTACTTCTTCGAACCAGACGCCTTCACCACCGAACCAGACCCTCTAACCGGCCGACCCGCCCTAATCAAACCAAAGAACCTAGCCGTCAACAAAATCGGCCACTCCCTCCACACCCTCTCGCCGCCCTTCAAAGCAATCTCCCTCAACAAGCGCAACGCCGACGTCGCCAAATCGCTCGGCTTCACGGACCCGCGCGTCCTGCAGAGCATGGTCATTCTCAAACAGCCCTCCATCGGCGGCGCGGTGCCCGCGCACCGGGACTCGGAATTCTTGTACACGGATCCGCCGTCCGCGGTGGGGTGGTGGTATGCGCTTCAGGATGCGCGGCCGGGCAATGCGACGCTGGGGATGTGGAAGGGATCGCATAAGGGTACGAAGGGGGGGGCCATATTGCGCGCCGATTTGTGAGGAAGGATGGTGGGGGCACGGAGTTTATTGAGAATACGGGGCCGAGACTGCCGAGGGGTATGGAGGCGGAGAAGGCTTCTGAGCCCTGTGATGGGGATCTGGAGATTTTGGATATCAAGGCTGGCTCTTTGGTGCTGATTCATGGGAATGTGCTGCATAAGAGTGAGAAGAATACGAGTCTGAATAGTCGGTTTGCGTATACTTTTCATGTTATTGAGGGGGCGGAGGGGTGGGGTTATGATCGGAGGAATTGGTTGCAGCCGCCTGAGGGGGGGTTTTCGAGGTTGATTCAGTGATGGGTGGTGTTTTTGGGGGGGGGGGGTAATGCGGAGGACGAGGTATTGGACTATTCCAGTTCAATGAGGCACCTGGATATGGAAAGATACGACTTCAACCTGAATTGGGATTCCTCCTATATAAATATATCCATTTTCGAGTATGTGCCTTGTAGGTAGCACGTAGGTAGTAGTATGCTTTCTATTGTATACTAGTAGCTAAAAGGATTTCAAGGTATTGATGGCGGCTAGTTATGCTATACTAGGGATCTGCGGGTATCTCTTGGCGCCACAACCGGATACGACCTGCTCCATTTGGTCTGATGTCCGACTCCTAACCCCAACAACTTTGGGACTTCTGAGTCCTTTGAGCAGTGACGTGCGAGTATCAGGCTGCTATAATGGATCTTGACCACTTAATAATTGTCTGCTGCCATGCCATCTATATTGGAGGGCCTCTGTCTGGGAGCTCGGAGGACGAATGGTCAGTCCATGCGAATTCATTAATAACATAGCTTGATGGGCTATAATTGATAATTGTTCGTCGCTCTCAGGATAATAGAGCCATTCCAGAGAGCTGAGACCCCAACCTTCGTAAGCCATGCCAAAGCTGGGCTCAATGCTTTGATGGAGGATGATCGGGGATTGTTGGTATTTTCTGGGTATGTGATGTCCTATCCGAATGTACTTGGGGCCTTGGTTGGCGTCACGGTGTCAATGTCATTCCAGGCTCGCCTTCCTAACACGTACTGATCTTTCCAGAGGGCCAACGAAAAAAGCGAGAACGGAACTCGGTGAAGGGCAGTCTTATCTCGTATGGCTACCCCCGTAGAGAAATTCCAATCCGATTCTATTCATGATCCAGGTACTGACTTCATTCTTACAGAATCTCTGCAGAGACAATCAGTATTTCGGATATTCTATCGATGTGTCCAAAATTACAGTTGAACCCCATGCAACAGATTCGTATCAGAATATCCTATTTTCTCTCATTCATTTCCGTCTCTATGTGGGAACTTGGCCTCGGCAGGTCACTCTTGTTACGCATGAGTTTAAGAGAAAAAGGTTTATGGATTTCCACCTTCCAACCGTTGGCCTACTCCCTCTTCCCGTCGATAGCGAAGAGAAACTGGAGCCCAATAATGTTGCTTTAATTGGCATCAATCCTCCGGAAGAAATTACCCCTCTCGACTTACTAGTACGAGGAGAGATGTCAAAAGGAATTGGCCTCTGGAAAGAAGACTTCTACGGAGTTGGTGAAGAGCTAGCAGGGAAGCGCAGTAATCGGGGCTGGTTCCAGGAAAGGAGGAAGATATTTTTCTCAACAAAGGGCTAGATCCGGTCGTTGAAAACCTCCTTCGTTGGGATGGTGGGACGGGCAATGAGCTATTCCCAATGATTAAGGAACTACCTTGGTTCTACGGAAATATCAAGCAGTGACAATGAATGTGTAGATACCAATGAAATGTCATTAATAATCCTTCTCCTTGATTGGACCAAAGGACTAACATCACAACTCCCCTTCAAACGCCAATGCATAGAGAATCCTCGTATCGAGTCATAAAGTAGCACCGATAGCTTAATCTGCCAGTCGGTAGCTGACTAGAGTGCCTACTCGGTGGTTGTTCGTGCTAAAGCTCCGCAACTGCACCTTTTCGGCATTCTTGATCTCCTTGGCATCACTGTCACCCCATTCCACGGGTACCTCCGAATCCGCATCGGCGTAGACAAGAACATTGAAGGTGCAGTCTCCATCTAGGACCGGGAGGAAGGTGACCGAAGCGGTGATTTGACGGAAGATTGCTTGAATTTCTTCTTGGATCTCCTTCTCCGTTTTCTCGGCTGGCTCTGCAGGCTGGGCTCCCGCATCTCTAGATAGCAAACAGAATTAGTCAAGTCATGAGCGAGCGATTAACATAGGATGAGTATATCTTACCCCGGAACCGAGTTTTCTTTATCTGTTGTTTTCCGGGAGCTCGAGCTCTTCGAGCTTTTGAAGATTTCAACCTGAAAGGCAAATTAGTCGGTCAAGAACAGCGATATTCAAATTGCTGATTCGACATACATCAAACTGCCATCGCTCCACGTGCTCGCCGGTTTCCTTATCAGTGATGACGACGACGAGCTTGGAGATCTTTCCACCCGACATCCACTTGTTCAATTGTGACATGATCTTCTTGATGTACGCCTTCACCTGGTCATCGGCGGACACTTCGGTAGAGTATTAGTTCCGGTCGTTCGGGGAAGGAATTCGGGGGTCAAGCTTTCGAAGGTACGAACCGAGCATGTTGAGGCCATATTTCTTGACGCTAGGGTATGTCAGTTTCTCTTTCCATTGGCACAGAGAAGAGGGGTGGAACTTGCGTTGTGAAATCTTCTGGGGGGTAGACTCCTCGCTGGAAGCTTTTGGTGGTTGTGAGCTTCAATCAATAGATGAATACCTTTGGAGAACTCACAGAATCGAGTTGATTGAGTATTCGAACTGTATCTGTATTAGTAAAGTATTTCATGGAGAGGAAAGGGAGAGCTGCAACTCACGAATTCAGACACAAGCTTGGCCGATCCTGTGGTACTGTTGTGTTAGCTCTGAAGGCGCCGCAGAATAACTGGAAGTCATTCACAAACCTCTAATGGACAGCTTGTGAACCTTTGATTTGTCTTTCGTCTCAGGCATGGTGATATCGGATGAGGGGTACAGCAATGGAAGAGCAATGGGAAAGATTGAAGGTGGGTTTGTTTATGTTCGATAGTCGCCGCAGCGATCGATCGGAGTTTCGCAGACCGCCCGCACGCCCGTTTTTTTGTCTCCGCAACTCGCCTGACTTGAGCTTGCATTAACGCGACACTCGTGGAATTGCACTCACTGCTAATTCACACAGGCGATCTTTCGCTTTCCATGCTACTGCACGAATCCCGATGCGAGGATGTCTGCAGTTAGCCCGATGGCTGAGCGCAGCGCCGAGATGTCCGGCGGCGGGCCTCAAGTCGTCGGCTGGCTTTCCACTCCGGTCTATTAATTCCCTACGATCTTTCACGACATCTGCAACGTGGCACGCCCGATCGAAGGCTGCTCCGAGCGCCCCGGATTCTGACCTTGAACGCCGCATCGCTGATATCCCCATTGACCGATTCCGCAACTTTTGCATCGTTGCACACGTCGATCATGGCAAAAGCACACTCTCCGACCGCTTGCTCGAGATTACGGGGACTATCCAGCCTGGAATGAACAAACAAGTGCTGGATAAATTGGATGTTGAACGCGAACGGGGTATCACTGTCAAGGCACAGACGTGTACCATGATCTACAACCACAAGGGCGAAGACTATTTATTGCACCTGGTAGATACGCCTGGGCATGTGGACTTCCGTGCTGAGGTATCGCGTAGTTACGCCAGCTGTGGAGGAGCGATCCTTCTAGTTGATGCTAGCCAGGGTGTTCAGGCGCAAACAGTTGCCAACTTCTACCTGGCATTTGCGCAGGGCTTGGAGTTGATCCCCGTTATCAACAAGGTCGACCTTCCGTCGGCAGATCCGGAGCGGGCTTTGGATCAAATGAAGAGCACATTTGAACTGGATACGGAAAATGCAGTGAGGGTGTCGGCCAAGACCGGACTCAATGTTGCGGCCATCCTACCAACTGTCGTTGAGAAGATTCCAGCGTATGTCTCCTTGCCTTGAAGATGCAGCTTAACCTTGAGACCATCTTTACTAAAATCTCATCTAGGCCTATCGGCGACTCCAAGAAACCCCTTCGAATGCTGCTTGTTGACTCCTGGTACGATTCTTACAAGGGCGTGATTCTCCTGGTTCGCGTTTTCGATGGCGAGGTGCGTGCAGGTCAGCAACTCGTGTCGTTCGTGACAGGCCTCAAGTACTACGTCGGCGAGGTTGGAATTATGTACCCCACTGAGACCGCTCAATCGGTTCTCCGGGCAGGGCAGGTTGGATATATTTACTTCAACCCCGGCATGAAGCGAAGTCAGGAGGCCAAGATCGGTGACACCTTTACAAGAGTCGGGTATGAGAAGACTGTCGAGCCTTTGCCCGGTTTTGAGGAGCCGAAGTCAATGGTCTTTGTTGCAGTTTATCCTATGAACCAGGATCTCTTCGAGCATCTCGAAGACAGCGTTAACCAGCTCATCTTGAATGACCGTAGTATTACGGTTCAAAAGGAATCTTCCGAAGCGCTGGGTGCGGGGTTCCGCATGGGATTTCTGGGCACCCTTCACTGCTCAGTATTTGAGGATCGACTCCGACAAGAGCATGGGGCGAGCATCCTCATCACTCCACCATCCGTGCCAGTCAAGGTTATATGGAAGGATGGTACCGAGGAAATTATCACCAACCCAGCCAAGTTCCCCGACGATGATAGCGTGCGTCTAAAGCTTGCCGAGGTCCAAGAGCCATATGTGCTGGCTACTTTGACATTCCCTGATGAATATCTGGGCAAGGTCATTGAGCTTTGCGAGGCCAATCGAGGCGAACAAGTAAGCATCGAATACTTTACCGCGAGCCAGGTCATTATGAAATATGAGCTGCCCTTGGCGCATTTGGTCGATGACTTCTTTGGGAAATTGAAGGGCAATACCAAAGGATATGCCAGTCTCGACTACGAAGAATCTGCTTGGAGGGCTGGAAATATCGTCAAGCTCCAGCTATTGGTCAACAAGGTTCCCGTTGATGCCGTATCCCGGCTCATGCACATGAGTCAAGTGGCCCGGCAAGGCAGGATATGGGTGACCAAGTTCAAGCAACACGTCGACCGACAGCTGTTCGAAATTGTCATTCAAGCCGCTGTGGGCAAGAAGATCATTGCGCGTGAGACTATCAAGCCCTATCGCAAGGACGTTCTGGCAAAGCTTCACGCCAGTGATGTGAGTCGTCGTCGGAAGCTATTGGACAAGCAGAAGGAAGGTCGTAAAAGGCTCCGAGCCGTTGGAAATGTGGTCATCGAGCATAAAGCATTCCAGGCTTTCTTATCTAAATGATTGTGTATAACATATAATATACTACTACCTAGGTACCAAAATACCACATGTACAACATTGAAAATATCCAAGTTCCTAATCCAATGTGGTCGTCACCCTCGTCACCTACCTTTGTATGGAGTATAGTCGGGCGGTCGGTGATAGCAGAAAAAAAAGTTCGTGGGACCGCCCCGCCATACGCTGCTTCTCTCCAATTCCTCTCCCAGCCCCATTCACATTTCCTCCTCTATCTTCGTTCTGGTATGATTCGCTCATTTCTCTTCCGCCTATCCTCGGTGACTTGAAGCTCATATTCTCTAGTGCTACCCGCGTTACGAAGTTGTGGCTGAGAGCCGCCCGTGCCGATCGCATCGCTTTGAGTCACCCTGCCATGTCCCACCGTTGACAACGGCGCGATGCAGCCTTCAGAGGGTGCACAGATTGATCTGGGCAAGGCCCAGGTCATTGACCGTGTCCCCAAAGTGATCAAGGAGCTGAAATTCGGCGTATTGTACGGGATTCCCATTCCTATTCTGAAAGCCGAGCTAGACTGCTTTGGCTAGCGCGGAAACGATCACTAACAAACGGTGTCTCTCCAGGACGAATGATGATATTGTCGGCCAAGCCGTTGTCGAAGTCTCCGACAGAAAGTTTTTCGACCTCGACCGTGACCGCGCGGTCGTTGCCCATGGCCCTCTCGATGCGCGCATGGGTATTTCAAATAAGACCTCAACCTGCCAAACATGCGGATATCACCTCAAGGAGTGTAATGGTCACTTTGGCCATGTAAGACTAGTCCTACCGGCATTTCACGTTGGTTATTTCAAGCGTGTTATTGGTGTGCTCCAGGAAATTTGCAAGGAATGCTCTCGCATTTTGCTACCCGAGGCGGAACGGCGCTCCTTCTTGCGCGAGATGCGCCGACCCGGTCTGGACAACCTACGAAGAACACAAATTGCGAAGCGAATCAACGAGCGATGCCGAAAGACTCGAGAGTGTGAACATTGTAACGCGATCAACGGTGTCGTGAAGAAGGTCGGCTCGAGTGCGTTGAAAATTACTCACGACAAGTTCCGCGCTTTCAACGCATCAACCTCTGTGAAGAAGCAGCCCCCGCTGAGCAAGCAAGTTTTTGACGACTCCTTTTCTGAAGCACGAAACGTGAACGCTGAGGTCGAGAAGCATTTCAAGAAGGCACAAGATGATCTGAATGCGCTCCGCGTTCTCAAATTGTTCAAGAAAATCTCTGACAGTGACTGTGAGCTGATCGGTCTTGACCCGAAAGAAGCACGACCGGAAATGTTCCTGTGGCAGTTTATCCCAGCCCCTCCCGTTTGCATTCGTCCCTCCGTCGGACAAGATGCTGCCTCGACTGAAGATGATTTGACTGCCAAACTCGGTGATATCGTCCAGAGCAATATCAACCTCAAAAATGCCCTCCTGAAGGGTGCGCCAGTGCAGACCATCATGGAATGTTGGGACTATATGCAACTCCAAATCGCAGTCTACATTAACAGCGATGTGCCTGGTCTCAACAAGGCGGATCTCGGAAAACCTATTCGCGGTTTCGTTCAACGGCTTAAGGGTAAACAAGGTCGATTCCGTGGTAACTTGTCTGGAAAACGTGTCGATTTCTCCGGCCGTACCGTCATTTCGCCCGACCCTAATCTTCGCGTCGACGAGGTCGCCGTTCCGGAATTGGTGGCGAAGAACATGACTTACCCTGAGGTGGTCACTCGATACAACATCGAAAAGTTACGAGAACGAGTGCGTAATGGGTCTACCAAGTGGCCCGGTGCCAATTATTTGTACAAAAAAGGATCCACTTTCAGAACCATGCTGAAGTATGGTAGCCTCAAACATATGGCTAGCGAACTGCAAGAGGGTGATAAGGTGGAGCGTCATATTGAAGACGGTGATATCGTTCTCTTCAATCGACAACCATCGCTGCACAAGCTCAGTATTCTTTCTCATTTTGCTAAAGTCCGACCGCATCGAACTTTCCGACTCAACGAGTGTGTTTGTAACCCTTACAATGCCGATTTTGATGGTGATGAAATGAACTTGCACGTCCCACAGACAGAGGAAGCCAGGGCAGAGGCTATGGAGTTGATGGGTGTGAAGAACAACTTGGCCACGCCCAAAAACGGCGAGCCTATCATTTCTGCTATCCAGGATTTCATCAGTGCTGCTTTCATTCTCAGTAGCAAGGACAACTTCTACGACCGTGGCTCGTTCACGCAGATCTGTCTTTACATGCTGGGCCCACAGACCCGTTTTGACTTGCCTCCGCCATCGGTTCTGAAGCCTCAGGCACTTTGGACGGGTAAGCAGGTCTTCAACATAATGATGCGTCCCAATACCGATGACCCTGTTCTCGTCAACCTCGATGCTGCATGCCGTCAGTTCAAACAACCCAAAGACGGCCGACCAAAGGACCTAGATCCTCATGATGCTTGGCTGGTCATTCGCAATTCTGAGATGATGTGCGGTGTCATGGACAAGTCCACCATCGGTTCCGGAAAAAAGGACAATGTTTTCTACATTATGCTTCGTGATTTCGGCCCTCCTGCGGCTGCCGAGGGCATGAATCGTTTGTCTAAACTGTCTGCACGATGGTTCACTAACATGGGATTTTCTATTGGCATCACCGATGTTTATCCTAGTGACCGACTGGTTCAGTCGAAGAATGACTTGGTGGAAACTGCTTATGCCGCTTGTGACGATGTCATTGCCAAGTACAAAGCCGGTACTCTGGAGAAGTATCCTGGTTGTGACGAGTTGCAAACTATGGAGAACCAGCTGTCCGGTATCCTGAGTAAGGTCCGTCAACAGGCTGGTGACGAGTGTATCGAACAGCTCAGCAAATACAATTCCCCCTTGATCATGGCCACCTCCGGATCTAAGGGTTCGAGTATCAACGTCTCACAGATGGTTGCCCTTGTGGGTCAACAAATTATCGGTGGACAGCGTGTACTGGATGGTTTCCAGGACCGAACTCTACCTCATTTCCCCAAAAACGCTCGCCAGCCCCCCCTCAAAGGGATTCGTTCGAAACAGTTTCTTCTCGGGTCTCGAGCCCACAGAATTCATTTTCCACGCTATGTCTGGTCGTGAAGGTCTGGTCGATACCGCTGTCAAGACTGCCGAAACCGGTTACATGTCTCGTCGGTTGATGAAGTCCCTCGAAGATCTCTCGTCGCAGTATGACGACACTGTCCGAAACTCATCCTCTGCCATCGTCCAGTTCCAGTACGGTGATGATAAGTTGGACCCGGTGGATATGGAGGGTAAAGCCAAGCCTGTCCACTTCGATCGCACTTTCATCCATTCCGAGTCCACAACTTACGATAACGACGAGCGAAGCTTGCTGCCTAACGAAATCATGGAAGTTTGTGAGCAGATGCTCTCGCAGGAACGAGCTAAGCTTATCCGCAAGGACTTGATGGGCAATCAGCTGGGCTATATGGATCGCAGTGACAATGGAATTGATCAATTCGAGAGTGCTCGCGACTTCCTTGATTCTATCCAACAATATGTCCAAACCAAGGCTGACAGACTCATTTCTCGTGGCGGTGACTTTGATCCATCAGACGCGAGGAGTCGGAAGGGCTTGGACCACACTGGCAAGCTGACTCGGACTACCCTAAAGGCCTTCATCACGGCCTGTTTGCTGAAGTACAAGAGGGCGCAAGTCGAGCCTGGTCATGCCGTCGGTGCCGTGGGTGCTCAATCTATCGGTGAGCCCGGTACGCAGATGACTTTGAAAACTTTCCATTTCGCTGGTGTCGCCGGTATGAGTATCACTCAGGGTGTGCCCCGTATTAAGGAAATCATCAACGCTTCCAAGGAGATCAGTACCCCTGTTGTGGCTTGTGAGCTGGTCACCAAGGACAGTATCGCTGCAGCTCGTATTGTCAAGGGCCGAATTGAGAAGACATATCTACGAGATATCATTCACTCTGTTACTGAGAATTGGAACGGGAACGAGGCTTACGTCAAGGCCAGGATCAATTTCAAAACAATCAATGATCTGCAGCTTGAGCTTCGTATGCCCCAGATCGTTGCTGCGATCAAGAACCACAAGCGGTTCAAGGGCGATGACCTCAAGTTCAGTACCACCGGGCGCTCTATCAAGGTCACCATTGATCTGGATCCGGCTAGCAAAAACAACTTGTCAAAGACTGAGATCGCAGCTACCAGTGCTGACCCCTTCTTGCGTCTAAAGCATCTCAAGCGTCTTCTGCCCTCTATTCAGATCCTTGGGCATCCACGCGCCTACCGTGCTATCATCCGAACCGATGAGACCTCCACTACCAACACCCTTCTGGTTGAAGGCTACGGTCTACGAGAGTGCATGACTACAGTGGGTGTTGACGGTCTCCGAACCACAACCAACAACATCATGGAGGCCCGCCAGGTCCTTGGTATCGAAGCTGCTCGAAGTACGATCGTTACTGAGATCAGTGAGGTCATGAAGGACATGGACATCGATCCTCGTCACATGCAACTTCTGGCTGATGTCATGACTTACAAGGGTGAGGTACTGGGTATTACTCGTTTCGGTCTGGCGAAGATGCGTGACTCCGTTCTTCAACTCGCCTCGTTCGAGAAGACTGCAGATCACCTGTTTGACGCCGGTGGTGCCGGCCGTACCGATCTGATTGAGGGTGTCTCCGAGTGTATCATTATGGGCAAGACAATGGGACTGGGTACCGGTGCAATGGAGGTTGTCCGCAAGCTTAACTTCTACGAGGGACAAATCGGTCCGCGCAAGACCGTTTTCGAAGACGCCTGGTCCGAACTGGGCGAGGTGCTCCCGAAGAAGCCCGTGAGGAGGGTTCGGTAGTGACAATTGAAACGCCGTCTTGCTACGCTTGGGCTCACTTCCTCAGCATTTTCCTCGGCGTTGGTTTCCTGTGTTTCTCGGCGTGCATGAACTTGAATGTTAGGCACGAATTTGTACATGTATTTCTTTTTCCCTAACGACATCTCTTAGTGTTCGTTTTCACATCCAAGCGATAGCTGCGGTTTAAATGGATGGATCTACTTAAATCACAGTGATACTAGACTCTGCGACATTTTTCGCTAGCTCTAGTCTTCCGAATCACAAACGGCGATTTCTCATTTCAGCTTCCTACCTCTGCATACCGTAATAGTACTAGTAGTATTAGCTCGGGTCTGTCACGATCTCTAGTCCTCAGCTGGGTAATTTTACTATCATCCATGGATATCCCGCTTGAGGTCTAATGACTCCGATATGGAGGCCACGCTACCAGGCTATTACCTAGGCTTACAATTGTGCGCCCACGTAGCCACTGGCAAGTGAGTATAAGGGAAAACCGTGCCTGCTAGTGGTACTGGGGTATAAATAGCAAGGTCCATAGCTGCGTAGCTTTAAGACTAGAAGTTAGAATCCTCAAAAATGCGATCAACCCTGGAGTGGGGTTCTATTAACATTGGAAGGTGGAATCTGCCTAAGCAGGAAAAAAAAATTCAGAAACGGACAAGGTGATGCATACACTTGAATAGTACAAACCCCAAAGTGGTTTTGAACTTTGCCAACAGAGTTACAAGAGTAAAGAGCAAAAAAAGAGGCCCGAATCCGGGATTGAACCGGAGACCTCGCACAATTTAGTTTCCCAAAGCGCGAATCATACCACTAGACCATCCGGGCGGATGAATATTCTCCTTAGCCACAGTTAAAATCTGATTTTGCCTGTTTTAGTCGATCAAGTAAAATATCAAGGCCGAACCAAGTAGGGGCTCTCATTCTAATAACATTCAGATAAATTGGGTAATTAAATATTTCTTAACTAAGCCATTAGAGTGTGCCTAAGTGTTATAATGGTTGCATGCCTGTTTCTATCCTGATCTCGATCAACTCGCATGAACTTCTCGATTGGCTTGCTTTGAAGTCCTCGTCCTCCTCTCCTTCTCTCCAAGCTTATCACTTTTGCCGATATGTTATTTGAACACTACCTCCCAGTATTAGAGGATTAATGAGTGATTGAAATATAGTTCTGCACCAGATGAAACGGGGTTTCTGTAATGGACTGAGATTGTTACTTTTGTTTTATTGGCGCCTTACGCTCAATGGCACCCATTCTAGCACCACCTGTATCTAGCTCCTGCAAACTTTTCTTTTCTTCTCTCCTTGATCTGGTTACTTTCTTTAAATGCTACCATATACTACCTGATCTTCAAATCTTGTCCTAGGAGTGCCTGTGCGCCCTCACATTGTCACATGATTCAATCGAGCGAGATGGATCCATGTTCGATCCGAGCTTGATATCCAGACTCTTTGTTCTTTAAAACAGTCTTTAGTTCCTCGGTATCTCGAAGGATCTCTAGTATTATCATTTTTACGAACATCCAGTCGACAATTTTTTTTTTTACACTTTTGTCTGGTCAACCGGTCACTAGCCGGATCCTTAGTACCCTTGCACGCATACCCAGGTGGAAAATACTTTCTTAGCATCGGGACTATAGTCATAATACTGTTTTCAATCGGGTATCAGATTGATAAAGGACCTCAGGTCCTATCGGGTACCGATCCGCAGTACTCGGGCCGGTGCCTCTCCTAGCAGACAATATTAATAAACGTGGCAAGGTTCTGAGGGGACTGACCTCCAGGCATGGCATCGAGTCGAACGGTATTATATCCATGGATCAAGATAATGTGGGGCGAGGCTCATATTCGAGGTCCCTTCGAGAACGATACCACCTTCCAAGGTTCCTCTATAAAGCAGGTATTTAGCCCTCTGTTCTTCGAAGGGTCTTCAAGAATCAGCATTTGAATATCAATGTAGATAGTCTATATATTTTGATAGTCAAACTTGAGAGGTTCCTCCACGACATGCATTACAATTCAACTTTTAACCCTGGAAGTTATATTGAATATCCTCTTCCGCAATGCCTACTGCCATTCCTCTTCAAGGCCCTCTTTCCGACCTCGGGATATATATTTTGAAATGATACAAACTGGGCATCCGTGGCATGATTCACGCAACTACTAGTAGTTAATCTCTCTATTCCAAGGGTGTCTAAGTTTACATTTCTGAAGTATCTTCTCTATCTGTCTCTTGCATAGCTCACTGTTTAAAACCTTGGCTTAGACCTTTTTTATCCTTTTATCGATCCCTGTTTTTGTGTAGAGCTGTGGAGGCTTAAATTGAGGCTGCTGATATCATCCGCCCGGGTGGTCTAGTGGTATGATTCGCGCTTAGGGTTCACCCAAAGCAAGCTTGCGCGAGGTCCCCGGTTCGATCCCGGGCTCGGGCCCATGTCTTTTTGTTCTTTTTTTTTGCTTGATATCTTATCATTCCAGGCTTATGTAGACAGAACTCAAGCTATAAATATATCATCTGCCCGGGTGGTCTAGTGGTATGATTCGCGCTTAGGGTTCACCCAAAGCAAGCTTGCGCGAGGTCCCCGGTTCGATCCCGGGCTCGGGCCCAGTCTTTTTACTCTTTTTTTTTCATGTTTTTCTAAACATGAATTTTAAACCTTTCACCCGGCCTCTGTCTACATAAAATCGACGAACATCCAGTGCTCTTCTAGGAGAACCTCGGAAGATGATTATTTCTTACCTGACAATTTGTCTTAATGTACTATTTTATGCCATTTATATTTACAGATCTGTTCTCACCCCAGCTAACAAACAAGTGCCTTGATACATCCTCTCCAACGTAGTCCTCATTATCTCCACATCAGGCGACTCCGCTGACCAAGCTCTCAATGTCCGAATAGATAACCGTACCAGGGCGGTCCAGTTGTGGGGTGGAATAAGACACCACCCACCGGCATTGGCATATTGTAATCGACTGAGGACAGCTGCAATGATCTGAATGGAGGCACCAAAGGTACATCTCATGACATTCCAGATCCACTCATGGCGAAAATGATACCACAGGTTAGGGATAAGAATGGTATAGCTCTCGAGGGCTTCTTGCGAATGATCAAAGATAATTCGGGCGCGCCGGGTGTTGTTTTGAATATATCCCGGAAGGGAGTTATAGTGGACTGCAAGGTAGATGATAGGGCGGTAGATCTTCTCCAGACAAAGGAGGTAGCGGCCGTAGACGAGCGATTCCAGGTCTTCATTATCGGGGCTTGAGGGAGGGAGGGCATTCCGTGACAATTGATACCTAGTAAATCTGGTCAGCAAATCAACGCATAAGGACCACGAAGTAGAAAGTGAGGTAGTATTTACCAAGAATAAACAACATGAACGGCCTCGGTAGTTTTCTCGACGACGCCATCCATGTTATTGACCCACTCTTGCTCGCCGGAGCGCCACATGTCTATCAGCATATCATTTACAGTGCGGCGATTGCAAATCGATCCAATGTAAAATCTCCACCCCTTTTCCTCTTCTGTGCCGCTAATATCTGATTGCGGCGATGCGTCATTGCCTTCATCCATTGCATCCTCTGGTGAAGTCGACGTCGAGTTTGACGCACTCGTCCGTGGAAATGTTGGGAATTGCGCTGAATATCCGAGACTTTTGAGCCCGCTGCTCCACAGTGGAAGCTCGCTCTGCATTTCACTGTTACCGATTAGACAATTGAATCCACTTGGAAGAAAGTGTAGGAGCATACTGCTCTGCCTGCATACAGGACCAGTATAGGCGAGATTCGAGACTATTATAGTTGACATCGGCTACCCATTGCCCTCTACGCATGGTTCGCAAGCGGACTTCTAGCCTGCAGGAAGCTTGCTGATAGCAAAACCAGGCCTGCAAGGGTCGCATGAGATGTCTGTGGTAAGATCCCGCGAGAAGAAAGCATTGTATGTCAGTCGGTGATGTGTGTAGTGAACCAAGCCGTTGTTTCGCAGCATGGAAGTAAGCTTCGGCAAGTTCGATACTAGCATCTGACCGAGGTGGCGTGGGGATGCGATCAAGATCGACCGGGAGTTCACTCAAGGGAATGAATGTTGATGTGCAGCATGCCAGAGCACAGGCTATGAGCTATTGAATATTAGGAAGAGCACTTAGCATTCATGCTTGGCTAGTACTAGTAGATGTATCGACGGATAGGTAGAGAATGACCTCGAACTCACCACTTGGCAGGACGGGCCGTCCCACCCTAGGCCTTGTATTGTTACTTCGCGAGCATAACGCTCCAGTCTTTCGACATCAATAATGGGATTTCGCCGATGGAGCAGTCGTATGTATTTTCGACAAAGATGTTGTATATCGTCTAAGAAAGAACCAACACCTAATGTTCGGGGAGGCGGGATGGGGGGCTCGGATTGCTTCTCTAATGAATCGAGCAAAAAGGAACGAATATTCTTTTCAGCCTCGGTGATGACCTTGCTGTATACCGGCCAGCGGAGCATGTATTCCGCGGAGTTAGCCGCGTACAAGGCCAGGGGATCGTGGTCCCCGGATCGATCTTCAATGGCGGCTCCCCGGTTGCTGTGACCAGGAGAAGCATCTGTCAGGGGACTCGCATTTTGCACATTCAACCCAAAGAACGAGCCCCTGCCTGATCCACCATCCTGCTTGATATCCTCCAGCAATGAGGTAATATGGCCTAGCCGCTGCAGGATCTCATGATTGGAGGACTCGAAGTTGGTCCTACAACACGAGGATGTTAGCAAGGGTGTAGAAAGCCTTGCCTTAAAGCTTAAATTCAGTAGATAGATTGACTCACTGTGTTACATGCGGCGAGCTCTCGGGGAAGATACACTCGACTCCCTGTATCGCACAGTAGCTACAGATGGGTCTTACATTGTCGCACCGGGTCTTGCGCAAGCGACAGGTTTGACAAGCTGTCGGAGCGCGTGTCCGACTCTCGCGCTTCCTGGAGAACTTTGGATCTAGGTCCATGGCTTTGTGACAGCGGTTTCCCATGCGGATACGTTCGAAGCAGCTCGGGGAGCATCGGGGAGAACGAGGAGAGATGGTGGACTCAAGTGCGGGTCGTGGATTACCAGGGAGAGTTTAAGGAAAGAGCCCTTGGGCTATACTCCGGGGAGACTAGCGAGAAGACACCGAGCTAGAAAGGGTGAACAAAGAACCTGCGAACTTAATCCTTGGAAGACCAATTCGTGGATGGATTGGCGGTTGTGGCGTGTCCAGTTGAAGTTAAAGGCAATCCCGAGACAAAGAAAAGAGCACAAGTAAGGATGGGGGTTATGGCTCCTTTTTTGCAGGGCCCATTTCTAGGATAGGGCCTCGAATTTGCTGATTGGGAAACTCTTTTCTTGCTTCACTCGGGTCCTTGGCAGGGTTCGTGGTGGTTCCCTCCAGAGTGGGAGGGGAGGTTGGAGCTGCAGGGCTGCGCCTTTCCACCCCCAAGACCTACCGCAGCCAATTGAGGCGCGGGGCTGTTTTTGCGTCACCTGCAGCACTTTCGCGGTGTCATTGGACAAATAGGAGCGATGGATCTGGCGGATGGCCGGGATGGAATGTCTTGGGTCAGAAAACCTGAGTTGTTTCATGGATATCGTCACTCGAGACCAGATCCCAGGATGCCCCGGATAGAGATCCAATAAATTTAGGGAAAAGGGGGTGTAATATACTGGACACTGGACGCCCCCACAAGAGACATACAGCTGAGGGTCATTGCTCGTATAGGCAAAGGATAGCAAGGCGCGCCTGCTTCCGCTCTTTGACGGATCTAATTTAAGTTCACTGGAACCAAACTACTACCAAATGCGGTTTTTTTGTTTTTTTTGTTGGTTTTTTTTTCGAAGTGTAAAAAGCGCCCAGCTCTACTCCGTAATGTTCGCTTGCTTCGCTTGCATGGCAAGATTAACTCGCATTTCAGGTATCGTGCTTTTTTCGGTCACGATCGAGAGGGCTAGGTATAGCTTGGTCCATTTTTGACAAACTAGCCATCTTGTGGTGAATTGCTAAGCCTTAAGCTGGTTCAAATCCTGTTTAAATGTGGAGGCACTCGATGAGGCAGGCTTCCTGGCCATTTTGACAATCTGACACGAGTTCAAATTTTCGCCTAGCTTCGCACACCTCACGTTTGAAGTATAGATCGATCAAGTGACGGCGGAATAGGAGATGGCAAAACAGAACCAGTAGTCAATGGTCTCTCACTAGTGCCATTTTATATTCAAAGAATAGCAAGCCGAGCCAGAAATACCCATACCCGGAAGATTCACCACGGCGTTCTGAATAAAATTTCCAAGAATGTCCGATTGTTTGCAACGTCCCGGGGTTACTTACGCCCCACGAGATCCTCTCGTTCCTAAGCGGGCCCTTCCGAGTAGCGCCGATTGATACCGATCAGGTCAAATAGACCTCGGTTGGTGTTCCTGTCAGATTTTCAACCGCGCGGAGAAAGATAGGACCCTGTCGCAAACCTAGAGTCTCTGTTCACTTGCGGGTAAGGTCGTGGCGTTTTCAGTTGTCAGCACACCTGATTTCTCGCAGATGCAATCAGTCCCTTAGATGAATCAGGACTATACTCATCATGCGCATGCCATTTGGCAACCGATCAGTTGAGAGCGGAGATTAAAAAGCTAGTAGGCTGCATGCGTGGGTTTGACTCAGGAGACTGTGAAAACTTGGCAAGCCCGGATTATTACAAGCCGTCGGCGTATTTTATATAGTTAAAATTATATTTCCGTATTTGGGTATTAATAACAGAGACTCGGAGAGAAGAACGACTACCCTGGACCAAGCGCTGCAGGATATTTCGCTAATTAAATGCAAAACCACTCCTTGAAGGCTGTATATACTCATGGCACCGCATGCTCCAAAGCAGACCGTGCAAGGCGAAAGAAAGGCACAACTCCTCTACTGGCGAAGGGTGCTCATTTCTTGTGGTTGGGTGTCTTTGTGGGTATCCGACGACATTTCGTATGAAGGCGCATACAGGTTTTGTTGACCGTAGTCGTGGTTGACGGGCATATATCCCGGTTGTGACTGAGGCACTGAGTGGTCGACATGCGACGATATCCCACCATCAGCCGCAGCGGCAGCAGCTTCCTTCCTAGCGGTGTTTCTTCGCACTAGATAGATGAGGTACAAGACACCGATCAACAGGGGACAGCGAGGCCGACACCAACACCAATACCAGCCTTGGCACCTGGTGAGAGCCTTGCACTGGAGCTTGAGTCCGACACCTTACTGGTTGAGGTGCTTGTGTTTGTGCCTGTGCGAGAGGTGGTTGAGGACGAGGACGTGGTTGTGGTTGCGAAGTCGGCTTCTTTCCAGCGAATAGAGATACCCTTGGCGTTTACATCATATGAACCGTCGTAGGAAGTGACGATATCTCCTTCGGTGTAGGTGTATTCGGAATCGGTGTCGGTGTTTGACGAGGAGCACTGGTTGATAGTGTACCAGTAGTTGTCATTTCCTGTTTGCGCATTATAGCCTCTGCACGCCCAAAAGTTAGACAAAGGAGAATTTATTCCGGTCAAGGGATATCTACATAGTGGGGACAACATGTTGTAGCGGTGACTACTTCGTTATCAATTGCGAGACTTGTTTGACCAGCAGCAATGTAGCCATGCGGACAGGTTCCAGGTGAAAAATAAGACGAGCCGGTTGCATAGTCGGATGGCATGCAGTTTTTCCAAACCGATGGACCGAGACTCAGATACCACTCGACATTGGCATCTGCTGCGGTAACTTCCGGCGAAGTCGCCAAATTGGAGCTTTCATAGAACCACCAGCCATAACTTTCTGTAGTACAAGAGGGCGCCGGCGTAAAAGTTTTAGTTAATGCGCCTACCGACATTTTGGTAACCACACACAACCTTTCGGAGAGCAACTTCCAGCACGATTGAGATGAAGCACAACAGGCGAAACAACAAACCACCGTCAGCCGCTTCGAGGAGCGAATGGTCTATCCTTCCATTAAAAAAAAGGGCTGTAAAATTATATTTAGCAATGCTCAACACTAAATCACTTGTTGGAAGGAATTGTGCTTATCCCGTGGGGTCCAAAACCTTCACGAGGCTGATAGTGGGGGCATAATAGTATTGAGCGTATCGAATAGAGGAAGGAGACGCCTAACCTAGGAGGCGTAAAAATAGGACCTCAAAACTGTTTCGTTGCTGCGCCATGTGGAATGATCGCATGTTTAGTGTCACGGATATAGCGCGGTGGGTTGTGTGGGCTAAAGCATATCGGGCCCAATCGAGTGATATAGCATGTGTCTACTTCATGATATCATGCATGGGCTGTTCGAGATGACCAAACTGACTATATAAAAGGGAAAAAAAAGGACAGGAAGAATTCAACCACGAAATTGAATCAAATGTTGGTTGAATAAACAAAACAGCAAAAAACAAAGGCCCGAGCCCGGGATCGAACCGGGGACCTCGCGCAGTCAATGCTTTGGGTGAACCCTAAGCGCGAATCATACCACTAGACCACCCGGGCAATTGATGGAAGAGAGCTCCAGTTATGACTACATGATCCTGCCCCATGGATAAGGGCATAAAATGAAAAAGAATGGGCCCGAGCCCGGGATCGAACCGGGGACCTCGCGCAAGCTTGCTTTGGGTGAACCCTAAGCGCGAATCATACCACTAGACCACCCGGGCGGATGATATAAGCGGCCTCAATTTCTGCCTACATGATTGGAAAACTGCTTGACACATGGAATATGGAATATCACAACTTGACTCACTACAGTCTGTGCTCAAGTGTAGCAACATGCTATTATATCTAAGGCTACCCACTACCTGCGGTCTTTGATCTTGTAGCGTTCTATTATGAGACGAAAATTTAGATAAAGATCTTGGTTCACGAAGTACTCTAAGGCACTGAATCTCCGTCACAGAAGATGGAATGGAGGATAAGTAGGATAACTAATGTACATTTTTCCAGTTTCCCCAGAAAAGGATGCGCCATAACAATGTGATCTCAGTGTATACCCAACCAAACCAGTTGAAATTGCGCCTGGAACTCTTGGAAATCTGGCAAACAGCTGAACCCACAGAAACAAAATAGACACAGACGAAAAAAAACCCCCACAGCAGCGAAAATAACCATAGAACGAGAGCGCCCACACACCACCGGTATATGCCCCGGGACTACCAAGGGGACATCCGAATGCAGAGAATATGCTTTGTAGAGATATCGAGCTCGAAGTCGAAACTCCAAGAGAAAGGGAAAAAATAATGCTCCTGGCTGGAATACCAGACACTTGACCACTTGCGTGGCTGTGAATGGGTTGATGACACGCAAAAACGCCGATCAAATGTTCACAGAATATTTTCCTTGCGTTTCTAGTTGCATCACGTCATAGGGGTGGATGAAATAAAACAAAAATCGAATGATCGAGGAAGGAAGGGCTGTATTGCGCGACGAAGGAGCGCGGAGAGCAGCGTACTGGGGAAGGGAGACATTGATAAGGTTGAAGGTTTAGCGAGCGTGTGATCTCTCCCTAGGCATCATGGCGGAATGTGCAATTGTCGCCCTTTCTGCACAAGCCGTCTGCGAAGAATTTGCAGGGGACTGTACCGGCCTTGTACGGCTGGGGGCCACTAGCCCTAGTCCGCTTCTGTCGGCTGAACTCCTCGTGCTGACTAGTCTCGCGTATGCGTTTACGTTCGGGGTCTTCGTAGCCTTGGCCATGTGAGTCGGACTGATTCTGGCCGCCGAATTGCGAGCCGAACATGGCGCCCATATTTGGTGCCATTCCAGGCTGTGCCTGGGGAAAACCTCCCGATCCCTGCTGCATTTGCTGCATGACATTGAAAATCTTCAGGAAATCTATCTCCGGTGTCGCTTGTGGCTGGGTTACGGGGATCTGAGGCGGCGGGGCTGCGGATGGCTGGTTTTGTTGCTGTCGGAACATGTTGATAGTGCGCTCGAGATCTATCGCAGAAGCTTGCTGAGTTGGGGGTTGGGACTGAGGGGGGAGGGGTGGATTGTTGCTGGTTCCCATTGCCGATGAGTTTGAGAAGGTTTGAAATGTCGAAGCCACCAGCCGCGGGCGCGGCAGGCTGGGCTTGGGGTGCAGGCGTAGCGGCCGTGGGGTTAATATGTGCAAACCAGCGCTCCCCTCGAGCCTATTTACAATAACCATTAGCCATTTACTGGATACGGTTGGATGAGTCGAGATTGTATCATACCTTGACATGGTCGGGCACTTCTCCGAAGACAACCAATTCGGGGGCGGCATCATCATTAGAGTTGGTTTCGGAAGCGGGAGGCTCCTTGGGGGATGGAGGGATGTCGGCGGGAGAGGTGTAGAAAGCCATGAGAGTGGTTGCTTCTCGTTGATCCTGAGCCTCCTTCTCTGGACTTTCAGGTAATGCTTCACCGCCGCGTTTGATGAAATTGGCGGTCTTGAGGTCACCCAAATCGATATCAATCGCTATTCGAGTTAGCATGAGTCCTAAAGAGATCAAGGTAGCAGACTCACCAGTAAGACTTGTGTAATCGTGAAGGCTTATCTCACGAATGCCACCCAAGTCATCCTCCTCTAGCTCCTCCAAATCTTTGTGGAGTTTGAGCACGCTTCCTTCGCCCTTGACATCACCAACACCACGCAGAGAATTGTCGCCTGGTCCAAGCTCTTCGTCAGGGTCGTGAGTAAACAATCGGACTTCGGTGAGAGAATCATCAGGCTTCCATGTGACTCGCAGTTTCCGCCTGGTTTCTTTCCTGAGCCGCTTCTCACGTTCCTCTTCGGTTTCTGGGGGCCTTTCTTCCACCGGCTTGGCCACGGGCGCCTGCTTGGGTTTGCTGAGATCCGCCATGATGTCATTCAAAGAGAATGCAGGCTTGGGAGGAGGGGCTGCTGGTTTCTCTTTCTTTTCCGCGCTTGATCTGTAAAGATAGTTAGCATTTTGGCACACACCAATTGGCTGGGTAGATGAAGTATGCCTATGCCCATGGGGTGGCAGGGAGTATGAATTCAAAGGAAACAGGAGAGTACGTACATAGACTTTGCGGCCGCGGCCGCGGCCGCAGCTCGTTCGGCATTTGTAGTTCCAGGCCTCTTCGATGCAGAGCTCAAGGTTCCGAAAAGACTACTGAGCTTGGGAGCAGCAACAGCTGGTCGCGGACGAGTAGCTGCTGGTGTTGCAACTTTACCATTAGGGCCGGCCTTGTTAGATCCATTAGACCCTTGCGCAGACTTGCTGGCATCTTTGAGGTGAGAAGTCACTACCATTTTCTTTGTGGCAGGATGAACGGTATTTTCGCCTTCCCGCGCTCGCTTAGAGCCTCCAATTTCAGAGGGCGAGTCCCCGGGAAGTCCTTTGCTTGTCGAGTCTTCTTTGCTCGACTTTGCATTAGTCTGTTTGCGCTTGGTAGATGCAGACGCATTGTCCAAGATCCTCTGGGCCAAAGCTTTGCTGGAAGAGCCACCTCTTTTGACAAATTTTGGAAGGGTTTTGGTAAAATTGGTTTTTTGCAACAACTCTTCGTCAACACTAACAAAACGCTCCAGTAACTAGAGTAAGTTAGCATGAATTCTTCGCGGGTTGAGCAAGGAAACAACTTGCCTTGAGCATATTGACAGTCAAAGAACCTTCGAAATCAGCAGCTAGGAATCGATCCGCGAGGAAGGAATGAATAACGGCCAGCGCTATAGGATGTTCCCCAAGCCTACGTAAGAAATCAAACATTAGTAATCTGGGAGATCGAGAAAGAATGAAAATGCTCGTGCAGGAAATGAAGCAGAAGGGGCGGGCAGCATGAATGGCCTCCAGATTGCAAAATCTTAGAATGTGCGCAAACTTTGAGTATCCTTGAAGAGACTTATGCTTGGTTCCTGAAAAAGAAAGCTTTCCATGACTGATTCAGAATGCTCATTATTGGGCTTCTTGGGGCACGGGATATTGTTCGACACCATATCTCCAGCTCCAGCGAGACGCATTGCCATGGTACCCAAAATGAGGACGCTCTTTAATTGCAGCCATATAATTTCAAACTTTGACTTGGTCCATCTCCACAGTAAACAAATTACGTGGGTGATAAGCTCATTTTTCTTGGAACTTCTAGGTGTATGGAGAGCGCGTGCCAGAAACAAGGTGCAAACGAAGGAGACAAGAGCAACAAGGGAAATGAAAGGAATCAAGTGAATCTGAAGAATTGGTGGAGGGAGGTCATACTTCTCGACGATCATGGGGTGACCAATATCCAAGGCAGTCTTCACAATAGTATCCATTAGTTGGCGTTGAAGCGCCACATCTTTCTTGAGACGCGCAGCTTTGTCATTGTCACCCTGGTTTTCAGCCGACTTCATTGCTTGGACCTGGTCTCTCCAGGCATCACGAATAGACCTGATAGTCTTGGTGAAAGCCACAAGGGCACTCTTTATTTTATCCGTTGATGGCCGTTTGTTCCGTGGAGACCAAACGGCTTGCATTGTATCGTATCTTGCCCCGTTTACAGTATCATTCGGCCGCACTGGCGGGATAGGGGACGGCTCATCGGGAGGTTCAATCTCCAAATCCGACTCGTAGTCTGACGAGTCACTTTCAGATCCTGACTGTGTCTTCTTCGGTTTCGCAGAGGCTTTCTTGGACTTCGGCTTGCTCTTGGTCGAAGACTTTTGGAGGTCGCTCTCTAGGGTTGGAGGGTAGATGGCGAGTGTCGGATCCCCCCCGAGGTGCTATTTTACTCCACATGTTAGTATTGACACGGAGCGACAGGAAACGAAGAGATATTTACCAAGTTGTGGCATTCCCGCACTTTGTTGAACGCCTTGAGGTTGAACTGAGAAATTATTTTGGTAATAATCAAACATTCTGTTATCTTGTGGAAATTCTGACGGGACTCCTGTCGGGACTCCATAAAGAAAGTTGTTGGACATGTGCTGCTGATGTTGGTTGGCAGTCTGGGCGCCGGGATTAAGAAATTGGGGGTTGATTGTTTGGTGAGAGACACTGGGCTCGGCGGAGGGTGGGAAGTCGTTGGTCAGGTCAATCGTGGGGAGGTCGGCATGGTAGGAGGTGGAGAGAGGAAACTGTGGGATTGAGGGACGAGGCGCAATGTTCTGAAATTCAGTTTGTCGCTGGTTCTGCGCCGGGCGCTCGGGAAAAGAGTTTTGAGCGGGGAGTTGCTGCTGGTGGAAATAGCTCTGAGGGTAAGAGTACGATGGAAATGCTGAGCTCTCGGAAGGTGTCAGAGATCGCGAGTCAAAAGACAATTGACCCTGTTGGAATGGAGGGATTTGTTGCTGTGTTTGGAATTGCGACGAAACCGCATACCCCCCAGAGGGTTGTTGGAGGGGATTTGGTTGCCATGACTGAGGAAGAGAGGAGTATATGTTATGATTGGCGTCGGTTTGAGGAGGTAGAGGACTTCGTTGCTGGGATTGATGTGGATTCTGGTGTTGCTGCTGCTGTTGCTGTCGTGCATGTGCCTGTGCCTGTGCCTGTGCCTGTGCCTGTGCTTGTGCTTGTGCTTGTGCCTGATTTTGAGTCTGAGAGAAGATTGGATGATCCCAGTTGATACCAGTTGGATCTTGCTGTGAGGGAACATCTTGTTGCTGAGCTTGAGCTTGAGCTTGACCTTGCAACTGCGGGTCAGGGTACATTGTATCTAAATGATGATTCCAATACCCCTGGGGTAAACCTTGATCTTGAGCAGCATGAGGCCCCCCCCGATAGCGGGTGCTGGGCAGATGACTGCTCCATATTATGGGACAACCTCTCGCGAGTTCACGACAGCGAGTTGTGTCGCGCTCGGTTTCCCGTTTTCCCGTTTATTTGCTACTGTCGATCCCCCGAATATCACGTGTTCTTCGACTTGCCGATGAGCAGGTGATTTACCGCTTGCCTTTTTGGGCCGGAAGAGCGGGTTCCGGTTGGTCAGGCGGTCAAAACTGGCAGGGATTGTGATTGGCTGAAAGGGTTCAACAGAAGAAAAGAGTAAGATGATGAACCACTTTGGGGGAGGATATAACGACAGACAAAACAAAAATCGAAGTACGGAAAGGGGCAGAGTTGAGAATTGAGTTGGCAGAGTTTGGCCCGTACCTGGTCTGATGTTTGTTGGTGGCAATGTGTGTTCACCCCCAGTTACCTTGGCATTCACCTAAGGTCACCCACCCTAGGTCACCTTAAGTCACCACCCTCAGGGAAATTCAGAACAAAAATGACGGAATGTCTTCTGCAGCAGCGAATACACTGGGGACGTGGATCCCTTTAAAACACCAGTGCTCACCAGTGCTCACCAAAGTTCTCTCTTTTCCTGCTTGGTACCAATGTATCTGATCCCGCTTCACAGTGTCTCAAGTCTCCGTAGAGCTGACACTTTCCTTCTCTCTGGCCTGTATCTTCCTTTTAAGATTGTGCCTCAAGCAGCCCTTAAAGAAGAGAGGAAATAAACTCTTATATCAAGAGCCACTATAGCAATATAGCCATTCACTTTACGAAGAGAGAAGGGAAAGAGGTAACGGGAAAGGGGGCCAGGGGGGGGGGAGGGGAGATGGGAGGTGACGCGGAGAGTTGAGGTTTGAGGTCGGGAAGGACTCTGAGAAGGCTGCAGAGGCGACGTGTTTTGGCGACGGTCAGGAGAATTACAGAGACTCTGGCCTGTGATTGGGGGTTATGACATATTAAATTACCATACATGGGTATCATTATGTATTGGATTCATACAACTAGTACCAACCTGGAGTGTCTGCCATGTGATCATTGTGTTTGCCTTGTTTACACCGATCAGCGCAACCAACAGGGCATCCCACCGTGGCCGGAGCCGGACTCGGACTCGCGATCCTCCCCTATCGCTGATTCCATGTTGTGAGCTGTCTTGTCTCTGCCAATTCTGCTCTCTGATATGGCGCATCCAATGTCCCTCCGAGACCGACAGGTCGGTAGGTGATAATACCCCCTTCCCCTCCCCTCTTGACATAACCATGACCATAACATCACACAACATACAACATAACATATACCCCGGCCTTGCCGCAACTGGATGGCTGACCGATTTGTATAGCTTCCATTCAAAAGCTCCTGAACCTCAACCACGATCCGCGCCCTACAGATGATGCTTCTCATGACCCATCAGGACAGGCTGGTCTGGTCTCCACACCTATCCTGAACGAAGATGGTGATCCTATCTGGAAGGTCCTTGTCTTTGATGGCATGGGTCGAGATGTTATCAGCAGCGTGTTGCGGGTCAATGACCTTCGAACTTGGGGAATCACCATCCACCTGTATGCTTCATTCGGATCTCTTCCGCGACTTGTTCCCCTTGATAGCTTGTGCTAACCATGTACTCTCGCCAGAAACATCAACTCTCAACGATACCCAATCCCAGACGTCCCCGTGGTCTATCTGGTCGAACCCAACGAAGCTAATACCCAAGCTATCACTCGTGATCTCTCGAGTGGCCTCTATTCTCCCGCCTATGTCAACTTCCTCTCCTCTGTTCCCCGTCCACTTCTCGAGGACTTCGCCTCCCAGATAGCTACCTCCGGCGCATCAGAGAACATCGCTCAAGTCTTTGACCAATACCTCAACTTCATTGTCGCAGAGCCGGATCTCTTCACCCTCGGACTTGGTAATGACGTCTACTACACACTTAACAGCGGTAAATCAAGTGATGCGGACCTGGATGCTGTGATCGATAAGGTAGTGAGCGGTCTGTTCAGCGTGAGCGTCACAATGGGTATGTCACCTCTTCTCTGATGTTGCTCCTTTCCGGCAAATCAAACTAATCAAAAAACCAGGTTCGATCCCAATTATTCGATCCCCGAAGGGTGGTCCGGCTGAGATGATCGCCACTAAACTTGATCGCAAACTCCGAGATCACATCCTCAACTCCAAGGATAACCTCTTCTCCGGCAACCAGAGAGCTCTTCCGGGCGTCCCTTCGAGCCGGCCAGTCCTGATTGTCATGGATCGAAATGTCGACTTGGTTCCCATGCTATCGCACTCTTGGACATATCAATCCCTCGTACAGGACGTCCTTCAAATGCGCTTAAATCGAATCACCCTCGACGATGAGCTACAGTCCGGCAAAGTCTCAAAGAAATCCTACGATATTAATAGCAACGATTTCTTTTGGCAACGGAATGCGGGCGCACCTTTTCCCCAAGTGGCCGAAAATATTGATGCCGAACTCACACGGTACAAAGAAGATGCAAACGATATCACGAGAAAGACTGGTGCCTCCTCGATTGAAGATCTTCAAAATGATACCGGCGCTTCCGCGCAGCACCTCAAGGCCGCTATTACACTGCTTCCTGAATTGCGAGAGCGTAAGGCCACTCTCGATATGCACATGAACATCGCCACGGCTCTGCTGAAGGGAATCAAAGACCGACAGCTGGACGGCTTCTTCGAATTGGAGGAAAATATCACAAAACAATCCAAGTCACAGCTTCTCGAGCTGATTAATGATCCCGCCAAGGGAAACAACCCGGAGGACAAGTTGCGTCTCTTTGTTATTTGGTTCATCAGCACCGAGACTGAGCTGAGTCGCGCCGAGATCAGCGAATTCGAGGAAGCCCTGACTAAGGCCGGTGTCACGGATGTGACGCCAATCGCATATGTTCGACAGGTTCGCGAGCTAACTCGCATGACCATGATGACCACCGCTGCACCCGAACAACAATCCAACGACCTCTTCCGCGGCTTCTCGTCCCTCTCCAATCGCCTCACAGACCGCATCACCTCCAGCGGCCTGGGCGCTAACTTCGACACTCTTCTTTCCGGCGTTAAGAACTTCCTCCCCGCCAACAAGGACCTTACCGTGACCAAAATCACAGAGTCCATTATGGACCCCACCGCTGCTTCTAGCTCGGCCATCGCCAAGACCGAGAACTACCTCTACTTCGACCCGCGGAGTGCCAACGCACGTGGCGCCATGCCCCCGGGCTCTGCATCCCGAGGTCAGCAAATGCCTGGTGGAGTCCAAGGCCCCGGAACTGGTGCTACCTTCGGCCAACGCCGCCAGGCTTTCAATGAAGCGATCGTGTTCACGGTCGGTGGTGGAAGCATGGATGAATATGGTAATTTGCAGGACTGGGTGGCTCGGACAAGTGGGCCACAGGCGGACGGTGCGACGGCGGCTAGCCGCAGCGCCGCGGCTGGTGTTCGCCGTCGTGTTGTTTACGGAAGTACGGACTTGATGAATGCTAGTGAATTCTTGTCTGATTCTTTGATGCCGCTGGGCAGAGAGTGCTAGATTGGATGGATACCCTTATTTACTTACTATCTCCGGTCTGCAGATATTGACCGGCAGCAACAAAATATCAGCGCTGTAAAACATAGTTATAATTCAAGTATCGCATCTGATACACGGCTACAGCAATAATAGCTGGGTTTGAATGGTTTTCTCCCAAAGTAGACTAATTCTAGAAGCGGGTCGCTGTCCAGTGCTTTTCACTTTACCTCATGGCTTTTATATCGACAGCATGTTATATAAAATCCTCTGACTTCTTTGAAATCTAATTCTATCTCCGAAGGTTCGTCTCGGAATACAAATTGATAGCATATGCCTGATGGTGGTGGCAATATCTAAAGGCACTGCCTCGCCACACGCCTCCTCCAACCAACACAACGGAAATCATTGGGGTGTTTAACTATCGCAATTTCACAGTGAGGAACTTTAATCATTTCTAAATCGAATAAGCGCTCAAGAGCAAGTTATGAGATATGGTATTATGTAGGTGGTAGTTCATTGGTTAACCAATGTTCGTTCAACGGCATTGCGCCTCCTGGGGCAACGGTCTCGAACGCATATCCCCAGAAAACGCAGCCAATGAACTTATTTGATCGCTATAATGGTCCTTTTCTATCTCGTCTATTCGAGTCACGGATATCGCCTCAATTCTAACGAATTCTTCTCCCCACCAAGATGATGTCAATTCAAAGTCATGCAATGATTTCCAACGCCACAATGCTGTATAAGAATCCAGCATCGACATGCCAATCTCTACAGACCCAAGACCACAAATTCTTTCAAGACAGAAACCTCTCTTTTGACCAAACAAGCTTGGATCACAACTCCAATCAAGATGACTGATAGCTATGGCAATTCCACCTACGACAAGGATTACGATGACGACTACGACACAACCGGAGCCACATATGATACAATCGGAACATCACTAAGGACAAACGGAACAACCTTCGATACAACCGGCTACGGACACTATGGAACGACCGGCTTTGGGACGACGGGATCTGGCACCGATGCTATAGGCAATACATACGGTACAACATACGACACTGGCTACGGCACAACGACCTATGACCCCAGCAGCGGTGCCTACGATCAACATCTTGACTATCGCACGGATAACTCCCGACGACACCACCGTGAGCGTCTCGATCCGAGTGGCGTCTACCGACACCGTGACGTCGATCGTCGCGACGACGGACCTACCCGTGTCCATCGGGAGTACGATAACCCTAATACCGGCACCAGCTATCACCGCGACTATGAGCGGTAGATTTTGAAGGCCTGGCGGTGCCGGGAAATTATCAATTATGCCTTGCGTGATTTGTCGAGGTATATGTATGAAGACATGACGTTACGAGCTTCTTTTTGTACAGAAAATGTCCGGGTCCGAGCGATGTTCGATCCAACAGAAGAAAAAAAAGTTGAAAAAATCTGTCAAATCGTCTAAAAATATTTGATTTTGATGAGTTCGACTCTTGTTTCTTAGCGTGCAGGAAAATATTATTATCATACAATGTACCAGACATTTCGCGGGCGGAGTCCAGCGGTTGTAGTTCTTTGCAATCTCTAGGGCTTTTGCCCAGGTTGTAGAAGGCGTAATTGTAACCTTGAAAACTTAGAATAATACTGTTGGGAAATTACCACTTGGATAATGAGAGGATGAGACCGAGTATAGCGGATATAATTTCATTATTATAATAGTCCAACGACCATTTAAACGCCCGATGCTATGCAAAGACCATCGAAAGAGTTTTGACAATGGGACGCCCATCAAGAGCCAGCGACAGGGCAGGAACAAAAGTGGGAGAGAAAATGAGCGGCTAAATGACAAGACGCCATGCCATGCATCTGTGCAAAAGAAAAAAAGAAAAGGAAAAGGTAAATGAGGGACGGGTAAATACCGCTTGAGAACCCCAATTCAAGCGCTCGCTTGGGGGTTTCCCGTGTAGACTCCTTCGAAGTCCAAACCAGCTAGCATCCCGTTCACGCGGTCGATTTCACGACTCAGATCCTCGACGTTGACGGCAAGACTGCTCACCTCGTCGAATTTACGGCGACGGTTGGCATCGGCGATCATTTCGGATACGAAGAATTTCTGTTCTTCCAGGACGATTAATCTATCACGGAGTGATTTTTCTTCTGCTTCGAGCGCTGATACGGCGCTGCTTGTGTCGCTTGCGAGACTGCTGGTGCTTCCGCTGGCGGCGACACGATTGTTATATTTAATGGATGCAAGGGCGGAATCCTGGGGCTTAGCACCAGGTGCCGGTGAGCCGTTTACTGGCGTGTTTGTTGACGATGTGGCGGGGCTATGCATGCGTCCCCCGTTTGGTGGTGTGTGTTTCAAGATCTTGGGGAGGGCTTTCAGAGGTAACATATGAAGGTGGAGGAAATTGCTGGCTTGTTGATAAATTGCCTTTTGCAGGCGTTGCTGGGTGGGGGAGTTGGTGGGTAGGTCGCGGATTCGTCGTGCCGCAACGTCATATTTTGCGAAAGAGTCCATAAGTCGCTTGCGTACTTTGGAAGCATCTGCTATTTGAGCTGACGAGGGTGGGCGTCTTGGATCTCTTAAATATTGTTAGCAGGGTATCAGTCAAAATGGTGTTTTAGACATACTGGAGTGCGGAGAGGAGTTTCTGGAATTTAGGCATGTGCAAGCGGATTCCCCTCTCGAATTGGATCAAATTGTCGTAAGACCTGACCTCCAGGGGCTTTTGTGTGATATCAGCCTCAAAGTCGCGCCGGTCAAACAAAGTCGACTTGCAATCCTTGCAAAGTCTTACGTCGATGTTGAGCAAATTGTTAGCGGCCACTTTCTCTGAAGATTTCGACACTATCGAGAATGTTAGATATAGTTGGCCCCGGACGTGAAGTTGTGGAAACTTACTAGGTGCAATGCTCAGCCCAACCTCACTAGAGCAACCAGTTCCAGCGTCACCGCAAACAACTCGCCCACAAGTTCTGCAATGGTGCCTCCGAAAGGAATAGCCCGAAAAGTCCTGCTGGCAGAAAGGACATCGCGACACACTAGCATCATCTTGCCAGCTTACAACAGTCTGCTCCAGGCTCTTTCGCTGGTCGCTTTGCCATCCAATTGAAAAAAGCTTTGTTGCGCTGGGTTGGACTTGGTCGGGTGGTAGACTCGCCAATAATTGTGTGAGCCGAGTTAATCGTTTTTCGAGGCGCGAAACTTCGAGGAGATCCTTATCAACCGTTTGCTGCCGGATAGACTTGAATAAAGCCGTTTTATCTCTCAGTGTTCCTAAGACTTGTATGAGCTTGGTAGTCAGGCCTAGTGTTTCGGGGAAACAAACCATTGTGATCGTTGTAACCTTCCCTAGACTTATAGCATGTCTCGCAGACACGAGCCCAAATACCTCTTATAGGTTCGTGGTGTGCCGCCCGCGAAAGCTTCATCTGGTACATTGTATGTTCTTCGCAAAAGAGCTTTCCACATTTCCGACAATTCACGCATCCATTGGTGGCATTCAGTCGTTGGCCGCACGAGGGCTCCAAACACACGTCGTACATGCAAGGGGCTTGCCAGTGTTCCTTCGTAATGAGGTCTTCGGGGTCAAGTAATTTCGGGGCTTCGGGGGTCGGTATATGAGAGGCCAGTGGACGGCTCGAGACCGAGGAGGCTTGGTTCTCATTCGATTCGAATACATCCAGACCTTTGAGTTTTTGGTTCAACACGGCCAGTGGCTGGAATCTCTTTGCTTTTTCCATTTGGATCTTAAACCAGTCTTTGACCTCATCTTGTGTGCCATCTTCCAAGTTCTGGTGAAGGTCGTCGAGATGTCTGTGGATATGTTAATGGAGGGGTCGAAGGAAATATAGGGGGGAGGCGGATGCTGCTATTGTACCTATTAAGTTGAAGAAGAGTTACCTAGTAGCAGTCAGTATATGGGATTTCAATGGGTAAAGCTTTATGCGCCAATACGCTGGGAAGTAAACGTACCATCTCTTCGCTGCAGATCGGACATGATAGCTGCGCTCCGGGAGCGGCGGGCGGCGCGGGTATCGAAGTGTTGCCAGTCTCTAGAGATATGCGAGAGGTGAGGTCTTGAGTCGTCGAGGAGAACTGCGAAACGGAAGCCTGCGAGCTTAGAGAGACGCTGCTAGCAGCTGGTGAGAGTACCCTCTTCGGCTGCGGGGACGGGGACGGGGCTGAGAGCGCACTCGGAGTGCCCAAGACACGGCCTCCACCCAGCGTCCGGCGGGACATGATTACGGGAACATGAGAAGCAGGCGAGAGGTAAATGTTTCAGCCCTAGGGTTGAAAGAAGGTCCCCCAGAGAAACAGTTATAGTCGGAGTTGAAGTTGGAGTTGTTGACTTGGAGCCGCGGTGATGATGCGGTGGAGCCTTGCATCCTTGTGGCCTGAGGCACTAGTGGCTTGGCAGGAAGTATGAAGTCAACTTGAATCCATGGATGTACTACTATCAACTACTGGTATAAGAGATATCTAGGGTAATTGTACAGGTATACATAACGCCCATGTATCACCGGCTGGTTATTCCCATACTTTAATAATATTATCTCATATATATGCTGTAATGTCTCTCGTCAATTGATACCCATAATGTCGACATCATTAGGTGGTACAACTCGCCATATTCAGAAACTCTCTACAATCTCGAAGAAAATCTCCATAAGTATGAAAAGAAAAAAAGAAAAGAAAAATCGAGCAAACTGCTCTAGGGGAGGAAGGTAGGGAAGCAAAAAGATATCTCAGGTAATGTTTGTAGGAATAGCCGAACGGGGGGGTCGAACCCCCAACCTTGAGATTAAGAGTCTCACGCTCTACCGATTGAGCTAGCCCGGCAGGGCTTGTTGAAGATGAGAGCTATCTATGGCTACATGAAGCAAGCCGAAGTCCAATCCACCTAAACCAGCACCTCTTCCTCGGCTCCCAGAGCCGCCCAACGATACTACTACCACAATGATTGTGCACCGTGCCCCGGGAATTCAGTTTCGTGGCCAAAACATATGACTTATTCCAGCTTATACTAGTAATTCATGTGATTAAGGGATTGCCATGTTCTTCAATTTAACTCGTCCCGAATTTACGGATAGGGCGCCTCGAAGGATTCCTTGGCTGTGGAATTACGGGGATCTTTTTGATCGAGACAGGGATTCGCAGAATTATATATATAATAATGTCATGCACATCGAACTTAATAACTGCCGGCATTTGAACTATCTTTAAGATGTGCCTACTAGTAGTAGTACTAACTTAAGTACTTCGTACTTATGTCAATACTCGTGTTCCGCGGAGTTGCACCATGACATTTTCCTAAATTCTTGGGAAAGGAAAGTACTACCTACCTCTACCTAACCGACCCCACATTAAATTTCTACAATATTGGACCCTCGCTAACGATAGTAGGTACTAGTAGTTAGTATTCAACAGGGTTGGCCATGGGAACACCCACTATCGAACCCTATTTGTCACAGTGACAGTGACACTGACATTCATTTCAAACCTTGGAATACTCCGCGGGGCTAAATTGGAAAATTTGAAGATCGGAGCCAAAGTATATTCCGGGAACTCATAATCAATAACTCAATTATCTCATTCAAGTTGGCATGGATTTCTTTTCAGCAAAAAAAATAAATATTATATAGTTATTATCATTCCACGCCTCCCGGATCTCTATGAAGTATCATCCTCCGAAACAAAGAACGTCTTTTGCACATTCACGCCGCTAAAAAACGTCCCATTGTTTGGTTTGGGATTGAGATCTTCCTGACTACTAGTCCGGCTGCTACCCTGATTCGAAGTGTGGATCGTGGTGATCACAGCATGTGAATCCTCTGGGTCTAGGTCCGGGCGCCAATAATGGGGTCCGGAGGGATCCGACCGCACAGCGTTCACGCTTGAGAGTGGGAGGCTGTTACCGGTACGCTTGCTCCGAGTTCCTGCGGAGCTGGGGTCGCGAAACCAGCGGAATAGGGGGCGAAGGGTGACGAGGCTGCCGGCTGCGATGCCTAGGCTGGCTTCGACGTTGGACCAGATGGAAATGTTGGACGTCGCGTCTGGAGTGGGAAGTGTTGTTAGTATAAGGCTCTCGTATCTTGACTTGCGAATGAAGCTTCCCGGATGAGGATGACCTGGAGATTTGAATGGAATACCTACATAAGAAGTCCGGGTCCTTGTAGTCGTGCAGATAGGGAATTCGAATGATGACAGCAGCACTTGCGACACAACCCATGCCCAAGATACTAGCCAGCGCGGCCTTTGTGCGTACATTCATTTGCAAGTTCCACACCAGGAAGACTGGCAATATGCCGAGAGTAAAGTCACAGCATGTGGCAGTTACGCTGTAAACGTAGGCAATGGCGATAACGCTGTCAAGGTCCATACAAGTGCCGTTGGTAGTGCCTCGGGCTCGTTCCCAGAAAAAGGAAACGGGGTGACATTGCAAAGTCAACATGAACCAGAAGATGAGGCCAATGATTGTGGTCACAGCAATAACACCCCAAAGAATCGAACGGTGCAGACGGGAAACAGTAAGACGGAGAAGGGCGACGGCGATTGAACACTTGCAGACAGCGCATACCCAAACATAACTTGTTTGACCAAGCCACCACCACTGGTATCATTAGCTTTCATTCTTGCATGTGCCAGCTTAGGCTGGATCGGGCTGAACATACAAACATAGCGGTCTCCATTGTGCCTCGTCCTTTCGGGGGAGGGCCAAGGTCATCGGATCGTTGACCGATTCCGTAAAGAGCACCTGTGATGCCACAGAGTGCAAAGAGAATGTTCAAGAGCTATCGCATCGCAAAGTGTCAGTACAAAGAGACAGGTTCATGCATCTGATGTGAGGTAGAATTACCATAGCAAAGACCATCAGCGCATCATCCCAACCAAAGGCCTTGACGATCCTCAGCCGGACAAAACATCTCAGGCAAACTGCAATGAAGGAGAAGCCCAAGAAGACAGTCGTGACAATGAAGATCGATAAACTGCGACCTTCCAAGGGAAGCATTGTGGTGGCCGAGATCAAAGACTGTATCAATCGCGATTCATCGTCTACTCAGAATAGAAAAACAGAGAGGCCTCAGAATTCCCTCCCAAGAATGCCAATCAAGAATTGTGTATAAGGAGAGGAGAAGGAGAAGAGAGGCGGCGAAGAATCAAACCCACCAGCCAAGCATTGCCATCCAGTGGCCATTAGTGGCGAGAAGGGGGTTTGGCCGCCGTCCAAGCGGGTCGATACGGCGTTGTTGCTCTTCTCCGTGCCTAGTCTCGGGGGCTAGAGACGCAAGAAACATTTTTCTGAGCCTCGCGGCTGCCATGATTAAACTGATCAACAAGACCCAAAACATTTGCGACCCGCATCGGCAATCTCAAGGTGAACCCACGGGATGGGTTGTGGGGTCGAACTTAGATGGCCCTGGACTATGAGAATTTGGTTGGTGAATTGGGGAAAATGGATCCAATAGAAAAAAGCTACAAGGTCGCAATGTAGCTGTCATCGAAACCCCTTCAACTCCAGACTTCTCAATGGGGCTGTCGGTTGTAGCGTGGACTGAGCCACATTTAGCCTGTCGTCCCATGGATACAATGTGGAGGTACAAAATCAAATAGAACAAACCAACCCGAAAAGAAGGTTGCGCGAAGAAGGCAACCTAGCAGCGAAAACCTTGACCTTGCATAAGACAAATGAGCATTGAGTGGATTTTCATTTGCGCATCGATTGTTTGGTACAGACACGAAACGTTCCTATTTCTTGTGGCGTAGCCATGTGGCCTGCCGAAGCCAAAGTCTGCCAGTGGCTGCCAGTATCTTGGTTCTAGTCCTTCCACAAGTCCATTATTCCTTGCTATGTCCATTTGGCTTGTGCACTACCACCCGCTCAGGCCCCCCACCCACACAATCCGCAAGTTTCATCGCTGGGAACATCGGCGACATCACTCAAACAAGTTCGGCTGGCAAAGGGCTTCCATGGGTTCTACCAACGAGCGTGTGCGAATCTTGGACATAGAGTGGAGCCTTGGTCTTGGCCTCCCCATGCAGAGCCTAAGCTAGTCTGTTCGACCGCTTGAAGTCGTGTCAAAAGGGGGAGACCGTTGCCACCCTAGGACGAACAGGGCGTTAAGTCGATATTCTCGGTGGATCCGAGATCCCCGTGCCCCCCTTGGCAGCTGATGATTTCTTTCTTATCCCCTTCGGTTGCAAAGGCGTACCGGCAATAGTTTGGTGGAAGGGGGATCTCGGTTAGCTGAGGACACTGGTAATTACTGGCGAGATCCGAGGTACACACATGTTAATTAAATATGCCAATGGTGAGATAGGTGAAAGGTACTAGTAGTACCGTTGTCGATACAATCAACAGGCGGAATCAATCGATCGAGCACGTCCACTTTGGGCGTGTATCTCGATATTGAAATCGAGATGGATCCTCTTGTATGATTTGACCCGGCACATTCTGAGACCTGATTCATGACAATCGGCAAGTGATGGGTACCCTGATCAGCCGATCACTCTAGATTCCCTACATACATAGAAGCCCCCGCCAGCAAGAAGTTGGCTGGATCTGCAGTCGGAGATTACCTGACAATTCTGGCGTCTCCACCGTTAAGACGAGTGGGGAGGTGGATCATTAGGGTTATGCAGAGATGTCACCTTGCGCGTTACGAGGCCTGCTAGCATTTTCAAGCAAGCGCAACAAAGACATTGTTTTACAACATACCTGTATCCTCAGGAGAATGAAACTCGAGTAGCCACTAGTAGCAATCAGAAAACCAGAAAGTCGCAGCAATTGTATCTGAAATTGGCTGAAAATTCCTGCTATAACTCATCTTCTGTCGCAGTCTCTTCTTATCCTGCTCCGGGGAGAACATTAAAGCTCGAGGCCTCCATATCCTCTATTCTATAGTGGATCTCTGTTTAATTAAAAGTTCGATCGCCATTCTCATTTCGCGACCTATATTTGGAGTTACGTTCGGTCTCTACCGGTGTTCCAAATGGTGAAAAGCCATCGCACCTTACCGTAGAACCGACGTTAGCCATGTGGTTCCCATTGACCCTGTTCCGGGGATTTTCTGTTCGTCGATACGACTCAATCGCTAGTTGCTCGTATTTAAAGACGAGAGTTGAAGCTAGTGAAACGGCACCGAATGATCTTGGTTTTACTGTCCCCGCTAGATGAAACATGAAGCTGCAGAAGTGACACCTGCAAGGGTCGTCCAACCATGTACTGGGTACGGAGCACTCCGTATCTGGCTCCACATCCGGTGGGCGCGCAAGTTCAAGTTGCTATCCGAGGAAAATATCGGCCCGATTCCGAGAAACGGATGAACATATGTATACTAGTAGTAGTACTAGTATACTCCGTAGCTGTAGCACGCTTGCGAAATTAAGCTTGATCCCGTGATGCTTGGCTTTTTTAGTGCCCAGCTATACATATTGCCCAGGTGACTGCCACTTCTCCTCTACAGATACAGAAAAAGGATTGCCTTTCTTCCTTTTTCAAAAAGAAAAACCTCGGTCTTCAGATTTCGCTACAACGGACAGGAATCACTCCGCGGAGAAAGAATCGATATGTACATTGTATAATTTGCATCGCTCATACTTTCAATGGCTAATAGACAGATCATTTGCACTTGGTGAGGTCGTCGAAGTTGTTCAGAATAGTGACAACGCTCTTCAGAGCTGCAATCTCAGGAGACAAGGGGCTGTTGAGTTGGTCCTTGACACCCTTGAGCTGCTCCGCGCTGAACTGCTCTTGCTCGGCACTGAGCTCGTAGGGAGCGACACCGATCTTGCCATAGAAGTCTTTGCGGTATGGTACGGAGTTCATGGCAAGGCCAAATGCCTTCTTAGCGAGGAAGCCGTGGTGGGGCTTGAGGACGTCATTATAGGCAGAGGTGAAGGAGGTGTTGAGCTCCTCGGCAGGGTCATCAAGGTTGCGGCGGATGGCGGTGGCGGTGAGGTCAAGGGCACTGTTGATAACGCACTATATCAGCCACCATTCTGAGGAGCATTGAAACAAGGGTTGAGGGTAGAGGGGCAACGGAAGCGGCGATCTCACAGCTTGAGCCAGAAAAGACCCTGGGCGGCCTTCTTGGACTTGTCGTTCTTGACAAGGTCTTGCAAGGTCTGGGACTCGGCGGGAGCCTCGTTGAAGCGCTTCTCGACTTTCTGTTTAAATTGTCAACATTTGGCCCAACAATATCCAATGACGGAGGCGGAGATGGGGGTTGAGGGCGGAGATGAGGGGGGACATACAGCAATGTTGTTGGTCATGTCATCCTTGACACTGTTCAATGCAAGGCCACCAATGCGCTCTGCAGGATCAAACGGATTAGGTCTCACGATAGACATGCAAGGAAGAAGAAGGTACCTACCAAACAGAGTGACCAGGGATTTGGCAGCTCGGATGAACTCCTCTGTGTTGATGTTGCCATTGGCATCGACAGTGACATTCTCAAAGGACTTGCCCTGGATAGATTCAAGCCAAGAAGCAGACATGATGATTGTGTGGTGTGTAAGAATAGTAGAATTGGAGATAACGTGGGGATGAAGAGAGTAGTACAAGGAGTACCTGAGTTCAATCTTAAGGTAGAAAGAAGGAAACAACAGCTGTCCCGCTGTCACTCACCGCTGCCGCGCAAGCCACCGAGGGGTAACCTTTTGGTAGCAAACAGTGCAAACACGGTGTCGATCATGCCATATCCCACGTGACCTTATCGTCTGTTTTCAGGAGGTTCGCACTGTTTGCATTGTTTAGCATCTTCGCCAAACATGACATCACCTTCTGCATGTTGCATCACGATCTTCGATCGATCGCGCTATGCTTTTTTCCTCCCCCCCGAAGTGGTGCCTGAATGATCTTCCCCCGCATCTTTCTCTCTCTTTCTTGATGTCCCACCCCCTGGTTCAATGCTCATTCCCCGGGTGGGCAATCCTCCTGCGCTATGAGCAGTTCCGATCAAGCCAACGGCTCCGCACAGGCAGAAGCAGAAGCTCCCCACAGTCCTCCCCATGAGGGTTACCAAGGCCTGCCAATAGGGTCTTACACGGATCAGAAACTGGTGGGTTAGACCTCGCGAACCACACCATCGGTATCCACTCAGAACTAATAATTCTCTTGCTATCAACAGCGCCATGCCTCCGCTAATCACTTGCATATGACAAGCCGCCGTTTTTTCATCGGTCCGATTCCAGAGGGTTGGATCCATGGTCACCGCAAATCCTGGTACAAATCGAGACTCCGCTTCAAGAACTATACCTCACAGACCCTGTCCTTTTCGGTGGACCCAATTTCATCTCATTATACCCAAAGATCCCTGGGAACTGATCACCCGACGGGTCAAGCGGAGCCCTCGTCGGCTCCTGCCGGGGCGAGGGAGGAGGAAGAGGTTGCTCTTACCTTCACACACACCAATATTGATCCCACGGACGAGGACGAAAGCGAAGAACAACTGCAGGAGCCGGACGAGGAACCACCAGGAGAACTCCGCACATTGACTCACCCCGAGCTAGAGTCGGGAGAAATAACTAGTAGCACGGACAATGACGATGACTACACATCCGAACATCAGGAGCAAGATGAAGAAGACTCGGATCGGACACCACGGCCAAATGTCAGGTCGATTGCTAGTACATCACATGGGGTTTACGACAGTGGAGACGCTTCAACATCGTTCGTTACGGCCAGGGAAGACGCCTCTAGCTTTGCAACCTCTAACGCGTCTACGTCGACTATCCATGTAGCTCACTCGCAGCCTAGCCAGCGACCGGTGTCATCAAATTCACGAAACTTGAGCGTTGCCGGTCCGAGTCAGCAGAGTACAATGGTATCGACCGCTTCTGCGGGAGCCAGTGAAGCAGACTCGACAACACACCTGATAAAGGCTAGGCCTAAGCCCCAGAAAAGGTTCAAAAGCGAGCGTTCTGGAATCTCCCGTTTCACACTGGAGCGTCAAGAGCCCCAAAATGAAGACGATGCCCTACATGAAGATGTTCCACAAAATGGACATATGCCGCGACGATTTACCCGAAAAATGGCCAAATATAACATCAACGACAATGTCATGGACAAGCAAGAAAGATTACGATCTCGAATTTCTAAGACAGGAGGGACAATTGTTGCAAATCGACCCCGCCGTCGCAAGGTACAGGATGGCGAGATCATCAAAGCCGAGAGAATGCTGGTTCTTGTCGAAGAAACACCAAAAGAGAAGCTACCAAGTGATTACACGGAGAACGACAGCCTTCGAATGGAAACACGGACTTTGGATAAGTGGCGTGAGTTCTTGGTAGTCTGCAGAAAGGGCTCCACTGAGCACGCGCCATTTTCACTGCAAATGTATCGGACACGCGTCATCCCCGATATGTCGAAGCCGAACAGCAAGACCGCCCCCTACTATGAGGTGCGGTTGAACCGTAAAAACACCAGCGTCAACCTTTACTCAACCTTGGACAAGACCATCGTGGTCTGGTATCCCCGGAAGCGTGGAACTAAGATCTATATTATACGCCCTAAATCGACTGCACATGCTGCAGAGTGGTACACATTCATTCGGCAGGTTCTTGGTTGGCGACGTCCGACCAAACTTCCCATCAATGTCCCCGATCTAGGGGTATCTCTTATTTTTAAAAATCCCTTTGAACAATTGGAGGCTCGAATAGGGATGAAAAATGACGATAGCAGACATACTACTATCCTCAGCCGATCTGCGGGTGATGAGCGGTTTGCCGCAGCATGCATTATTCGAGGTTGCATGGAAATGCTTGAAGGTCGCCCAGAATGGGCCGAAGTGCTGCATGCTTGGTCCAAGACAGAGAAGATGGGACTTGCCTGGAAGCGATATGATCGTTTGGAATGGATCTTCGGTGTAAATGAAGAGAACATGTATGGATCAATTGCAATGCAGTCGTCCCACGACCTTGAGCTACGCCCCCGACACCATTATTCGACGGCAATCAAGCAGTCGGGAGAGAAGGAGCAAGAGCCTCCACCAATCGAGGGTTTCTTGATTCGACTAACATCTCAGAAAGGCATGCACCAAAGGATGAACAAAATGTTCTTCAAGAGGTTGTATTTCTTTACTCAAGATCATTACTTGCTATTCTGCAGGCCAGCAAAGGCATTTCCTCCAACGCCGCCAAAGTTCGCTCCCACTTGTATGGATGAGGAGTCGGATATTCCAACTTCTCGCCAAATTTTGAACGAGATGCCGATGTCTTGGGATATCAACCCATACCCTATCGAAGATGGTGAGATCTCTTGGCTCGCCAGCGGAAACGACGAGTATGTTCAACGACATGACGAGGAAGCATACGCCCAGCAACAGAGAAACGTCCACAACATGAGCCAGGCTGATGGATATATTGATTTATGCCGAGTGACAGGTGTGCGCGTTGTGCAGCGTGGCAGTAGTCCTGCTGATCCAAATATTGGCGAAGGGCCGGCCGTGGATTTCCAACCCGAACCCGCTGATTCTCGACAAGAAGATGGTACTACCAGGGAGTTTGACGATGGGAAAACCTTTGAAATGACGCTAGAAAATGGTCTCGTTATCCGCTTGCAGGCCTATGATTCTTTTACACGCGACGAATGGATCAATCGACTTGACGCTTTGGTCAAATACTGGAAAATTCGCCACGCCGACGACGCAGCCGAGCTTCAGGCCGTACGACAGCGGAATCTCAAGCTTTTGGAGATTGACGAGGAGATGGAATCAGTTGTGGGCCAATTCGCAAAGAAATGGGAAGTGAAAAAGGCCGAGGCATCGCCACATTTGCACAATATGTGTGCTTTGTCGGGTTGTCGAACGATCAAGGTTTGTATTTGCATGAACAGCCTGCCTTTGAATATCCGCTAAATTTCTAAATTAGATGTCCGGACAACTTTATCGCAAACCTCGCCGGCATACAACTTTTACAAAATGCCATGTCCTCCTCACCGCGGGCAAGCTGCTCGTCTTCCGCAGTACGCTGCGGAAAGGGAACGGTGTCGTGGTTCCACATATCCATCAACAGCATGAAACAACGATCGACCTGGCAGACTGTTACATCTATTCTGGACTTGTCACGGAGAACGATCTGTTGTATGCCAACCAAACTTTTGACAATAATAACCCGGGCGTGCACGCCCTGCCACGTGCATATCTTTCATCGGATGTCTTTACCAGCCGGGATGAGGACACCGCAATAACATTTGTTCTCTGGCAGCCCATCAAGAAAAGCCTGTTTCGAGCCCAGGAAACAGGCGCCCAGGGCAAAGCCAAGCGCTCTCTGAGACATGTGACGACCCTGGGAAAACACGGTCGAACGATCGTTTTCAAGGCACGTAGTCGTGTTGAGAAAGACCAGTGGGTTCTGAGCATTTCATCTGAGATCGATCGACTGCAGGAAGAGAAGCCGGAAGATATCCGGATTGTCTCTTAATGAACTCTTTCACATACTATTCATTACCTTCCTCACTTTCGTTTTGTTTATAACACTTTTTCCCAGCAGGAACACGCATAGCATTTCGGGTCTTTGGTTTTGATACTCAGTCACACTTTTGATATTATACATCTATGACTACTTGTACAGCATGATCATAATAATACAATGGTTTCCCACAAGATAACTCCGTATATTTACATGGCGCCCAGCGCCATCACAGAAAACATGCAACGCGGAGTCGTGCCTCCATACCTCCCCGGCAATCCATTAATCCAATCTTGGACTTTCCATATTCACAGCCTCCTTCACGACTCTGTCCCGCGTAGCCTGCCTATAATTATTTTCATCTGAGACGCCGTCTAGCTTTCCAGCTTCCCAATCCGTCCAATTCAACCACCTCATTCGTGGGCCCAGGATCGCAAATACCCGACCGGTCAAAAGACTGATACTGACCGGTCCGTAGGTATTACTATCCAGCGTTCGGTCTGGATCCGACGCATCCCCCTCCAGCCAAACATGATTGAACGGAACAATTTGAGACTCTTTCATACATGGTTTGCGGGTGATGACACGGTCACCAGGAAGACCGACGACACGTTTTATAGCGATGTGTGAGGAATTGGCGGGAGACCTGTCCATACAATGAGATTAGCGAATGTTTCCAATTTGAATATCCTTGAACTTGAGGCATCCAAGCCTCTCTGACAGACATGATACATACCGGAAAGTAACGACCATCCCCCTCTCCAACCGTCTTGTTTGCTCCCACGGCCAAACCCGCGACGGCATCATGCTGACCAGCACCATATCACTTTTCGTGTGGTTTTCGGGATATTCTTCGTTGAGGTAGGGTGTCATTGACGGTCCCCGAACCCACATAACCTGCATAACGTGTTCCGAGAAGAAAAGGCTGATCGGGACGAGGGGCGCCAGGATCCGGAGCCCGCGACATGTGCGCTGGACTGGTCTGGGGAGCGCGGCATAGCGTTGTCGGAGATTGGAGAAGAAAGTGCTGAAGGGTCGATTCGGGGTGAGTTTTGGGCCCTGAATGCTTGGCTCTGGCGTTAAGGGGGCGCCGGGTGTCTGCTGGCCTGGTACTATCCCACCGGGGACAGACTTCTTCTTTTGCGCGAGGTTTTTGGCGGCGTTTGGGGATAGGATGCGGAAGTTGGGTTGGTTGACCATTTTGAGTTGGTGTCGGGGGTGGGGAGGAGGGTGGGTTCGTGTGGAAGTTAGGTGATAGTAATTGGATGCAAGTTAGATGAGATCAAAAGCTCCCAAGGTTGTCATCATGGCTTTCTGAGGAATGTGCTACAAAGCGGCGTGTCGCGAGATTTGATTGTTGGTGAGGTTCAAGTTGCCGGCGGAAATCATGAGCTCCGGTGTTTGCATTGTTTGTCTTATACAATCGAGCATGGCTTTATTCTAGTGACTTCAAAAAATGCTTTGGGTTTTATTTTAATGAATTATTCGGATAAATTAAGTGACGTCGATAAGATCAACAATATAATATCTTGAAAACTACTAGTACTACTGCCAGTGGCTGGCTGAAAAATACTAGTAGTGCCCAGATGGTCAATATATAGTAGTACTAGTATCAAATTGAAACCTGAATAATTCATGTCACAGATCGAAATCATACGTGCAAATGAAAACCAAACATATTGAACATTCCAAGGTTGTTTTTATCTGCAAAATGCGGCAAACACCGTGACTCTGACTCCCTCCATTTATCCAATAAGTCAACGTGACAAGAACCATCACAAAATAGCTCCAAAGGAAGTACCCAAGAGACCAGAATGATATCAGTCCGATTTTCAAGAGCGTGCAAAGAAAATCATTAAGTCAATTGCCAATCGAACAGGGTCGTTAAATGCCATTTGGAGCATCGGCGCCAGCACTCGAGTCAGCGATGCGAAGGTCTTCGGGGGTCGCAGGGAGGAATTGGCTAAAAGATGTCAGCGCGATATGCGCCTGATAAAAGACAGAGAGTACCAACGTTAACATCTGCGCATACACAACCATATCGCGAGGCTCGAAGTTACAGAAGATAACTCGGCGCAGAGCATTGGGTACTCCAGCATTTGATTCCAAGAATTGGCGGACTTCCTGTGTTACAGCGCGCGCCGCAAGGTCAATGGGGTAACCGTATACCCCGGTGCTAATGGCCGGGAACGCAATAGTCTTCAGACCATGCTGCATCGCGAGTTCCATGCTGGTTCGATAGCAAGATCGGAGCAAAGTCTCGGAATGATTAGAATCCTGGTTTCGGTAGATTGGTCCGACAGTGTGTATGATATTTTTACAAGGCAGGTCGTATGCTTTGGTGATTTTCGCATCGCCTGTATCACATCCGTCGAGTTCGGAGCACTCTTCCACGAGCTGCGGTCCTGCAGCTGCGTGAATTGCCCCGTCGACACCTCCACCACCGAGGAGAGAGTTGTTTGCTGCGTTGACGATGCAATCGATGTCCAATTTGGTGATGTCGTTGAGAATCAGTGCGATGCTGTCATTTAGATGTTGCGACGGAGGGAAAGCCGATCCGATTGACTCTGTTGGAAGCAGTCTCCTGGTGCGATAAAGCTGTGATACTGTTGGTATACTGGCCAGATCTACCAAGCGAGAGCGAGCGGCCATGATGGGTACTTCAACGAGCAAAGGTTTGAGGGCTGCCTTGCCTCAATGATATCAGATGTATGGCTTATGGTTGCCCCATTTCTGCCTCAGGCCGAAGCTCCTTACCACAAATATTTGGTAATAGCCACGTGACATTTGGTGCCCGCAGAAGAAGGCGACGAGGCAGAAAAAAAGGCAACGATGCAGGAAACAATTTTGAGTTTGGGTATACTTCAGCGGAGCAATTGAAGTCTCGGAGAAATGAAATGACGATGTTCAAGGCATGTTTGAGACCAAGACAGTGCTGCAGGGGGGAAGACGAGTGATTTCAGACTAACCAATGATCATAGCGTTGAAAATACGCAAGCTATACCCATCGACCCCATTGACCACCTGTTTGGGACTAATGGGTCTTCATGGCATCATTCGATGCATCAGAATGCGCCTCTGGAGCCAACACAACCAAGATTCCAAATAACTATTGTAGGGGCCGAATGCCTAAGTTTAGAGTCGACACTGGTCAAACGTCGCATCTAGACCTACCTGCATTGTACATCTCGCGATACTTCCGACCTTGACCAACGCACCAGTCAGATTACCTAGTTTGGCGCTATACCTACACCCGATTCAGTTTTCAAGAAAAGCCTAAAGCTTACTCCGTCGAGAGGTCGCATCGTGCCATTCGTGCAGAAGGGAGAGAGGGTCTACTCCGTACTCTACGTACGGTCCATGCCCGAGACATGCTCCAGCCTCCTGGCTCCTGGACCTTTGAGTCTTGGCTCTTCACTACGCCGTCGCCCCCGCGATCATGGCGGCCCAGATTGAGATATCATATTGCGAATGGACTCGATCGCACGGCACCCCATACAGAAACGTGCATTGCATATGCACTCTGCACGCGACCCGAAGGGAAACACGTCGTCTTCGTCAAGGTTCCTCGACTGTATTCCCCATCGACTCCGCCCGATCAAGCAGAGGCGGCCAATAGGCCTTTGCTTCAGAAGTACGAGGGGCCTTCCATTGGATCTTGTGCCGCCCATCAGCCCCGTCAGTAAGCATCGGGATTTGGTGGCCACATCCATTGCCCCCTCTTTTTCGATGTACTCATGGGTGATGCCGAGTACAGAGTACAGTAGTGGTATTCTCACGGACAGGACCAGGGACTCCGGCTGGAGATGGGTAAAGGCGGTTTTTGCTTTCGCTAGGGGGGCTTTGTTAAGGTCTGGCCAACACCTCGGTGACACATGAATCCAGACATATCCCCGGGGTGAAAGCAATATACTGATCGCCACCTTCCTCTTCCTTCACTGTTGGGGGAGCCGGGAGTAGGGAGAGAAGGGGGATCTGTTCCTTAGCTCGAGTTCAGCTTGGAAGATGTGCATAATGGGTAATCATCGACAGTAGAGGTGGACTCATCGAACCGGGCCAAAAGTACGGAATGCTGTTGTCGGAAGCGAGCTTTGTCCACGGTGCCCCGGGGAGGAGTCGTGGGAAAAAAAATACACTGGGACAGGCCCTTTTGTGCCCCGTGCTGGTTCAATTGATGGCGTGTACTTTTGTATTAATGTTCGTAGTATGGAGTATCATTCGTAAATCGGAGTAATGGATGATACATCTTTTGACCACCTATGATAGCCCTGGAATATGTCCGAATAGGAAATGGTAACGGCGCCCACACCTCGGATCTTGCCTCTTTTCGTATCTTTCGATACCCGTCGATGGGGAAGGGAAGCCCTTAGGGGAAGGGGAAGGACAAGGCCAAGGGGCGAGGGGAGGAGAGGGGGCATGGGGCTTTCACCAGCGAAGGGCTCCACATTCTCCATCTTTCCGTTGTCGCTTCTTATTCGCAAGCACCTAAAATCAATCACGATGCGTTTTTCTTCCATTCGTTTCCTCTCTATCTTTCTTGCTCTCGTTCGGAAATCTCATTACGGGGATCAATGAACCAACAAACAGGACTTGGTTTCCGCAATCTTGTGGAGCCCGGGTTCGCCCCTCTTCTCCGGTGGCTGGTACGGTGGTTGGATCCCCTGTAGTTTTTCAAGTTGGTGTTAGTGTGGAGCCAGGTCCTGGTCAACCGTTAAGCTGTCATGAAGGAACTGACAGTTCCGAGTACCGTGGATCAGCGGGGCCCAGCCCATGTGTTCCGATAGTCGCGGTGGTTGATTTGATTGCAAGGTTGCCGATCCTTCGGCTGTTGTGCTTTCGTCGATCGCACGGATCTGTCTCATTTCGCACTCCTCACTAGCTTGAATGGTCTCCTTCCTGTTGAAGCGAGCCACACTGGCGTCGCCACTGACAGGAGACACAAGCTTGAGAGGTGTCCCTTTCTTTTGCCCTGTCAAGGTTCCCCTCAAGGGATTTCATGATTGGAGGGAATGTAGGTCTAAGACCAATTGGGTAGCGAGATCTTTACCCCTTGTTCATCTATGGATTTCTTTTCTCCCTCTGGCGGGGTCTGGTTGGCTTCCTCTCTCGTGGAGTCAACGCTCGTGCATGGAACCGGATGAAAAATGAGCAAACTAAACATTAAGTGGGGAACGGCTTGTCACCCGAGGCTATTGGTAGTGTTCGTGCTACCATTTTTAGCCCTTTCGAACAGGTTTACCGCAAGGAAAGACCACCTACTCCGTATAAATTTTTTTTTCCAACCCGTTGATTGGAGAAATGACTGGAATTTTCTTACCCGCCTTTCCTCTCAATACGGAGACAGCAATCATTTGTCCGGTGACAAATCTTCCCCCCTGATTTTGAAATTGTGGCATTTCCGAGGTGCAGGTAGCTCAGCTGTCACAAAACTCAGTTTCGGGCTTGGGGCGAACGGCAGGGCATGAAAGCGGTCTAGACTGGTTGCTAATGCAAAGGCCGATGCACCAGCGGCTGTCACACAAGCAAATGAGAACCTGCACCTGCAGCCTGCATATAGGCATTCTTAACATCACGGTAAAGAGACACACAGAAGGAATAATGAGGATTCTGTAAAGTTAAGACATAGGTCTAGCTTAGGCCTCTTGATGGTGTCGCGTATCATTTATCGATCTGTTTGATTCATACCCCGGACCGCTATTCCCTAGTTCGAGTGATCATCTGGGGGGTATACTCAGGGAAAGCGGATTTGGAATACATACCAGTTGAGCAGCCAATATCTAAAAACCAGGGAAAACAAAACATTTCTGGGCTATAAGCTGCATCTTGATTGGCTGCAGAAAGTCATTTATAGGTACCTTTATGCAGCCATATCTTATTTATTGGCATTGCATAGCGATATACTATGTACAATCGCCAATTCAATTCCAACGTATCCTTTCCCCACATGTTAATGTGCACTATAACTGCAAGAGTCATTCAATCTTGCAGTCTGCGAAACACAGCCAATCATCTGAATCATTCCTTACCACCCCTGGAAACACAGGTACGCGCTGGTACGCATTGAAAACCTAGTACTACACTACAAACGTCACATTGTCATGTCGATCACACGGAATCCCTCCCTGTTCAGTTTACACCTAGGATTAACACGCGCAATGCATCAGATGCTCCCCAAAAGAAGAAACTAAACAACAAAGCTCATCGGAGACACTTCCGATGCAGGAGAACCTAACGGGATATTCAGAATCCACGGGAATTCTATCCATGCGTCTGCTCGGTGATCCTTCGGCCGGGATAATGCATAGACAGAAAGCCACTGGCGGCGATCCCTTCCGCCTGTCATATTCGGGATTTGAAGCTGGGGGTTGGCCTAGACTGCGCACTAGGGGTAGATGAGACAGAAACAACCTCCCTCTTTAGGACAGACCGATAAACTTTCAAGCAACAATCGAGAGCTCACCTTGAATCAACCTTTGCGGTCATTTTTAGCCTTCTCCTCTGTTTGATCAATTTGGGTAGAGCCCCGGTCGTTCTAGTTCGAGGCTCGAGCGAGATAGATCGGTGTCTATGAGCCACAAGGCTCGTTTTTTGATCCTTTCGGGATTGGCGCCGCCGCCCTTTTTGCTCGTGTTGTACTTATGTTCATATGTAAGTATGTATGGGACTTTGCTCTGGTAAGTACTTGGTATCGGAATAATAAGGGTTTCGCGCCGTTTTGGCCATGTCACGTCTTGCGTTTTACCAAAAGCCCACCTTGACAGATACGTACTTCGTACATGTAGCTTATCGTAGATCCCCGAAATCAAGTTTAGCAATAGGCCCGACACCAAAAGAAGGACGTGCATAGAAATGCGAATGGAGTATTCATTCGCAATTCCTCGCCACCGCTATACCAAATCCACTCCGACTCCATTTAGACACGGCATACTAGTGCCAGGACTTTGGAAGAATTGCCGTCGCTACCGGTGAGTGTTCTGTTCGGCACAGACCAGATAGAAACCACACGGAGGCGTGGACTGTCGAAAGAATGCCCTTGATTCATGGGTCTCCATGGTGACTCCGAGCCGTTAGATGTTGGTATTCTTGGCGAACAACGGCCCAGAGAAACCTGGAGCAATAGTCGCATCCACCTGACTCCACTGCAGCGGATCTCAATTTGAGATTTCTGCACATCGCGTGGCTTAACGACGAGGGACAGAGAGGATATCGCCTCGGCTTCCGGCTATTTTATCTCCGGAGGTGTTGATCGATCTGGGAGATTGGCATAGTAGCGTTGAATTGGGAGTCGGTCATTCCATTAGCTTCGTCGGTATTGTACTTTGTATGAATTAGTACGCACTAGATAGATGCCATGTAAGTTGCAACGGTTAGTCCATCGATAAAGTGGATCTAGCACGTTGGCTATGCAATTCCCTAGAACGTCCATCGTCTCAATTTTAGCCTGAGATATACTAGTTCAGGGGGTCCCAGTGAATGAATCGACCTTGATCCAAGCAGTGGGTTGTTGGATTTCGGCCCCGAGAACTCGGGGCCTACTCTGTTCGAGATTGTCTAATGTATAGCGCGTCCCGAGACGGAGGTCTTATATTAGCAAAGCGGAGGACCTCGGAGAGTTACTTTGATTGCCAGGCCAGGGTGGGAATTCTCCGGTC